CAATCAGGAAATACATGTGTGCAAAATTAAAAACCCTCCTCAACAGCAGATTAACAGTAAAGAGGATGTATTGATACTTTGCAGCTGATGTCATCTACATTCCCTGCGTGTGTGATGCTAACTGTAGGCTCTGATCTGTCTGAAGCTCTGTTACTCAAGACTTTAATCTGAGCTTTGTTTCATCACAATCTGACCATAAAGAACTGACTAAGCTGGAAATACAACAGGTGAAATAACAAAACAATTTCACCTCTGACCTTTTGTTGAAGACCAAACTCCTACACAGGACCATGAACACTTGTATTGATCACAGGCTTCTGAAAATGTGCTGTTTAAATCACTTTTATATTTTTCAGACAATCCTTTTATGACAGTGTTTGCTAATGTTTTCATTGTAATTGCTGAACATTCTACTATAGAGATACATGTAAAACACCCCCAGCATGATGCCACTGCAAAGTGTCAATAATGTGAAGTCAGCATTTGTGACCATGTTACAACAGTGTTGAGTAATTCTGTATTGTCCTGCATTCAACACTTGAGTGCTCGGAAAAAATCTGTTTTCACCTTTCCCTTAAACTAATTAAACGCACGTTACAGTTTAATTCTAAGTATCAGAAAAAAGCACACGTCTTCTTTTGTTACAAAGTTAATATTGAAGCAGAGCGTTCGCCAAATACCCCAAGGTTGTTGGTTTGCTCCCAACTCTGAATAATATGAAGTGTTGTTGTGTCCTTGGGCAATGCACTTTCTTCTTACCTTTCTTCTGCTTGTGTATATTATTGACTGGTGGCACAGTAGGCACAGGTTGGCAGCCACGCAGGTGTCTGTTTGTTGTCCCCAGGGCGGCTCTGGTGAATGGAGGAACTCACCACCAACAAAAATTGGATCAATGACCCTGAAAATTGAAAAGCACATGAAATTGAAAAGGTACTGTGTAACCTTTTTGGTTGGGGATCCATCACCTGTGCCACGCGTGTTATGCCATCGTTCTGTCTGAAATGTTCCACAGTATGACATTAAACAGATCTACATTTCTTCAGTTACAGGTGGTAAGTGCATTGTGACTGTGAGCAGGGTTGCCTCTCCACAGATCTGACCTGTAACAGAGCATTTTGAGTTTTGAAGTTGCAGACAGACTAATAATAACATTGTGTTCAAACATGTGTGAATGAAACAAACTCTAGGTATGTTTTGATGAGGTAACAACAACAAGCTTAAAGCTTACAGTTTTACGTAGGGCATTATTATCCTTATATTAATACTTGTTGAGAGACATGCAGTATATAAGATATATATATATATATATATATATATATATATATATATATATATATATATATATATATATATATATATAATATATATATATATAAAACATCAGTGCACTTTGTCCCCCTGAATCAAACATGTAACTTGCCAAGTAAATAGTTATGAAAACCATTATGTTGCAATAGCCACTCAAGTTCAGTTTCAATTCAGTCTTGTTGTTTTTGAGTCCATTACTTCAAAACTACTTGACAGAATTTCAGACGTGCGTAAAGCCCAGTCAGGCCCATTGTTGACGAGTTTGATAAATGATGATTTGAGCTTTGAAAGTGGAACACACAGTTACTCTTTTGTACTTTGGCCTTTAGTTTCAGACCTGGGTCCTTTTGACTTCAGGTGTAAAATCATTAACGTTCTTTTTTCTTATGGATGGAGCCTGTATTTACTGTGGAACATGAAAAGAGGCTATGGCACTTTGGACAGAAAGACATAGTTTGTTTTAGGGAGGTGAGGCCTGGGGCATTCACACGCATTGAAATACCACATGGAAGTTTACATTTGTCATATTTGTGTATAACAGGTAAGTATGCATATTATGTAAGATGGGGAAAATTCCATAATGTGGGGGAAAATATATTTATTATAATATTTTAAATGTCTATAATTATACTTGGCACATTGTTGACTAGCTGAATGTAATGCAATAATGTCTTCAGATTTAGATTTTACTGATAATTAAACTTCAAAAATGAAATCAAGAGTAATGCAGATGAAGGCTTGTATTTTACTTCTTGTATTGTGGTATTTTCTGCAAATCCTTTTCTACTTAAAAAACACACATACATAAGAACATAAAAAAATATATATTTCATCCTCCTTGATCACCTGTGAAAGAAGAGTAAAAACTTTACTGGTACTTGTTGGTTTTACGTTGCAATGTTGCCAGATCTCGCGACTAAACACATCTTGTAGTAAACTCGAGTTCTTGACGTTGAATGGCTTAACTGTGAGAGCATCATCTTCCTCTATCACAACACTTCTCAAACGTGGGTAGATATAAAATGTTTAAATATTGACTCAGCACTGATCCTTGCAACATTTGGTCCCCCACATTCAAAGACAAAAAGATGCTTGACCTGCAGAAGTCCCCGGGCTCCCTGCTGGATTCTCACATTTTCATCAGTATTCAGAATGTGAGCTCTGTAGCCCTGTGGAACAGCAGGCACAGCTCCTGCAGATCCTTCACTTCTCTGCGTCCCGGGGTGTGGAAACAGGCCGCGTGGAAACCTGACCTCACTGTGAAAACGCCGAGGCTGCACTCTGAGGCCGCTGCTCCGAGCTCAGGCCGGTGGTCAGGCGGTGGTCAGGCGGTGGGGTCTACGGACACTGGCTGACGATGCTGATGTACGTTATGCCCTGCTCCCATGATGCATTAGAAGATCTAACATGTTGTGTGTAGAGCATGTAAAGCGCATGTTATAGCCTGTGTCTCAAATGTTCATAATTAAACCTGCTTTATTTGAATAGTCGGCGGGGATCTCCCAGGCATGTGTTTTCACAGTGACTATAATGTTTGTGGAGCCAAATATTGGAAACTTTGATACCAAATCCCTGGGTGTATGTTAACTTTGGCAGAGGGCACAGGATTCTGGGGATGCTTTTCCTGCTTGATTGTGCGCCTCAGTGTCCACCACCCACCTCTCCCCGGCCCTCTCCCCAGCCCTCTCCCCGGCCTGCGCGGCTCCCATAGGCCCCGCTCACGGTTAGGAGCAGGGCAGCACAGGGAAGACATTGTGAAGCATCGCGGGGTGAAAGCCTATCTCCACTGTCCGCAGCGTTTACTGAGAAAACAAAGCAATGCAGGAGTTAGCAGAGGCATTTCTCCTCTCTCTGAACCCTGGTCCACCTCACAGGGCTGTCCCCAGGGGGCGCCACTGCCTCTGGCAGTAGCCTACAGCAGAGCAGACCCTCTGAAGTTGCCCCAGTGCCAGGTCAAAGCGAAGACACCGCACAAACAGCAGCTCCTCTTTGAGCTGATCAGGCCTCGCATCAGACCAGTGCGTACTTGATGGGCTAATTGAATCTCATTAGTCACATGTAGTTGTGTAACCTCTGCGTGTGCACGCACAGGTTTGTGCCACACTGAGCAAACAGCCGCGCGCTCCATAAGGACCAGCCACACGTTACATTCAGACTTTTGGGTGCATTGTTTGGTTGGATTATTTGACTTGGAAACATTTACTGAGGCTAGCACATTACAGTGTTTTTCCATGGCTCACACACACGGCTCTGTGGCATGTCCTGCTTATGAGCTGTGATTACTTCATATGGAGTCACTTGGAGACACAACACAAAAGCTTGATAGGCTTAACAACTTAAGAATGCGTCCGTTATTGTGTCCATTATTCATTCGCTCATCAAGTACTTTGGGATCTGCCATTTGTGTTTACTGCAGCAGTTACACACCACCTGACAGAGCTGAGCTCATTTTCTCTTCTTCCATAATAAATGTTTTGCCAGTGGACAGAATGACATTATGCAATGCGAGTTGTTGGAATTGAACTGCAACTTTTGTTTTGAGGTTAAGACAAACATCGGTACAGCGACCCTTAACACTGCAGGCAGGTGATTTGTGGAACCTCCAGAAGGAAAGACAAACACAAACACAGTTCAAAGCTGTCTCTGGGCCAGCTCTGGACAGGTGCAAGTGGCTGTACACAGTGGCCGTGCACAGTGGCTGCAGACAGTGATTTCAGACAGTTGCTGCAGACAGTGGTCACAGACAGTGGTCGCAGACAGTGTCCATATACACAGTGGTTGCAGACAGTGGCATTACACAGTGTCCATACATAGTGGTCGCAGACAGTGTCCGTACATAGTGGTCGCAGACAGTGTCCGTACATAGTGGTCGCAGACAGTGTCCGTACATAGTGGTCGCAGACAGTGTCCGTACATAGTGGTCGCAGACAGTGGCTGCAGACAGTGGCCGTGCACAGTGGCTGGCCGCAGATTCACCTCTACAGAGGGGAAACCATAAAAGTGTCAGTAACCCTTGGTGACGTGCTGTACCCTCCATGCCCTCTGTCATGTGTCCCTGTGGCCTGCTTTAGCACACTGCTCAGGGACATATTCAGGACACCTGTGTGTCGTCCATTGACTGGTGTGGAGCTGACACGTACCACAGCCTCAGAAGAGTCTGAACAGTGCTCTGGCAGGGGCGCTCCTGTCCCTGACTCAGGGACATGCTGACAGACTGATGTCTTCCCTCCGCTCTGTCTTTCCCTGGAACACACTCACTATGTCCTGTTCCTGTCCCACACAGCCGCACACCGGCCTGCTGCTCAAACCACCTCCTTTAAACATGTCCTCTGTATGAAACTGTACATGAGCTGGACAAATACTCTCATGTTCATGTGTTTAATACTCACAGGGGGTTTGCAATTCTGAGAACTGTAGTAGGGCCCAAGTGTCAACTATGAGTACATGTTCAACAGTCAGCTAAATAAGGTGAGTTGACTTTATAATGTAATAAACTAAGAGATGTTTGATCTCAAAAAAGTAAAAAAAAAAAAAAAAAAAAGAACAAAGTCTCTAGTGTTGTTCTCCATCAAAGAGTCCATATCAGGACTAGTGTGTGTGTGTGTTTGCGTGTGTGTGTGTGTGTGCGCTTTTTTTATTTGAGAGACACTCAGATCAGAAGCAATCAGCTTTATTGCATTGTCAGTCGCTGAACACAATTTCACATATTTCATATAGTTTGATTAAAGCTGTCATATACTAAATATGTTACAATTACAAAACAGACAAAAGCTGCAAAAAACACTTTATAACAAACATTGACTATATATTTTAAGAAATCCAGTGACTAAAAAAAATCTACAATCAAGTCAAAGTGCAAAAATATATGATACATTTGGTACATTGGTCTAGTATTAACAATGGAATGTGTTATACGTGAGAACACTGGGTTATTTTACAGTTACAGTTTACAATTGCATAAGAGTAAAGAAATTACTTTGGCTTTGTCTGCCCTGAGCAGCTTCGGCCCTCTGCACAGTGTGGGTCAGGGTCAGTCTGCTCCTGTAGGCACAGAACACTGGACACTGGATAGAAAGCACAGGGCACTGGGCACTGGGCTCATTTGACTTTAGGCGGCCGCAGCTCTTTGACCTGCAGGTGTAAGGTTTTGTGCACAGCCAAAGTCCGAGACTGACAGAAACCTTTTCCACACTCGAGGCATTTGAAGGGCTTCTCTTTGGAGTGGATGTACCTGCAACAGGACACATAACAGGCACACATCAATCACATTATAGAGGAGACCTACACTTTACTATATGTCACAGCTCATTCTAATTTCTATTGAGACTGTGCTGGCAATAGATCCTTTGGACCAGGGTAGATTTGCAAACTAATTTTCAGGGACCCCAGAAGGGACCTTATAGTGCATGTTTTAGTGGGGCAAACTCAGTACCTGGGGGAAACCTACACAGGTAATGGAAGAACATGCAAAATCCACACAGAGACCCAGAAACTCAGGACCTTTTTACTGTGGGGCTTAGGCTTTAACCACTGCACCGCTGTGTTGCCTTATGATGATGCGTATAATTAAGTTTTCAAACATTCCAAACATTTTACCAGCTAAATAAAGGTTAAATATTTTATATCAATAAATCAATTTAGGATCTGGATTTTGTAGACTGGGTGTAGAGATAAAGAGACAGCAGTGTGGTGCACAGACCTGTGGTCCCTGAGGTGGTCCTGTCTCCTGAAGGCTTTATGGCAGATATCACAGGTGTACGGTCTCTCATCTGTGTGCGTGCGCTCGTGGATCAGCAGGTTGTATGATTTGGTGAAATGGCGTCCACAGAATTTACAGACAAACTCTTTTTTGGTCTTGGAGGGCACTCGGCCTCGGCTGGACCTTCTCTCAGAGGGAGGAGGCACCTTGTCTTGGCACAGATACCCCGGACGAGGGGGCTGCAGAGGGGGGCTGTGGACAGCGCTCATGCTCAGGTCCTCCGCCTTCACACTGTCCTCCTGTGTGGCAGCTGCAGCCAAGTTAGCAAAGTCAAAACGGGGCTTAGTCTTGGAGCTAAGTCTGGGTCTGAGCAGCTGAGGGAAGGGGGTAAAGGAGGCCACTGAGGAGCAGTACGCCGGGATCTTAGACAGTGCTCTCCGGGACAGGGGCACAGGGGGGTACAGCGCCCAGTGCTGCAGGTGCACAGCATGGAGAGCACTGAAGCCATAGCTGTGGAGGTGCTCGGCCGGCAGCTGCAGCCCTGTGGAGCTGTGGAGCAGAGAATACCCCCCCAGAGGCAGGGAGGGGTGGAGAGGCACAGGGGCAGCCACGCTCTTACTGCCCATGGCTCTGGCACCTGCACAGAGAAGACACTATTAGAACGTGCTGGTGGGAATTATCTTCATGTTACATTAGACCATAGAAAGGAAACAGTAAAACACTAAAACAGGTTCACACAATCTCAACAGTGTAGTGCACTTAGTCATTTAGTCACAGAGCTGACCTGAAGACACACTCTCACGTTCATATAGTAGATGCAATTATAGATTATTTTACAGTTTTAAAATTAGATAAATAGTCATATTATAAGTTATTTCCACTGGGGATTTAGTTAATAAAAAATACTTATTGTATTTTATTTTTCGTGATGCTCATATTTAATCTTTGTTTTTCATAACTTTATATTTGATAACTATTCCTTCTGCTGGTTGGCTGCCTGTCTGTAATGAAAAGAATGTCTCTTTAGGGATGATTAAAAATAAACCTGATTCTTACTACTACTACTCATTACTACCAAACCCAAAGAACATAGTGAACCCATTATTATCTTGCAGTATGGCAGGTCTGACAGAACATGTGATGACAAAAGCACAGCTGAACACCACTTTTAAATAATAATTATAATACATCAGACTTTTATAACGCCTTTTTGGACGCTCAAAGACACCTTACAAACAAATAAAGAACAACACATAGCCGGTGATAATCATAATAAACAATGTAATTTGTAAGCTTAATCATAAGCATGAGTACAATACCATTATTCTATTGTTAAATAAACAATAAAATTACAGGTTTGCTTCATAAAGGACATGTTTTTCATGACTTTAACACAAAATGAGTGACAGCCTCAACTGAACCAGACTCAAATGAATTATGTTTATGTATAATCTAGAATGTAATAGATTATGTACGATACAAAACAAAAAATATATTCTTACATTTTACATACAATAAAAAAAGGAAATGATGTTGATGATTGAAATTAAATGATGATGATTCAAATTAGAGTCTGTGCTCACCTGATATTTAAAACACTACATTCAAGAAATCGACATCAAACTAAATAATAATCCTTTAATCATTACAGCATATCCGTATTATTGAAAGAAAAGTGTCTTTCTATATATTTCCCAACCTCACAGATGTGGAAAGTCCGCGGAGCAGTTCAAAGTGTGCAGGTCGTATTATTTGGCTGCTGTGTGTTTTGATAAAGATGGCAGTGATTACATTAGGCAGAGAAGTGTCAGTGTGATGGGTGTTTCTGTCTATGGACATGCCTGAGGCTGCTGCTCTACAGTGACAACATTGACACACAAAATACCTGAGAGCTGTTCAATCAGGTTTGATTAGGAGCTTAACAATAGACAATAAAGGAGCTTTGTTAGGGCGGCTGCTGACACACAGTAGCAAGTTATGAACCTCAACTATCATTTACACTCACTCTCTCCGGAGAACAGGATTATGTGTGAATATCTGAGTGGTTTTGATTTATTTAATTATATATATTATATTTTTTGTAATTAACTAGGCTATATGCCAGGGAGAAAATTGCACTCAACTTGGCAGAAATGTGCAAAACGTCAAACATAATTGACATGGAAGAATGTCGTGAATAGGAAATCAGTAATAATAATCAAAAGAACGAATTAGATTTTAATTTTAATTTATTTTGGATGTTGCTTTTGTTTGTGTGTGTGTGTTTGTGTGTGCGCGATGAGTTGTAATTCTTTAAAGAATTACCTAATAACACAAAATTTTTATTTTATTGGAAATAACAATGAAAATAACTTATTTGGATTGAAAATCTTATTCAGTACTAAACTGAAAATTTCCTAAGTAGTTCTGGAGAGGTGTCATCCCCAGTGTTCCAAAAAGCAGGTATGTGAAAAATGTTACTATTCAAATATTTGTAAACTTTATGAATAATATCAAGAATTTCTCAGAATGAACAAAAAGATAAAGTAAACCAGTGGTCAAAGGCAGATGAGGACTGTTTGTAACCAAATGTAAACTGCATGCATGCTCACACTTTTCTCAAAGAACACTCAAACTTTTCAAAGTGTGAAACCTAAAAGAGAAGCGGAGTCTTACCGTGCTGTGTGTCGGGAGATGCTGTTGCGGATGTTAGTGATGAGGCCACATGTTCCTGTCCACTGGGCTGAGTTTAGAATCAAACAGATGCGATGCGCCGACACCTTTTCATTAGGCTACTTTGCGTTGGTGCGTTTTTATTCAGACATGCCCGGCGCGCGCGTCACAGGCCCGTCCCACACACACCGGGCTCTGCGCTCTGATATTAGATCCTCAGCTGCATTTGAGAGCTGCCGTTTCACAATCACCCGGAGTCAGAAGCCCATGTGCCAACCACAGCAGCGCCTACAGCAGAGCCCACAGCGGCACATCGAAACCCACCGAGGGGCGCACGGGGGCTGGGTTAATATAGAAGGGCTGAAATGCGCACACCAGCAGGGTACATCTATAAAATAGTCTATTAACGCCAACCTGTGTCACCCACGCATGGTTAGTTTCAAAAGCCTATATCGCTAGACGAGTGCCGTTTCTTCTGGTTAATTATCATTTAAATAACAAATAAGTTAAACGAGTGGATTTACAACATTAGAAATACCTATACACACACTGTGCATTACACGAGGTGGCACAAACTTTGCAGAAACTCAAGGATTAGGGAGCATGCCTAATTCCTGTCTCTACTGCGCCATCTAGTGGAGAGTCTGGTGTGGTTCTAACGAAAAGAAATTGAAATGTCCAGATGGGATGAAGGGACAGAGCAGTACAAAAGTGTGGGGGCCTCAATAAGCAGAGGGCACATTATCCTGTGTATTTGGCGGTCACTCTGACATAGTTGATTTTACGGCAGGGAAACCTGGAACAACCAGGAGACCTACATACAGTGACTGTTCGAACAAAAATATACAGTATCTGTTTTGAGTTCACAGTGACAGCTCTTATAGAGGTCACATGAGGCACACAGACAGGTGCAGCTCCAGTCTAATTACAAACGTCTTTATGAGCGCATCTGTTTTCAGGTTTGGAGGTGGTTATGTCTTTTATTGGGTAGGAGCAAGAGGAGGGGGCGCGTAGAAGCGTTAAACTACATATTTTACAAGGAATGGCAAGCAAATAAACTCAGATTCTCATCTAATCTCAAACAAATTGGATGATTCAGAATGGTGGGAGGTGGAAAGTTGGCAGACAATGTGTTGTTGTAGTTTAGGTCCACCTGGTATTGATGAGGTCTCCTCTGGAAAACAAAGGCTCTGTGGTGAGATGAAGGCTACAGGCAAACGATCAGATCATCACCAGACTGGAGTTCTTACACATCGTCTCATACGCAAACATAAAACGTCAAAAAGGCAGCTGTGCGTTCATCTGCCTATCAAGAATTCAATGGCATGAAACTTGTACTCAGACCCTGGACCGATACCAACTAGTTATGTTTTTATGCAACATGTAGCAGAAACTTCAATTAGTGTTGTTATTCTTTTCAGCTATTTAACAGTGGGCCATTTCTCAGAGCATCAGTGAGCAGTGCCTTTCACAATTTGTGGTGGAAATGTACTTATTTTTTTTATAAAAAGCACTCAGTGGAAGCAATAACTTGAAGATGAATGTCTGGAGGGAAAGCAAAGAGCCCACAGAAACATTGCACCATCCACTCTTTAATAATAAATACATATTGCACATTTGAATGGTAAAGCGCATTAAAATAAATCCTCTTCTTAAGTGTCCATACTAATACGAATCCAAATGTCACTTATTTTTATTTGTCCTGATGTTTAAGTCTTAGCATGGTCAGCTCTGTGGAAAGCTCTGCCCAGGCCCCAGCACTTGTCTGACAGTCATATTGATCCTGGAGCTCTCTATATACCTGAGACACACGGTCCAGTCCTGTTCTGACACGGGCTCCACCACTGAGTTCGTGTCTGGGGAAGTGGGTGAATTCTGGAGCTCGGAGGGGAGGAGGCCTGGGGGAGCGGGAACGATCCGAGGAACGGCGTGGTACAGGAGGCGGCTCTGTCCAGACATCACCATCACGTCACCACTGTGCATGAACATGGCTGTGGGGGGGTCCTGACGCTGTTTACCCCCGAGGAGAAAGATGGCCGACTGCCCAAAACTGAAGAAAATTTTAAAAGTTCAGATAATTAGTCTTAATAAAGCAAGAAAGATGTAATTTATAATGAACAAATAGTTTATTAAGAATAATTCAGGCTTAGAAACTCCTTAAAGGGCCTGTACCCGACTTTCCTACATGTAGATGAAAAAGATTTGTCTTTCCCCAGTAAGTCCACTGTGAACTGTCAGCAGTTGTTAATAATAATTACTATCTAATCTATCTAATAGTTAGTATAATACTAATTACTCATCGCTAATTACTCATACTTGGAACGCACAAGGTACTATTAGTACTAACAATTTTGTTATTAAAAAGGTGTAACCAAAATTCAAATTGGAAAGGCACAACATGAACATAGATCAAATAAGTTACAAAAGATATAAGACATATAAATAAACAGTTACAAAAAAAAAGTACATGGTTTTTACATGGGCGTTATGCATCATCCAATTATAAACTTTCTCTAAACTAGACTGACCAGAATGAGATGAGAGGGCGGCTGTGGTCCAGCTCAGACTCGTCCACGTGGATGCCCAGAGATGAGTCACTCCTGTAGTAGTTGAGGATTCCTGCCTGAGGCCTGAAGTCACTGAAGCCACAGCTCAGAGCAATTTGCTGCGACAGTAACTGAAGATCAGCTGGAAAAGGGGTGTAATGATCTTCAGAGTACAACTGAAAGCACAAGACAACCAACACATTTTAAACAAAGATACATTTAAACTGGCTCAAACTGCTCCTGCCTGCATCTACCTTAGTGTCCCAGTTGTAGTGATAGCCTAGGGTGACCCAGCGCAGTCGCTCCAGCAGACTCTTCTCTTGGCGTCTGGGTGGGGTTGGTGAACTGCAGGATAACACACTTTTGGTTATTTGTGAACAGGAAACGTACATGTAAGAATTATGAACTTTAAATATTTGACAATGTAGCCAAGAATGTTCTGCATTTCTTCATTAGAATCTAAATTCTTTCCCACATAGGATCTATTGATAATTAGAGGTCTATTCTGACCTGAGGCTGTGCACACTGCGCTCCCATATGTCCTGGGTGTCAGAAGGGGACATATGCATGTCCAGGTTACACACATTGGGCTTCTGTGGATACGTCTTCAGGCACTGTCGGATCCAGAAGGGCTGTGAGCCTTTCCGAAAGGGGTTAGAGATAAATACAAATCCTGTTCAACAAAAACACACAAACACCTTCAGACATCACTACACCACTGTGATTCATTATTCTATACTTGTGTTTTTTATATTCATTTATTTATTTTATATTTACACTACAATCAGATACATTAGTCATTTTGAATATATTACAAGGACCTACCTAGACTGGACTGGTTTGCATTGTCTGACATAGACTTATTCCAGAATAATTAGACTTACCTGGGTATCCCTGCAGGCCAAAGGCTCTCCAGTCCTGGGCCGGCCTGAGACCCACTATGGAGGCATCAGACACTGCAGTGAGGTTGAGTTTGATCGGAACCACCTGTAAATAAACAGAATAGGGCCATAAGAGGCTTTGCTAACAGTCTGTTACATGCCGTTAGAGCTATATTGCTTATTATGCCGCTCAGCAAACTCTTGCTTTGCCCCATAAACCGGTGATACTTCATACATGGTAAGTCTTACTGTATTGCCTTAGATCATTGTAAGTTTGGGGTGTGCACATGGGGAGAGAGAGCTATGTGCACTGAGTATGACAGCACTGACATTTATATGTCAGGCTCTGTCGGTTTGTACCTTGCCAGAGCAAAGTTTCCCGGAGAAGTCGATCACCTCACTGAAGTCTGGCGGGGGTTTTCTGCGCTTATAAAACTTGAAAAGCTGTTTGAATGCATCTTCCCCACTTTCCATAACAGCCGCCATCTTGGACATGTTTTCTTCTGTGTGTTTTTGGCGCACACTCTGCCGCAGTGCTGCCGCTCTCTGGATACAACACGACTTTGTATATGAAGCCACAAACAAGCACATTATGACAAAGGACTGGGGAAAAACTGATTTCTACAAATCACAACAAACTTAAAACATGCAAATTCAAACAAATCTACTTACACAGCCACCAGTTTGGATTTTTACAATTGTGTCCAAAATGTAAAGAGACTGATAATCCCACCAGCAGTCTATAGGGGGCGGTAGTGCGTCCTGCTGCGTACGGAACCTTATCGCGTGGTAAAGTAAAGATGGCAGCGTCCTCAAAGAAGGTGTTCGAGGTGTTCGTGTCTAAAGTTCCCTGGACTGTAGCCTCCAGTAAGTCCTTCGCATCACTTTATTCTTAATCTGTCAATGTGATCTCTGTAAATGGTGCATGTGAGGTTCAAGGACGTTTTTGTTTGTTTTTTTACCTCGTGTAATTTGTCCTTCAGTGACACCTTGATCATCATGAGTCCCATCCATAGACTGTTCTGTCAGTAAAACATTGAAATAAAGGATGACATATGCTTGATGGTCACTGCAGTTGTATGAAACGAATGAGATGAAATTGAGTCTAGTCTAGGTAAAGTCAGAAAGTACTTTTTGCAGGTTTTTCGTGTATAGAGTATAGAGATAAAGAGTAAATATAGTACACGCATGGTGCTTGAATTGGGTATTAGTAATGCCAATGTAATAACATCAATGTAATACACTTTTTTCAGAGGAAATGAGGGAATACTTCAGCCAATTTGGACAAGTTAAGAAATGCCTGCTGCCCTTTGTGAGTCTGGAATCATTTCATTGTTATCTAATACTTTTCACTTGATAAGTTTGTCTATTCAAATTTATTTTATTTTCCTTTCTTTTCCATTTTCTCTGTTTCTGGTGTCAGGACAAAGAGACAGGTTTTCACAGAGGCTTCTGCTGGATTGGCTTCAGTTCAGAAGATGGACTGAACAATGCTCTACAGAAAGACCCTCACATCATTGAAGGGACCAAGGTAAGGCCTCCATCTCCAGCTGTCCGGGGAATGGTTTGTCTGACCTGTACTGTGTTGGAAAGTAATTAAATACATCTATCCAAAGTACTTATTCAGAGTACTGACTTATTAATAATGAGAAAAATTGAAAACACAGCTCTTGTGGTGTGTGCAAGTGCATTTTTATTATAATTCCTATATTGCATTTTACACTAGAGAATAGACTATTATACAACTACAACTGAAACAATTTGACCACGTATCACAATGTATTACAAAATTTTATGTATTTGTGATTCTGTATTTAAAGATATTTTTTAAGTTTTCTTCCCAAAACTGTCCATATCTGAGGTCCAACATCATAATAAAAAACTCAGTCCATGGGCCCTCTCACATCCTTTCATTTAAAATCAAGTATAATTATTAAAATAAAATGTATATCTGGACATAATTACTTCGCTTTTCACCAGTTTATAATGTATTTTGCACATCTGGACATATTGCAGAGAGGATATATGACAGTATTTTTTTTTTTCTTTTTATGTGACCTAGGTCCTGGTGCAGAAGAATAAACGGACATTTGTACAGCGGTCAAACAAAGACGAGGACTGAAGAATGCATTGAATACATAATTTAGTTTTTTCTCATTTTCCACTTTTTTTCCAAGTTGTGATCATTATTTATGCCTTTTGGATACTATAAAAACATATTGTTCATATTTGTGACTTGTTTCATGTATTAATATTTTTAGTAGCCTTACAATACTCTTGCTCTTATTTCTGATGTGCATTATCAGAAAACTTCCTTCATATTCCTAAAGTTTAGTTCAGTATTCAGTAATGTTGGTCTGCAATAAATGGAACGCTCAATCATTTATTGTGTCAACTTCTTTGGGTGCTGCTCCCACTGTGCATGGATATACTGCTGAGGCCAGAGTGTATGTGGAAGTGAAACAGAAGCAGGTCTGTTCAGGTTAACCATTTTACTACTTTACTTCGAGAACAACAAAAAATAACAAATATTTGTGACATAGATGAAAATGTCATGTTACAAAAATCAAACTTATCATTTGAGCTTTGAAAATATTCCACAATTAGGCTGTGATGTCCTCTGGCACTTGGGTGCAGAACCAAAGCATAGGCAAGAAACTAAATTATGAGATATTAAGAACACATCAGGGGAAATTTCCACCTCAAAATTTAAATTGAAGTTTATGAATTTTGCAATCGAAAATAATCAAGACTGAAAGAAATGTTACTGTTTTCAAGTCCATGTTTTTGGCTGGTAAAATCATAGAATTATAATAAAATCATGGGTAAAATAACTGTTTAATTGTCTGTTCTCGCGAGAAAGGCTCCAACTCTTGACGTCACAGCGGGTTGGACAAATGTTTACCCGACATGCACTGCGCACAGAAGCCGGGGAAAGTGTTATGTAGTGGGTCATCCATGGGGTTGAGTCTCTGCTCCTGACATTAAGCATGATTTTGCGGTGTACCGGTGACAGCAGGCCGCAGTGACCGTCATGAGCTGCGCCTCTGCCGGGCTCCGCGTCTGCGCCTCTCCGTGTCTCTCTCCCGGAGAATCCGAGGCACACTGACCCGAGAGAGAGGACGCCCCTTCGGTGAGTGACCGCCGCCGCTGCTGCTGTGTTTATGTCTCATGCACAGTCTATAGTCTCATGGGGAAAAGTTGGGCAACGATGGTAAAATGACACGACACGAGTGTTGGATTTTGTCACTTCAGGAATAAATCAGTTTGTGTGCACGGAATCTGGCACTGATCATAACCCCCACTTTCAATTCAATCAGTTTTAGAGATGTGGGAAACATTGATTTATAAACCAACCTACAAATTATAGGTCTATATGTCTATAGGTCTACGAATACTGTTACGCTGTAACCTTTGTTCAAAGACGCCTGTCTGTATTGTAGGATAACTAACAACTATTACAAAAGAGAGTCTGTGATTTGAGAGTTTGTGATTTCCAAGTTGTTATCATGCAGTGTCTCTCCCTGTTCTTTTCTAAAACGCAACAAACGAAAAACAAAACAAACAAAAACACTGAAGGCTAAATATTCTGCAAAGAACTGATAAATGCTGTATCTGTTACAGTGATGGCTGCTCGTGTGCGCAGACTCTCTGCTGTCACTGCAGTGGTCCTGGCCTCCTCTGGCCTGTACCTCCACAAGAAACAACTGGACATCAATGACCTCAGTGTGGTCCGCTTTGGAAGAGCTGCAGCCACTGTAAGATGGTGTCTTAAAACCAAACTTGAATCACATTACGTGGCATTAGTGATTTTGCTGTGTCCTAGTATTTTTGGCTAACCCAAACAAGTTACTGACCTTTTTGTTGTTTTGTGTTTTGTGCAGACATTCCTCATCAGTTATGACTATCTGACAGCCTTCAAACATGTGAAGAATGATACAGAGGAGTACTGGGAGCTCAAGTCAAAGGTACTGTGTCCAACTACTGTACTCTCAAGCTGACCAAATGAAACTCATCAATTGAAAATCAAAGCTGACCTTGCTGTGTCTGAGGTGCAAATACAGCTAAGATAATCATAATAGACTTGTATTTGTAATTTGGACTGACAACTTTTGGTCCATAGAAGCTGAACATACAGGCATTATAAGAGCCATGAGCTCTCAGGTGACATCCATGCCAGTGTTTCCACAACAGATATGACACAATAATAACCCCACCAGACGGTGACTACCTGGTGGCTCATCCTTGTGAGCTGAGTCCACAGCTGGAGGGCCTTGAAGCCTGAAGGCAAAAGCACTTTATTTACAAAACCATCCTCAGGCTCTGTCCTCTTCTCTGCACATGCATTTAACAATACTTTTGGATTTACTGTCTGTTGTTTTATGTACACATCAAATCTGCTTTTAACAACCGTCAGCTGAGAAACCAGTGACATCATTTGTGCATAGAATTCCTTCCATGAACAGCAGATGTCACCACTGCTCCTTCTTTTCCTATGGTTTCTCTGCCCCTCCTAAAGCATTCTGAGCCAACATTCCTGCTACATTCTACACACAAAATACGCACAGAAATCATCCTCTCCTGACCTGGAGGCTGGTCCTGAGGAGACACATCTAAGCTTCACTGCAGCCACCCTCCATCAATCTTAAAGGGGACGTATTCTTTTAAAAAACACGTCAAAACCATGTTATGACAGCATTCTCCTATCATTAATTACATACTCTGAGTTATATTTAGATTGATTTAAGCGTGTTTGAGAAATTCTGTATTGTACTGCTCCTTCCACTTCCACAATTATTCGCAAAAAAATCTGACTCTGGGTCATATGCATAAGATAAGAAAATTTAATGTAGCCTTTTTCGGCATTGAAAACATAAGTTGTTACCTCTATTTTTCCCATTGCTATAATTTGAAAAAGTAAGCTTCTCACTGGACTCATGTTCTACCCCAGGCTAGAATAAACATTCATTAGTCGAGTGTCTGCGTTCGATTTGTTGACCAAATGTAACAGATCTGGTTCACTGTAGCCTTGCATGTAGTAGCAGCAGCATTTCACGTGTAACTGAGGGAATTACCAAAGCATGGCCGTACAGAGCATGAAATTAACTGCTCCCCTCCCCCCTCCTCTCCCCCACAAACACACCCCATTCACTGTGCTTTTCTCTCTCCCTTTGACATTGGCTCTATTATGCACCTCCACTTATTACCCACAGTAAGAGCCAGAGAACCCACTCCACAACACTACAAAGAGCCAAGCTGACTGGTAATATTTGGCGGCGTCGGGTTTAAAAACGACTATATTGTTTGGCTAATAACCTGCACCAGAGATAGGCCAGTCTGATTTATGTGCTGTCGCCTTAGAGATAGTGTCTTTGGGTTAGATGGCCTTACCTACCTCCCATAACGCACCGTTCCTGCACCGGACAGTTCCATTGAGTGTGGCATTTTGGGTCTGTAAACAAAGCTACATTTGCACATAAGTCGCGCCCCCCGTGTGACAGCGCTGGTCCTGCCCCAGTGAGCAGAGTAATGAGCTAATCATGAGCACACCAATAATAAATAGCTCTTGTTCATAGTCCACTAATCCTGGGCGTTTAGCCGCGCAGTCCGGCCCAAAATCAATTACCACAGCTGCCTCCTGGAGTGGGACCGGCACCTGCTCTGCTTGTACATCTCCTCGAAGATTATGGGGTGGAAGCATAACATGAGCGGAGCGAAATCAAAACGTATTGGGAATCGTCTTTTCATACATCAAACTGTGAGTTCCTAGTTCCAGCACTATGTAAAAAGGACATTACATATAGACACTATTTCAATTTCAGGGCCTCCTCGTCATTTCAAATAAGACCACAGCACTCCTTTATATAGAATAGCAGCTTTGCAATATTGTGAACTTCCACCCAAATTGCTAATATTTTTCTATATCAAGTAATTTTCTTACAGTTCCTTGCTTAAACGGCACTATCTGGGGCTCACATTGTCCCACGTTTTGCGCGTAAACAGCAGAATAATTTAGTACAAGGCAAATCCACAGTTGGTTTCAGCTAGTGGTGTCCTAATGGAGGTTGTGTAACACTTTTAATATATATATCTTATATATCTTATTCTGAAGAGATCATTCTATTCAGTGCTCCTCTGTTCTAGCCAGGCTGGCTCCACCTAGTGCCTCCACTCAGTTTCATTTCTCTTCAGTGACTAGGTCAGGAATCAGAATACACTACATGGTTCGCCAAAACCCCGAAAGTGCAAGTTTGGGCACCAACAAATCAGGGAAGAGATATACATTCTGTGTTGTCAACGATTCCCGAGATCGAGGATTTAAAGCCGTAATAAAGAGAATGTTTGGTGAATTTCATCAAGGTGAAAGACGTTATTGCCCTTCTTCCTACGGGATTTCAGAAAAGCTTAATATATCAGTTTGCCCCGTTAGCGGCGCATTACATACGTCACAACAAAATAGCAGTGATTGGTTAAATAATAAAAAGTACCTGCCTACCGTCGATCGAACAAATTCTAACACTGTGAGGTCAGACTGTTTTCACAAAGTGAAACCGGCCTGATGAATCGGGCAACCTCTGTGCTCCTCTATACTCAAATGCTTACATCACAGTTTCACTATTTGAATAATCTCAGTTAACAAACTGCAAAGACTGTAATTATTAACATATTTGTCAATGCAAACAACACCTCATGTTATATATATTTTTAAATGGCTGTAGGAGAAGTTCTTATTGATAGCCTCACAGGGCATCACCATTAAAGAACACAGCTTTGAACTAAAAGGCCTCACTGAAAGCACATTCACTTTTGTGACAGTTGCGGCTACAGAAGGAGCTTACCACACCTGAGTGGAGTGAATGAAGACTAAAGCTCTTTGGGTGTCTTTAAAGGTATATAAAATAATGTATAAAATTCAAATCTATTGCATTAAATGTGTCTATATACCCCCAAACAATTGTTATGCATAGTATAGATGGAATACAGTCGATTAGTAACACTTGAGTAATTATTAGACCAGGAGTGACTAGCAGTTTTTGCTTTCAGACTGCTTTTCAGATGCTTTCAGTAATATCACCCACAAGCCATTCAAACCCATTGCCTTATAGAGTTTGATTTCTTCATACATGGAAATCAATAAGGCGGTAATATGGCTGGACTTGGTGATTTGCGAGTCAGTGGAGCTGTGGTGTTTAGAGCAGCTGTCTCTGTGCGCTGATGTGCTCGTATTGAGAGCAGAGATCGTCATTAGCGCCGCAGCGTCTTCTTCCACTGTGAGCCGCTTCCTCAGGACAAGGCAGCCTGATTACACACAGCCACACAGATCTGGTGATTAGGCACAAGCCCCCGACACATTTACTCCTTTGCTTGGCTCTCCTCCACCTGCAGTGCTATGGGCCGCTGGGAGATGAGAAAAACCTGCTGGATTCAATCATTTGAGTAGTGCACAGGGGTGTGACTATGTTCAATGTTACAGTTGCACCATGTTATTAGATATTTACAGTGATGTTGCAATTAGGGCGGAGCAACATGAGAAGAAATCTATCACTTGATCATCTTATTGACTGACCACAATTTGTATTTTTATTTTATATTATTAAAAACATATATCTAAAATGTCCTCAAGAATATCAGAAATTACACTGGGTTGCTGTTCATTGGTTTCAAAGTGAAAGAAGGCAGTTATCAATTCAAAATAAAATTCTATCTTTTGAAAGGAAAGGTCAAAGGTCTTAAAAATTGCATCCGTACCAGGAAAAAGTCATGTGACTGAACCCTGTGAATAAAACCTGCTAATCCTGTAGTTTGACTATGATACTTTCTTTTTGACTTAACACTTGAAATTGCTGTCTACTCTCCATTTCTCCTTGTTGCAGTGCTGTGCAATGAATCAGATTTCTGTTACACTTCTGATTATTGCTTTGATTGATTCCAAAAACGGTGTAGTTAAGTAACTGAGGTTATAAACTCTCAAGTGAGTTTAATGCATACGTACATTTCCGTTAGTGAAAAAGTGACTCATGATTTGTACCTTTCTACTTGTACAGTACATTTACAACAGTCTTTCTGTGAGATACGTCACCTACAGGCATTTCATCTGTTCATTTTCTCATTTTAGTCACACTGGTGAACCACCTTCTTTCTAGGCAAATAATCATGATTATAATTATGCTTTAAATATCCATGATTCATATAGTTTCCATAATCATGCAGCTCTTTGTTGTAGCTTGTGAACAAATCAGCTTTTTTTTACAGTCCCTCCAAAAATGTTCAATCAGCTGCATTGGGTGTTTTTTATTAAATACAATCATTGTTATAAAAATCATAATAATTCTTCAGTCCTAAAACACATTTTCCAGCATACCTCTTTCTATTCCCACACTGGTGTGTCTTACAGTCCCAGCCGGCGCTGACAAATATTGTAACACAAATGTAAAGGCGATCTGATGAGAGTGGAGTGTGGCCTGGGGCTGTAGCAGCTCACACTGCTCTCTTGTGGCTTGTTCCTGTGAATGCTCGCCTCTGATTGGTCAGACAGCTCTCGTGTCAAACCCCCCCATGGGAGCCGGCCTGTGTTTGGATGGATGTGTTTTTTGGGGGGGACCAAGGTTAAGGGGAGCTAATTTCACGCCTGTTTATTTGCAGTGGTCCCAGGAGAGGGGGGCTCCGTACGCAGCTGGTTCAGAGGGTCTGCCGGCCGCACAGCGCAGACCTGCTCCCTCACCTCATTCCAATCAATTACACTCTATCACTTAGGTTGTTTAGTCCTTCTTAGGTTTTGCCAATAACACTTTACATTGTTTGTTAATTACAGTTTTACTAATAGAACTGCTCTTTTACAGAACATTTATTATTTTAAATACCCATCTCAGATTATTTCTCGTCTCATTTGGTGTATTGTATTAGTTATTACCAAAACATAATGGGAAGTCATTAATTTGTTTTTGAATTATAAGTAACACCTTGTCTAAACACACTGTACTGAATGTTAGTAATTGAGATTGCTTTCAAATTTGCATTCTATGAATTTTAATCTAGGGTTAGGGTTGCCAAATGTAACGGAAATCAGATACTAATCGATAGTAAGTCTAGATACTCATTTGAGCAAACTAGATATTCATTTGAGCAAGTCGCAGCACAAAAATTAACCTTTCCTGAATAGGTTTAGAATGATCTTGAGCTGTATCAGAACAAGTATGAGACAAGTATACGCCCACATACAGACCTCTATGGAACCTCCTTGGATGTCCGGAGGATTACACAGATATATGGCCACATGGTAATATAAAAGAAAGTAAATTTTTTCTTGCTGTGGGGGCCATTTTTATATATATCTTCGACTTATAAGTAACTAGAATGTATCTAGTTGAAACTGCTTTGAAATTAGTGCATATTGGTGCATATTTAAACCAGAAATAATAAATTAATAACTGTAAAACAAGAATCTCATGCACTTGAGAAGACATTAGTAGAGATTCAGAGGTTGGCAAATAATAAAATCGCTATGGTCAGCCTCTGTCCAGTCTCTTGCCAGTGTCATATTTTCATAATCTTAATTCAAATCAGTGTTTATAAGGATCTCATGCTGCAAAGGTAAGACCCAAAGTGCCCACTCTGTTATTACAGCGAGATTAATCATTTCTGATCCACTTGACATTAATCAGTAAAATTGTGCTATTGTGTCAAGATTCATTTAATTATGTCCAGATTGTATCAGAAATGGTCCCTTGCCTTGATTTGAATAACCTTTTCACCATCTTGTGCTTTGTGTAAGCTGAATGGGGCCTGTTGTGTTGTAGGTCCATAAGAGATCAGCGGAGCGTCTTCGGGACCTGTGCTGTGCCAACCGTGGGACCTTTATCAAAGTGGGGCAGCACCTGGGAGCCCTGGACTACCTGCTGCCTCCAGAGTACACCTCCACCCTGAAGATACTGCACAGCCGCGCCCCCCAGAGCAGCATGCAGGAGATCAGGCAGGTCATCAGGGAGGACCTGGGCAAAGAGGTACACCCAAACACACACGCCCAAACACACACACGTTCATCCACGAAAAGGGACAACTTCAAATTTATCTGTACTGTGGAGTAGCCTGAATACCAGAAGTTAGATAAAGGATTAAATTAAAGGCATATTATGAGTAGTGTTATTTCCAGAGTTCCTAGAGTTTGGAAATATTACTTGTGTAAACTGTAATCATGTACCTCTCTTACAAATAATAATGTTTGGTCTTTAGGCAAGAGTTTAACCCCATTGCTCAAAGGTATAAAAATCTGGAATGTCACTCTTTCAACCCGTAACCCCTGACAAAAAGCTGTCAAATCAAAACCAAAATCTAAATATTACAAAAAGCACATAGGGCCTTGTGGTGAAAAAATGAATTGGTCGATTAATTTCTCCTCTTGATACAGCTGAGGTTTGGGATGTGTCCAGCCTTCTGGCCACACTGACAGAAAAGCTTTTGGCCCCCCACCATGGGGCCTGCGGCCGCTGTGTTTTCCATAACTCATTTGAACTTATCACAGAGCGCTGTGTCCCTGAGGAGCTGTGCCATCAGCATACATTACCATGTTTATGAACTTCACCACATGGTTACTAACACTGGACAGGGCCATTTGTACACATTATACTCTCATTGAACATCAGCTCTATTGAAGATCATGACTTATTGTATACACACACAAAACCACACTTCCTTCTGTCCCTCACTATCCCCCATACGATATTTTAATAAACTACTGAAATAATTTAGTCTCAGTAGTTGATTGAACACTGTCTGCAGCATGTGTGGACTCTAAACATGCCATGCTCTTGTAAATACTAGAAAATATAAACATTTGTCAATTAAAAAGATAATTTCTTTAAATATTGACTCTTAGGTACAAAAACATTTGCTTTCAGCTTGCCCTAATTCACGTTTTGTAAACATCACCCATTCATTTCACTCCCTAACTGATTATTAATTGATTAATTGAAACAATGCATTGATTTATCTATTACCACAATAATTGCTAATTCCAGCCGAAGCCTAAAGCCATCTACTAATCCATATACTTCTTGTCTAAGAGGCTTCTCTACTCTACTCTCTCAATACAACTGTGTATATACTTTAGTCCATGTAGATTATTAGACCTTTAATAATAAAAGCCAGAGTTATCTGGCAGTGTGCAGTGCATTAGTGTTGTCAAAAGTACACCAAATCCATTACTAATCGATACTAAAACTAGTCGAAACTACATACTTTTTTTGAGCAGATATCGATACCTGTATGTCTGAGAGATGTCTTGCTATAGAAATTAAGTTTGCTTTTTAATTCTAGTATTGCCACAATACTAAAGGTAGAGCCATGCTTGTAAACAGTGAGCCGTATCACACCAAAGCAGACACTTCTTCTGTGTGGCCTTTCTCTGTTGGCCGTAGTTCTCTCTTAAATCCATGATCCTCTCCTGCAGTATTTCTGTGGCAGAGCGCACTGTTATCTGGCTCTGATCGGACGCTGACAGGCCTCTCTGCCCTCTGTCCCGCTGCAGTTGTCAGAGATCTTTGTCTCCTTTGACGAGCGCCCTCAGGGAGCTGCATCCCTGGCCCAGGTCCACAAGGCCGTGTTGCATGATGGGAGAACAGTGGCAGTCAAAGTGCAACACCCCAAAGTGCAGACGCAGAGCTCCAAGGACATCCTGGTGATGGAGGTGAGTCACAGCACAAAGTAGTACTATAGTAGTGTAAACAGTCATTCTAAATAGTAAAAATAATAAAGATAATCATTTTCTGCTTTTAGTTAACAGCATATATGGGCTTTTCACAATTTTGTTCATGGTCGCCATTTCTTTTTATGTTTTCATCTTTTCTGTATATTTTTATGTGCTTTTAAGAGGTGACTAAAGCCATTTCTTTAACTTGGAGTTCACTTCACTGAGATTAGTTTAATTCACCTGTCAATCACTCAGAGTATCACAGGCTGACCAATAGGAGAAGTGGGTCTGGACTTGGAACATCGGGCTGCAATAAACAGAGACGCAAGGAATCACTGTATGACAACATCAACAAAAAAGCATATCATCACCACATTATATAACAATTTAATTTCTTATTCCTATAACGCCCGGTCCTAACACCACTCAGGAACACAAGTTATCCTGCTTAGTTAAATGTTCTTTTTAAGTCAATAATTGGGACCAAAGCTGCGATAGTTACTGCATGTTTGTTTCCTTCTTGTCTACTTTTGAGAGTGAGACTTGATGAATGTTAAGTAGCAATTTAATCCTTTATTTACCAGCCTGCGGGCTACTTTCACTTCAGCATAAGTACTTCCTCTTGATTCTGGAGCTGTTTGATGCAGCTTCTCGTGCTGACCAAATCTGTATAAACAAGTGAGGATACGCTCTCATCCACTCATGTAGTCATTGGGTTTTGAGATTTAACATCAGTGGCTCTCAAATATATGAAAATCTAACCATAATCACTCTTTGAGTTACTGCAATTATCAAATCGCAAAGACTGCTATTGTTTTATTATTTAGTCCTCTGCAAATAACAAAATAGTATCCTGTCTTATTAGAAAAAATCTTGTTGTTCCATGTTCTACAAACATGTTCTGAAATACATGGGATTCTTGTATTAGTTTATCAGTTGATATTTCAGCATTCTCTCAAATGTCAATGTTCTGAGAGTTGTTTACAACGTGCACTCTGAACAGAATCCTGTTTTTTAAACTTAAATCTCAAATTTAATCTCAAGTCATAAAAATAGATGTTTTGTTTTGTTTTGTTTGTCAAAGCCAGGCCGCCCAACTCTTAAATGTTATAGACTCAAATTGTTTATACATTTGTTATGCACATTTTCAGTTCTTCTTCGCTTTCTGTTGCGCTGAATGCTCTGTGATTGCGTTGCCAGGTGTTGGTGAAAGCGGTCCATTGGCTCTTCCCAGACTTTGCCTTCATGTGGCTGCTGGAAGAAGCTAAAAAGAACATGCCTTTGGAGCTGGACTTTTTGAACGAGGGGAGGAATGCAGAGAAAGTAGCCAAAATGTTGTCTCACTTCCCCTTCCTAAAGGTATGGAATAGTGTAGGTTTAAGTGTAATCCTTAACCAGTTTTGTCAGGAAACTAATGTGTCCATTTTCTGCTCCTCACAAAATAACACAGGTGCCTAAAATCCACTGGGATTTGTCAACCAAGAGGATTTTAACCATGGACTTTGCTGATGGAGGTCAGGTCAATGACAAGGAGTACATTCAGAAGCATGGCATCAATGTCAATGAGGTACTGCTCTCCTCCTCTCCTTCTCTTACTCTGCTGGTCTGTAGGGACACATCGATACCTTGTTTTACCAATACCTGACATTAACTGATACCAGAAAACACAGTTAACTTAATACAAAATGGATCCAATTGTGGCATGTAATTGTTATCTTGCAAGTAACTACAAAACAGCTTTGTATGAGTAAAAGCTATTCATTATGACACATCCTACTTAGACCTAGTAAATGTTGTTACCTCAAATAAAGGCCCAATATTGGCAGATATTGCATATTGGCAGAACCAATATCATGGAACTGATATGTGATACAGCAGAAATTCCTGGATTAGCACCAATGGTTGCTAGCCGCTCAATTTCATTTCTCTCCAGCAACTAGGTCAGGAATCGGAATACACTAGACGGTTTACAAGAACCCCAGAAGTTGCAGACCGCACACCAGCCAATCAGCGAAGAGCTGTGAAGCCATGACATCAAACTCAAGCACTTGTCTGGGTCCCTTTTGTGGTACAGCACAACAGTAAACAAAGCGGTCGAGATGGATGTAGACGAAGCCAGACATTCTGTGTTGGTAACGATTCCCAAGATCGAGGATTTAAAGACGGAACAAACAGAATGTTTGGTGAATTTTATCAAAAGGAAAGGTGTTATTGCCCTTCTTCCTATTTGATTTGGTGCATTACATACATCATGACCAAATAGTAACGATTGGTTAAATAAAAAAAGTACCCGCCTACCGTCGAGTGAACGAATCCTAATGCTGCGGGGTCAGACGATTTCCACGAAGCGAAACCGGTTGATGAATCAGGCTAAATGGCTTCCATATTTATATTACAAAAAAGTAATAATTATTTAGGGAATGGAGTTGTCAAAAAATCAGTACACATGTATTAAAAGCATATTGTTATGAACAGGTATTGATGCTGGAAAAGGTTCATAGTTTTTTTATTTTTGGTTATAGGTCCTCATCTGTCTCTAAGCTACAACACGATCCCATGTATCCTTGGATTCAGAGTGATGAAAAATGAGCGCGGCCGCCATAGCTATTTACATTTCAAAAAAATATATCTTGTGACTGGTGAAAGGTGCTCAAAATGAGACCTACAAAGCTGATATTGATGGATTTATAGAAACTACCATTAGTCTGTGTTGATAATGGCGTTCTGTTGTATAAAGGATGGTATCGTGACTGAGACTACACTGAGAGGAAAGCGTCAGTAGTGGGATTTGTACATGGAGGCTGCTGATGGAGGTGTAGCCCTGGGAAAAGCCTCAGTCTGTGTCTCATTCTCTGATTGCAGAGGCCAGCGGTTACTGCCCACGATCAATACACGTTTAAGTGTAGTCACCGCTCCTTAGCCACCTCATCATTATTTGTTTCTATTTTCCCCCTGCAAAGATTTCTCTGTTTTCACTGCATCCATAGGTTTCTTTTCCTTTCTTCTCCATTTTCTCTCCTTTTGTCATATGAACAAATGGTTTTGAGGCTGCTTCTTATGGGAATATTTATGATTGATGAGTAGAAAATGTGTTGCTTTTCACTATTCTCAACACGCTGCCACAAAAGATGAGAGTCGGCATAGTGCCGGGTCCTTTTAAAATTTTTAGCAACCAGTTCTTTACCTGCTTTTACGCATCATACTGGGAAAAAAGTAGAACTAAACAGTAAATCCACTGTTTTGCTACTGAACTATGTATATGATGTTTTAATAGCTTTTTTTTTTTGTGGAAATTTTTGTGCAAACTAGGTGAATTTGCAGCTTCCTGGTCAAAACGCGAAAATCTAAGTGGCCTCTGCAATTCCCAGTAGTTGGTGACATCACAAAAGACTGCTCTGATTACAGCCAGATATTTCTGACTGGTGAAGTTTGCAGTGTGGATACCTCCTCCACCCTCACTCTTTTCTTTAGTCCTTGAGGCACTGCCAAGTTTAGCAGCTCTATTTGAAATGTGGTTCTGGGAAAAGTTTAGGTTTTTAGTCCCACTTTCAGTTTGTATTTATTACCGATGGGACCTTGCAAGATAAAATAAATTGATGATTAAAAAAAATTGAAAAAGACCATGCACACTCAGGAAAATTACACTGTGATATTTTTTGAAACATGTACTTGTGAATTATATTTCTTGATAAGCTGTGGCTCAAAACGAGTTCAACAATGATCAAAAGATTTACACAAAAATACAAAACTGTGTGCACCCAGCCATATTTTCTATATTTTCTGCAAATCTGTTGTCTTTGAGTGTCACCCGATACAGCAATCCTTGTACAATTTCTGCAAATGGTGGCTGTTTACTGGTTCACATCCTTTTTACCATAAGTAGCTCATATTACATCTAAATGTTTTGCAGCTTTCCGAGAATTTGGGAAAAATCTACAGCGAAATGATCTTCCTTCACGGCTTCGTCCATTGCGACCCTCACCCGGGGAACGTGCTGGTGCGAAAATGCCCCCACAGCGGCAAAACTGATATCATCCTCCTGGACCACGGCCTCTATCAGGTAGGAAATCTCCAGCGGCAGCAGCAGAAAAAGATGATTTCTTTCTAATAATGCAGTCCATTTGTCATGCCGCGAGGCCTTGGTCTGCAGGAGAGTGCACAGGAATAACACGCAGCCACAGACACACTTTATTACCACTAAAAGCTTTCTGATAAACAAGTCATTTGACGTCGTTCACAGCGGAGTGCAGTGTTTTGATTGGCACCTCAGCCATAATGATTCCACCACTTTGTACACGCGCTACACAATACTCAGCACTGCAGGGACACAAACACGGGCCCAAACATACTTCTACTGACCAGACAAGTAATAAGCGGTAAACAATTCACTTCAATGTTCAGATCTTTATGTAATTTGTAGTCTAGAAAACAAGATTTTCCCTGAAGCTGCATGCTAAATATTGGTGTGCCATTTGTGAGGTTATACTAAAATGTAAATGTCAGAAATATGGATTTAATTTGGGCCAAAGTGCAAAAAGGATTCTCTCTGATCTGAATCCTCACTACCTAAACCCCAGCCCCTGCAGCTAATGATTAGTTAGAGCTAGTGCAGCCTCTGTCGCTCAGTGAGTGAATTTTGGAGGTTCTCAGCTTTCACATGAGGCATGGCTTGTTCATACACCGAGAATGAGGAAAACTTGAATGCATCTTCTATTTGCAGTTAAAGTAATGACAACCTAGGCTTAGTTGTGGTTGTAGAAACATTTTACAACAGTTAGTGTGTAGTAGGTTATGTACTGTGCATTTCAAACTTAAGAAATCTACCCTGGGTACACACTACAAGATTCCTCTGTTACTGAGTTGGCTGTGGTCATACTCACTTCCTGATGCAGACTTGTTTTTTCACATTCTGGTCCTGGTTTAGTCTAGCCTGATTCATCAGCTGGTTTCACTTCATGGAAACCATCTGACCTCACAGCATTAGGATTCGTTCACTCGACTGTATGCGGGTCCTTTTTATATTTAATCAATTGCTGTACTTGGTCGTGACGTATGTAATGTGCCAAATCCTGTAGGAAGAAGGGCAATAACGTCTTTCCCCTTGATAAAATTCACCAAACATTCTCTTTGTTTTGGCTTTAAATCCTTAATTTCGGGAATCTTTGCCAACACAGGATGTATGGCTTCGTCTACATCCATCTCGACCGCTTTGTTTACTGTTGTGCTGTACTAAAAAAGGGACCTAGACAGGCGCTTGAGTTTGACATCATGGCTTCACAGCTCTTCGCTTATTGGCAGGTGCGTGGTCTACAACTTCCAGGGTTCTCGCAAACTGTCTAGTGTATTCTGATTCCTGACCTAATTGCTGGAGAGAAATGAAATTGAGCAGCCTGGCTAGGTTTAGTCCTGGTCTAGTACCAAACTTAGTCCCTATTTAGACTTGGGACTAACCCAGGGTTGCCAGGCTTCAGCGACCCTAACCCTAAAGATCACCTAGAAAACCTCTCAAAATCCGCAGACAGCATTTACACAATATTTTTGAAAGTAGTACTCCACCAATGACACAGACCCACCCCCTCACCTCTCTTTCTTACATACAAAAGTTCCACAGAGCTCCGAAGGCTTTAGGTATAAAGGTTTGTCGGGACTTTCAGTAGGTTTATTCTAAAATCAACACATGTTACCATTACCAAACCTGTGAACATTATTTTGTAAAAGAAACGAGTTTATTGCCATACTGGGAATATTCTAGGTGAAGCAATAGCATCTCCATGGAAACAGTGGACCTTTAAGATTATATTGTGACCACATAATCATGACATCCCTTTTACAATCACTGCTTCACCCAATGACCCCTGTCGTGTGCCTCAGGTCTTGCAGAAGGACTTCAGGGTGGAGTACTGTAAACTGTGGCAGGCTCTGATCAACCGGGACCTAAAGGAGATGGAGCAGTCGAGTCGTAGACTGGGTGCTGGGGACCTGTACCCGCTGTTTGCCTGTGTGCTCACCGGTCGCTCCTGGACCGCTGTCAACTCTGGCATCAGCTCAGCACCCATCACACAGTCAGAGGTGAGGGGCTCTGTGGTTGCTCTGCCTGCTGCTTTCACTAATGTGTTTTTCCATTTCCTCTGCTCTTCTGACACTGGATAGAAAGATACTGTTGTAATGTTTTTAATCTAGTGTGAGGGCTGCAAGTTGTTGTAGAAGTTTTCAGCTTGTCCAAGAGACCAAGAAGTTTATTTACTTGAATCGTCTGATTTCAAAAGTGAACTTAGTATGATCTTTCAGTGTTCAAGCCCCTTGACTCTGCTTCCTAAGGAAGAGGTTTATAACGCAAGTGTGGTGAGACTGTGAAGGCCAGGATCAGACCTGGGCATTGAACAGCTCTGGGCCACTTGCGGCCCTTTGGTTGATTGTGACCGGCCCCTTTGTAATTTGGAATTACAAAATAAACATATTTTATCATTTTACCTCATGCATGGACTAAAGCTGCATTGCTTTTATTTTAGATGTGTGTTTTTAAATAACATTTTTTTGTAAGTCAGCTTCACTTTTTCATTGCTTAGTTATTACATATACTCTTACAAAGTTGAAAAAACTGAGGCACTCAAAAAGTAGAAAATAATTAAAAGCCTTTAATACCACATGGCAGATAAAGTTAAAATCACAAATGTCTATCTGTGTTTATCTGTTTATCTGCCATGTGGTATTAAAGGCTTTTAATTATTTTGTACTTTTTGAGTGCCTCAGTTTTTTTCAACTTTGTATTTGAGACTGGTTTCTACACTGAAGAGCACCGAAAGGACAATTCTGCACAATTTCTGTATATCCAAGCAACACTCCTGCCCCCCAAAGTTTTGCATATACTCTTACCAGTCTTACCAGCACGTCAAAACAATCCTATTTACTGCTTTATAAAGAAATATTATGAAGAATTGAGTTAAGCATTTAGGCCTGGCCCTCCACAGTCTTTTCTGTTTCTCCTGTGACCCCATGGAAAAAATAATTGCCCACTCCTGACTTAGATAATGGTGTGCCAAGGAAAGATGATGGTGTTACTATAGCTCCTATGAGTCAATGTTAAACTCATACATGTACACGTTAAACACGTACGTGGAGGATAAATTACTGAAATTCTCTCACACAAGCTATATTGCAATTGAGTCAAATTTGAATGGTCACAATTTACACTGTGTAACTTGTCCAGTGGAGGGTCCGTCACCTGCTTGTCTTCATGGAGTTGTGAATAGAATGTTCCACAGTGTTCCCATAAACTTAAGAATCTCCATGGAGACTTGTGAGCCAAATTAAAGGTTACATTTGTGGAGAGGCGAGATAAGTTAAAAATGTGAACTTTGAACAGAATAATTTTAAACTTTTATGCAGCTGAGAACTTGGACCTGAGTACAGTATTTTGTTTCATTTTTATATATATATATATATATATATATATATATATATATATATATATATATATATATATATATATTTATACTGAAAGGTCAAATAAACTGTCTGATTTTACTAGAAGTGGGCAGATTATCAAAAATAGATAATATTGTGAATGTAGTTTAAAGTGATATTTTGTGCACCTTTTGTGTGTAATTAAATTATTTCACACTTGTTTGTTAATTAAACTTCAACTGATACAATTAAAGATAAGTTTAGCACATACTCCAAAACAAATATTAAAGCTTATAGCCTTTGCAGTGCTTGTTAGAAAAATCGCAATTAGATCATTTTCCTAAATCAGCCCTAGTTGACAATGACACTCCAGGGCTGAGTTACACAACAACTGTTTTGGTCATCTAATAAATTTGACCTTTCATCATAGACCATCTTTATTTTTGCTAATGCTACGGCTACAACAACAACATGTTTTTGTGACTTCTGTCAGTAAGCTTTATGAATACTTTCATGGGAGCGTTAGGAGAATGGATGCTAAAATAATGGCCTGTCATAATATTTTGTAGTATGAAATATTGCTGTAAAGTAAAGTAAATATAAACCATAAACAATAATATTTCCACTAATTTATGCCACTGACACAATAACCCAAGAGCAGATTTAATCCACAAAACCTATTCTAAACTAAGTAATCAGCTGCAATAAATGAACAGCAGAATGAAACACTTTAGTACTTAGTCTGACTTGAATCTGTAATGAATCTGTTATTAATTCAAGCTTTTATGGCTTAAATTTTATCTTATAGTAAAAAAATATTGCGACAAGACTACTAAAATGGTTATTGTTGTACTCCTATTGATGAAATGTGACTGTAAAATCTAGTCCAAGGCCAGTTTGAGGTGCTTCTACAAGTACTAATAACTGCATTGTACTAGTAACTATTTCTTCATTCAACAGAAGGTCTAATGTCCCTCTGACATGTTCAGATGTATGTGAAGAAATATCCCACTTATGAAATAGTATATTAGGTAATTAAACAGTTTTCCCTTCAATGAAAGAGAATCCTTAACAACCTGCTCAGCGCTCAGTGATCATATTGCTGTGTCTTTGTAGTGTCCTTCGGTGCACCCTCCTACTCACACTCGCTCTCCTCTCTTGGCTTTTGGTCAGCCTATTATTGCGGTACTCACTTTACAATGTGTGCTTATGGAAGCTTTCTTATGCAAATGAACCACTGTCGCCTACTCCCTACCCCGCTGACAGCTGCTTCACTAACCAGCCCTCCGATAATTGCTACTAATTATTGTCCCCCAAGAGGGACTGGAGAGTACATTTTAGAGTCAGCAGAGAAATACTTCAGGAGAGTGCACGGTTGGAAGGACGCTTTACTCTGTCAATATTGTGTTGTGCTCTTATATCACTCCATAGGAATATTGCAGCAAGACTTAAAGTGCACATGACAGGTTTTCTTGTTTCTCTCATTTTTACCTTGTTTGGTGGAATAGCTCTTGATGTTTGTAGTTGATACAATAAGAAGAGCAGAGTTAAATGAAATCCTTCTATTACATCAATATACAAAATGCCACCCAAAATGAAGGGGCAATTTTGTACAGGGATAAAAAAAAATTGACAGTTAATGCTTTTGGTTTACAAAACAAATAATTACACAATTTAACAATTACTTATTTTAATAAAATTAAATTTATTACTTAAATTAAAATGTTATTATCCTCAAATAATTCCTATTCTGTAAGATGAGTGCAACTTTGCCCTTGTTCACATTACATTTAAACAGTTCTGGTATTACCTCACACATCTGCTGCCCATGTTCAACCAGAATTTAAAATGATAAACTTCTCTAAAATGCTCAACTAAATCAGCTTGAGCTCTAGTGCGACTATAGGGCCAGCACCAAAAATGATTTTTTTCCTCCTGAAAGTTTCTCCATTACATTCTGATATTCTTAAAAATCTTAAATATAAATTTCCCTTCATTAACAGTTGTGAAAGCTCTGAAAATTATTGTTAATAATTGAATTTGTTGAAACTAGGTGATATTCAACTTCTTCTGACTAAAAAAACATTTATGTTACAATAACCATGTTCCTAATTTTTTGTCACTCCAAATTGATTCAGGAAATTGCAGATGGAAACTTGCTTTTTAGCTATAATCTGCTGCCTAACGTTGTTTTTATGACCATACATTGTCCCTTCAAATAAAGACTAAAATAAACAATCTATCTAAACTGTAAACGCACAGGCCATCAGGTAATTCAAGTGCTGAAAGCTCTTGTTTCCTATAAATTCGGTTGAAACATGTGAAATACAAATTAGGTATAGTATAGATTTCAAAGGATTAACCATGGTAACAAAAGCTTTTGGTTATTTTGTGTGTGCAGGATGTGGAGATCCGCACAAACGCAGCGCGCTACCTGCCTCAGATCAGCGAGCTGTTGAACCGGATCCCTCGTCAGATGCTACTGCTGCTGAAGACCAACGACCTGCTGAGAGGCATCGAGAGCTCCTTACAGACCAGAGCCTCCTCCTCCTCCTTCATCTACATGTCCCGCTGCTGTGTGCGCGCCCTGGCCAGGTCAGTCAAGGAGAACGGGCAAACTTATGTCTTTTGGGTGGGTCAAGGGAAGCGTTTGAGAGATTTTTGAAAACGGTAGACAGGCAGGGATTGGTTTTTCAGTGAGGATGGTTTTCAGTTTAGGCTCATCTTGTTTTGTTTACCAAGATTCTCTTCATTTCATAAACACAGCAAAAGCAAATGGATTCCACAAATATTTATTATAGTCTGAGAGACGTTTCCTTTGCCAGGATTTAATGTCAGAAATATCACCCCACATGAAAAACACAATCCATGTTGATTTTCCCTTCTTATATTTGAACTAATGTGATGTTGTTTTTGTGGGCAGGCACAAGAGGAGTAAGTGCAGGTCTCGTCTGAAGCGCCTGCACCTGTCTGTGTGTGAACAGGTGACTCTGTGGAAGCTCACCGTGTACCAGGTGTGTGTGTGGCTCCGCTCTTGTGTCCTGGGACAGTGGCTCTCTGCTCTGTTTGGACTTGTGCACACAACACACACATGATGGACCAGAAATCTCATTATTCCCATCCCCGCCGCAGATTTTAATATATTGTCATTTTGTTTATTTAATATTTGTTACAAAAAATGTGATCAATGGTTCTCAGCGGTGCATGCATACATTTTTTGTTTCCCACAATGATGGATCAAAAATGACGCACTGACTTTAACTTCATCAGGAACTGTTTTGTGGACATTTCTATGGAGATCTACCTCAAGGAAAAAGCTTTGTGATAGAGGTGACCCCAGTGTCATTTCCTGTCCCATACTTTCAACTCCACACTGCGGACATTTTAATATTCACTGTCAGTTCATACATTCATTTGATTTGTTACTAATGTTTTGTGCAATACTAAGGAACAATGTCAGTAACACAGAAGAGCAGAGTAACTTTTATCTTTTAGTTTTTAATGATATTATGACAGTGTTCCCTCCCTGATCATTAGCTTATTCAGAGTTGTATTTCTACTGATTATTGCATATTTGAGCAGTCCTGCATTGTCATGCACTCAAGGCTTGAGTGCTCAGAAAATTTTTGTTTTCAAGGTTAAAAAATACCAAGTAGACATTTTTCAAGAATGCCAACACGTAAATGACAATCTGATGCTTGGTAATACATTAAAATGGCACTGTGACGAGACAACGGCCTATCAGCTCTGCAGTTTTTTAATGGAAGTCAGTGGACCAGATTCTACTATTAATCTGTTTGAAACCAATAATGCTGTTTACAATGAACAAAATCTAAAAAGCACAATATGTCTTCTTTAAATAAAGGTGGTACTTGATGTCAAAATTATAGTTTTGGGGGGGAGGGGTTTTGTTTACTTTCAATCGTTCAGATATGTGCTAAAACACGCCTGTAACTCTGCTTGAGTATCACAGCTTTTTTTATACTTTCTATCAGCTTAAATACTTCTTAAATACTGACTTGGTTGGACATGAAAGCTGTAGTGTGAAATGGGTTGAAAGAGGGTAGAGACATTCAAAAAATAGTCATGGAGCCACAACATCAGAATAGTAATGACCATATGCTTGCAACGCCTTAAACCACTACACCACCAACATAGTTAAGTGTGTTTTTTTCTCTCTCTATTTGTTACATTTTGATCTCTCTGACTCGTAGTGGCCTTTATGCCCCTCCCTCCACATCCCTGCCGCAGTGGTCTGGTGAGTGAGTGAGGAGATGACCAGTGCAGGGCTGGAGGTACAGAGGGCTTGAGTTGATTGCAGATGGTGATTAGGTGAGGAGCAGGTGGGATGTGAAGCAGTACACGTCATCAGACACTGACCGCCCCACCTGCCTCCACCACTCTACTGTAATCAACAATAGAAAGGCAACAGTGTCTATAAAACTCCTAAAACAGTCATAAAAAGGATAGTGTTTTGTAAGAATGGTGAATGGAGAAAGAGAATAAGATCACATGTAATGGAAAATCATGCTTGTTAACACTGTTGTATGAGAACATGTTTAAAAATTCTGACAAATACGAAAAGGTGTAAGTGATGATCAGTCTGTAATAAAATACCTTCTGTTACCTGTATTGTCACATTTTGAAGACATGTAAAATAATAAATATGACTTAATGCTCTTTACTGTTGACTTCTGTTACACTGTAAATGAACTGCTTTCGAAGAACTAAAGAACTGACTTCTCTAGTTCTAATAAATTTATGGAGAATTATATAACATAGTGTAAAGACTGATGTGACTGAAGTATGTATCAAGATCAAACACTAGAAAGAGTACAAAAAAGGATAGTTCTATTATCCAGGAATTGTTGATTTTTACTAGTAGTTGATGATATGTCAGATTATGTAAATGTCTTGTGTACATGCATCTTGTTTTCAATAGCCACATAATAAGGCTTAGTCTACAATATTTTCCCCTCGTTGTCGGTAAACACATGTGCGTTCGTGTCTCGTGTTTGATTGGTTCCTCGTTTGGAGGCCTACACCGACTAGACCACAGTAAAAAGCCCTTTAAGTGTTTACAATGTTTGAAATGCTTTCGTCCTCATCGTGTCCCGTGCACTGAGTAAAAACGGAGACGTGCTCGTGTAGTGGCTCTGCGCAAGTGCGTGGACGCGCCCGCGCACACCACGCGCGCGCGTGGAGGGCGGGCCGTGGACGCTCAATGTTGCCCGCAGCAAGCGCACGCATCTCTGAGCGCCACACGGGCATCCACTGCACCGCGCTCCACGAGGCTGTCCGCGGATCCACGGCACGCGCATTCCGCTCCCGCGCCAGCTCCGCACCGCACTGGGACTAATGACTGCCGCCTCACTGGAATGTACCCGGGATTTTACTCTGTGGATTATTCTGGATGCGTTTGAGCCAAGGTCAGTGCGCACCGCTCTGCTGCGTTAGACACATTTGGGCCAAACACCGAGGAGGATCGGGTGTCACAGAAATCTGAGAGCCAAAGGTTCGTGTTTCTAGAAACAGGCTAAAGACCTGTCACTTCGTTTACAGAGCTCTTTTCATTTGTGTGCAGCTGGAAACGCGTCATGTCTGAGCCGTGCCAGGTGTGTTCATGTGAGAGCGAGAGCGGCCTTGCATTACGCAGGGGTCTCGTATGTTTTATGTGCTGTGTTTTGTGTTTAAATCACCAAACTCGCTTATGCGAAAAAAGGTTGGGCAAAAAGACGCACAGAAATGCGTCGGATGTCATCGTTAAAGTGTTGGACCGCACCAGAAGCGCTGCCTTTACCTTCTGTGATGATGAATAATGAATAGTGCGTTGGGCAGGTGTCGAGTGTCTGCATTGTTCTGATCTGCAGCTTTAACAAACGTAGGCCTAAAGAAGCCATTTCCACTGATGGAATAGAACTGTAGGATAGACGGTGCACTAAAACCAGGCTGCGTCTCTTCTACCGCTCACAAGCGCTCCACCTCGAAGTGGTAATAATTTGAGGCCTATTATTTGGAGAGATATACGATACAAATATATTACTTTTTATCATAATGTTTATTTTGATATTTTCATTTCAAAAGGACAGCTCGTTGTCAGAAGAATGTGTATCTTAGTGAATGCCAATGCGGAATGGGAGACAGTTACAAATGAAATAGACATTGTGTTTGATGCGTGTGTCACGTTTCTGCTTCACAGACACACTGTTGGGTCCAGCCCCTTTCCTCGGCATCTGAGTAAAAGCAGATGTGGCGCGTGAGCTTGGTCTCCAGCTTCACGCGCACTGACCGTGAGCGTCGGCGTGTGTCGGATTGAGGACTTAATGGGATTAGAGTCTAGTGTTAATGCGAAGGGATTCTCTGCTCGGGCTGCTCCACACGGGCGTGCCTCTGCTGCGGGCCCAACATCTTGCACAAAATGGCATCTGCACAAATCAAATCAAACTCTTCTCCTTTATGTCGTACAAAATACTTGATTTGTTTCGTTCATTTCGTTCAAAAAGACCCAATGCGGTTGAAAATTGCTTCGTAGAATCAGGTTGAATTATTTGTTGAGTTATGTGGGAAGTGACTATGAACTAAATTAATTGTGTTGATAGATTTTTGGATGAAAACAATCAGAGCTGTTGTAGGCCTGCTGTGTGCGCACATCTGCAGCAGTGATTGCGCTGTTTCTGCGCGTTTGGTGCTGGCCGTAATAATGTGAAAAATGATCAGAATTGGGAAGAATACAGAGGTCTGCTTCTTCAGGATTGCGCTTGCCAACTGAAGTGCTCCTGAGTCCAGTGGTGTTGCTTGTGCGTTACATAAGGTGTGGTCTTCACAGTGGGCCTTGCTCCATCATTAATATATCTGTCAAAGGGGGGAAATATGATTAAATAAATAAATACAAAATACAAAATATTGACAATGTACCTCGGCTCATGCTGGTTTAGGCCCAGTGACCAAAAAGTCTAACTCAAGAAATCTTTCTTTTTGCCAAACTAACGGTGCGCAAAATGCTAGATGTCTGAGCGGACATAAGGATGTTACATAATTGTATCAGTAGCGTGGGTGCGCGCGTGCGTGTTGTGGGTGTGTCTGGAATTGTATGCACGTGCGCGTGCTTCGCGTACTGTTATTCACTTGTATCAATTTTTACTCATTTACATGTAACTCGGGCCTCGTGTGTGTAACTCGTGAGCCTTGCGTATGTGAGCATGCTCCACGAAGCTGTGTGTTTGCGCGTGCATGTGCGCGTGCGGCGGGGTGAAGTGGGTGCTCTCTGTCGGTGATGTAATGCCGTCAAGGCTCTGCAGCAGAAGCACAGCGGCTCTCACACCTTCCTCAGACCAGATCCGATTGGTTCTCCTGGTTCTAAATATCCAAATGTTGTTTGTGCGTAAAGGGCCGTAAAGGTGTGGTTTAGATATTATGAGCACTAGTCTCCTGAGAGACAACACAGGTGTAATCATGTGACCACACTGGAGACCGGCCCAGAAATTATGACTTTGTATGTTAAATGATGCGTTTGGTGATAATTGATTTTTTTCCCACACACCCAACAATAATGCATGTTAAATGATATTTAGCTTGAGTTTGAACAGTCTCCATTCTCGTATTCATCAGTGTGATTCCTTTATTTTTCCACCAGAGTCAGAGCTGTCAAATGTATTCTTCACAGTACGCTATTATTATTATTATTATTTTTATTATTATTATTTTCCCATAAATGTGTCGGAATGATTTTTCTGGTATTTTCCAACCTCACATGTTTATAGCCTATGCATTTGCCTGTTACAGGCCTTTTACTATAGGCCCACCGGAAAATACGCTTCCAATCATCCAAATGTTTCTTACTGTTTTTAATGATGTATATTCTCATACAAGTATTTTACTTAATGATATGAGAGCTGTGCGTGTGGCCTGGAGCGGAGGCGCGTGCACGGCTGTGATGACATGCATGAGTGAAGCACTACACGTGTACGCGCCTCTCAGCTGATATGATCTGAGACCGAGAGACATTTTGTTACACATCCGGTGTGCGCGTCTGTGAGCGTGTGTGAGCCCTGCACCTGCTGTAAAATCACTGGCAAGTGACATCTATTTAAGCACAAAGGGGCTCCTGGTGGGCAGCTTTTATTTGCATCAACACGCGCGCGTTTGCAGGCGGCCGCTGATGTTAATAGGATTCAGAGCGCGCCGCCTTTTGTCCGCGCTGATGTGGACTTGTCTCTGCTGGCTTTTTCAAAAGAGCCTTTTCACGGTCAACAATGATCAGGCCGTTTAGCCTTTTAACCCCAGACTCTCTCTCAACACACACACGCACACGCACGCACACCTGACACTCCTGTAATTCAATGCGTAGAATCTGTATTAATAGTATAATATATTAATACTATTATAGCAATAATATTCCGACAGAAGCATATACATACATATGCCAGTGAAAAAACACAATTGGGCTCTGGATGGTTACGGAATATAAGGCAAATAATTAGTTCCATCGTCGGTGCAGAAGGAATGCGCGGCGTGGCTGTTGATAAGAGTTATCTGCGGAGAGATCTGGCACAATAATCCCCGGAGAACGGCCCTGCCCGCCGCTGATAAGAGCGACACAAGTGCTCAGAATAAAGGCGTGTGTGCGGACATGGATACAGTAGAGGATACATGGCACCAATGTAATCATCTGTCACATACTGTGCCACGAAAATATATCCTGAACAATCCCACAAGCTAGCACGAAAGGATATGTGAAATTGTTCTGTAGCCCGTGTCCCCCATCACAATTTACAGTTAAGTATAGGCCTATTGTCTTTACAACCTTTGTATATAAAATCACCGTTACTTGTTCATTTGTTTATGATTGGTTTAATGGATTAAGATGGAAGCATGGTCAGTAAAATACTCCTGCTTGATTGGGCTGATTGTATTGCCAGCTACCTACACTGTTACACTGACAGCTCATCTGATTTTGTCAAAATAATAGCTGGCAACAAAGTTATCAAATTGGCCTATGCGTTATATCTGATCTTTGATGTCTGGCTACATAATATGCTGCATTTAAATTCCTTTAATGGTATCCCTTACATTAGGCCTATCGTATATGATGGGCCTGTAATATGAAATAAAAAGGTTTTGTGTTCAGGATCTAAAACAACAATTTATGGTCACCTTTTTAATTTAACCTCTTTGCAATTTTGGGCGCACAAAAATGCAGTCCTATTTTCAGCAGACCATGCCGATCAGATTAGTCTTCATAATTATTGATTTAGTGGATAGTTCCTGGCCTGTATCAAAGGTGAACAGAATGCGTTTTGAGAGCAGGCGTGCACAGAAGGCTGTCTCTCCAAACGCTGGTCAGATAAGGTGTCTGTCTGCAGACTGATCGCCCGCGCGGCACCGAGAATAATGACTTTCATTTACTGCGCAGATGACCGATAAGTGCGCGCGCACTGAAGGACAGGAAGCGCGCGTGTAACACAAACTTTCCTCGTGCCACGTGTTCAGGTACAACACAAAATATTGGTAATTGTCCTGAAGAATAACTAAGAGGCACTTATGGTACTTAGACAGCAGGCTAGGTTTTTGTCTGAGCCTAGCCATAGCCTACTCTATTTTTATTTGGGACATTTATTTTCGGTGTTCTAAATCACGAGATTTTTTAAAATTCACATCTGTTGGCCCTGAACACAACAACCTATAGGTAATGGCTATCGGTCTATTGGTGATATTGTTTTACAGCGGCTAAAAATCTAAGACAGAAGGAACGGGGGTAAAAGTCTCTGGGTGAAATAAACGTGTCTAACAGCTTCGCTTCGTAGTAGGGCTATATTCAAAGCTAACCCCCACATTTTGGCCTACACAATGTAGGCCATGCCACCGTGATGATGACTCAAAGATGAAGCAACTAAGGTAGGTGAAAGATATTTCCAGAGTCCTTGCTCCCTGCCTAGACACATGGATCTATTCATGTCAAGGATCTAACTAATCGTCTCCAGAAGCCCCTAAAGGACCCACAGGACCTGCACCTACAGGACCTGTTCCCCTTCTAAAGATCTATAACAGGTCCAAAATTGGTTGTAACTAGGCATAAATCAGGTCTAGAATAAGACTACACAATTGTGTAACTTGTCCTTAAACCTGGACTAACTCAAAAAAAAAATGAATGTGGATTAAATTGCTGTACCAGCTGAAGAGCACATATACCATAGGTGGTAGCACTGTTTGAGAAACACTGCTTCAAGTGTGTGCATGTTTTGTCTGTAGAGGCAGTATGACGAGTCTTGTTTTTTCTGTCACAGATGGGCATGAGACAGGCTCGAAGATTCCAGTCCAGCTGCTTTTCCCAATGGACAACACGGAAGAGGAAAGTTCACTTGCACTGAAAGGATCTCTACACCTTCTGCCTTCATTCCAAAAGCACCTCCTGCATTCACTGACAATGAACGGAACAGAAATGGCTTTAGACTGTTAAATATGACTGTTCTGATACTCCCCTAAAATCATATTTTTATAGAAGATATTTTTTGAAAATCTTTTTGCAGCCAACATCAATTTGAACTGGATCTGCTCAGATCCCTGAATATTTGAATAGAACTGCCAATTCTTCACAGCTATGGATCTTGTACATTTTTGTATCCAGCTGCAGCTTCTGATGAGCACATGTTTGGGCCTGGAGTTCCTGGGCACTCCAGGACAGTGGGCGCGCTACCTCCGCTGGGACGCCAGCACTCGCAGTGATCTGAGGTTTCAGATTAAGACTGCCTCCCCTGATGGAGTACTGCTTTACTTTGATGATGGGGGCTACTGTGACTTCCTGCTGCTGTCCGTGGTGGAGGGCAGACTGCAGCTGCGCTTTAGTATCGACTGTGCAGAGACCAGTGTGGTGACAGACAAGCGGCTGGACGACAACCTGTGGCACTTTGTCATGGTGAGCCGGTACAACCTGCGCACTGTGGTGGCTTTAGATGGACTGGCCAAGGCCGACGAGGTGCGGCCCAAGAGGCAGCTGATGAAGATAGTCAGCGACCTTTTTGTAGGAGGAGTTCCTCAGGACATCCGCAACGGAGCCCTCACTCTGCCCACAGTCAGGAGCATGCCTCCATTCAGAGGAACCATCACTGAACTCAAGTACGGAAACAGCGCCCCCCTGCTGCTGGGAAGCCTCAAAGTCCCCCTGGAGACTGAGGGCTGGTGTTCTGTCAACCTGTGTGAGAATGGCGGCACCTGCTCCGTGGTGGATGGACAGCCAGTGTGTGACTGCTCCAAAACTCCGTACAAGGGCCGCTTCTGCAACCAAGGTAACCCTCTCTCTGCTATCTCTGCTGCTGTACAGGCTTAAGGCTGTTCCTATTAGTTGTGTCAGAAGATGAAAGAATACCTTTTGCGTAGATAAAAAATAGAGCTGAGATGATGTTGTGTAGAGAAGGTTTGGGATCGTCACTATTTAAATTCTTTTTCTCACAGACTCTTGATGCTGCTCCTGTGTGTGTGCGTATGTGTGTGTATGTGTGTGTACATGTGCGTGTATGTGAGCGGAGCGGGGCAGAGCTGTGTGAGCTGAGATTATCGGCTGCAGGTTAATGACATGAGTCCTGTGGCTGCTGATAAGGAGCCGGCCCATCTCTTTGAGCCAATCAAAGACGGCTGGGTTTCTCTTACATTCTGTTGTAAATCAGTTGTGCTCAGTGCTCCTGGCAGACACCGCTGCAGTCGGGTGAATACACTGTACTTCTGTGCTGGAGATGGGATCTTCTCACTGTCTATGGATCTCACAGCTCATTTGTTTATGTATTTCCTGTCTGTAATTAAGCGTTTGGATGGCAGCCGCACAGATACATAATTCAGCTGGGCCACAGTCACAGACAATGGCCGAGTGGGGCTGGAATTCCAAGATTAGCTTCTTTATCTCTGCTGTGGCGCTCCTCTATAATGGGGGGCACGGGTGGGGGATGGGCCTGCACCTCTGTCTATTCTCCCGTGCTTCTATTTGAGAAGCTTTGTTTTGCTCAATTCATTAAAGGCATTAATGAAACGCACAGCAGCTCCACCGACCAGTCCATTATTACATCTTTTATTACATCTACGAGCAGCCTCACCCGCCCTGGTGCTCTGACTCAAGTGTGTGTCAGCAAGAGTTTGCAGGACAAGATGGACATTGACAGGACAGTTACATAAGGAAAACTCAGGACAGGACAGTTACATAGAGACAGACAGGACTATTACACAGTATATGCACAACCAGTCAAAAGCTTTACTACTTTCTACATTTTGTGTACATACAGAAAATATAAAATATATGAAGTAACATATTTGGAATTATGTAGCAAAGGAAAAAAGTGAATAACTCAATAAAATCAATAAAGCAAAAGATGACTACTTTGAGGATTTGAACACAAAAAATTCAGTTACTTTTTTCATTTGCTACATAATTCCATATATCTTACTTCATATACTTGATGTATTCTGTATGTATGTAAAACGTAGAAGGTAGTAAAAAAAATATTTTAAAAAATTGAATGTGATGTCCAAACATTTGGTCGTGTATGAGACAGTAGTGAGACAAGGGACAGAGATGGGACAGTTACATAGGGGACAAAGGACAGAGACAGGACAATCCGTGTATCATTCATTTTTCAAAATATAACCAAAAATAAGAAAACGACAAAACAACTTTTTTTTTTCATTGTCTCCAAAACCAAATTGAAAAAAACAAATAATGATTTGTTTTTTCAATTTTCATTTTTGTGTTTAAATTAATAATGGAAAAAAAAAAACAGATAGTGACCATTTCCTGTTTCCGTGACTTAAAACTGCGATGCCAGACTTTTGCGCCACTTACAGACTGAACCAGGACTAAAACAGGATTAAACCAGGACTAAACCGGTCTCAGTCCTAGCCCCAGTCCTGGTCTGGTCCCGGTCTCAGTCCTGGTCTCGGGCCCAGTCTGGTCCCCATCTCAGTCTTGGTCTATTCTCGGTCTGGTCCCGGTCTCAGTTCTGAGCACCCGACATTCTACGCGAGCGCAAATCTGGGCTTGTCCTGACACTCAGTCCTGGTTCAGTCCTGTTTTAGTCCTGGTTCAATCCTGGCTCAGTCCGGCATCACAGTTTAAATCACAGAAATGAGAAACGACCATTATCCATTTTTGCCATTATTCATTTAAGCACAAAATCGAAAACTGAAAAAAATGAATCGTTATCCATTTTTTCATTTTGGTTTTGGAGACAAATAATGAAGAAAATAGATGTTGTTTTTTTTTTGTTTTGTTTTCTTCCTTTTGGTTTTATTTTGAAAAACGAATGAACAAATGACACACGGATTCAGGACCGTTACATATAGATGTATAGGGAAACGACATTTCCTTTAAGAACAGGGGCCACAGATAGGACAGTATAAGGGACAAAGGGACAGAGTTACAGAGAGGACAGACACGGGGCAGTTACGTTGGACAGATAGGACTGTTACTTGTCTAGGAACATAGAGACAAGGAGCATATTTGGGACTGTTGTATATTGGACATACTTTTACATAGAGGTATAGTCAGATACATTATGGACTAAAACGTATCTGCGTATGGACCTGTTTGTTACCACACTGGTAATGGGTCAAATGGCTGCCACACCACACGTCCCGCACCCACAAAGGGCAGGTCCAGGTCTGTACACTGGATATGGCCAGTGTTGTGAATCATTCATATGTTTGGAGTATAAACAAGACAGGCCATTGGAGCTCTCTGTCACGGACTACACACCAGGCTAACTCGCGGTGAAAGAAAGTTTAGCATTCGCACAAAGGACACCAAACTGAGCAAAGAAATGTTGCAAATAAGCATATGTTTTGAGTGTCTGTCATACTTAAATGAAACAGGGTTATGAAGAAATGCTATTGTTATACTGGTGATTGTCCCTGTTGTCTTTAAGTGTTGAGTTATGTCAATGATGAGGATGCAATTTTGGGCACGTACTGAAAATTTGTATGTGTCAGATCTTACCTGTAACTTAAGCTATACTGTAACTTGTATATATAAATGGACATAGCTAACACACTATCTGCCGCATTCCAATATAAGAAGTGAGCTGTCCATAAAAAATTCCTATTCTTAATAAAGAACTCGGCTCCAAATTTGCTTCTGTAACTGCAGGCCTCGGTGAGCTTCATTTGACTGGAGCTGAACGCTATGGGCGATGTCATAATCACTTTGTCCACTTCTTTATACAGTCTGTGATGGAGAAAGCAAAACAATACAATGGTGACAAACAAGTGGCAAAACATTCACCAAAAATGTTGTATCTTTAAAACGATTAGGAGTGTAACGATATCCAGGTCTCATAATACAATATTGTCACAGTATGAACCTCACGGTACGATGTTTATTACAATATTATGGGAAAGCTCATGATATGGTAGGGAGGCTTACAATTAGGGATGTAACAATATCCAAATCTGTTGGTTTTCATGATACACATCTCACGGTACGATATTTAGGAGGCTGCAAACAAAACTGTTAATATGCTCATTTTCTTCTTAAAATGCCTTGACAAGACTTAATCCAAATAACTAAGACTTAAAAGTGCTTAGAACTGTTATTTCTTCTTGTCTGTATGGAGATGTTCACACTGAAATGGAGCAAAGGATCATGGTCTATGTAGTTCTCTGTTTTTTTTAGCTATTGCTGCACCATAACTCTTAATTTAAACAAAGAGACTTGTAATTCGATATATTGTGATGGTCCACGATATTATTGTGAGAACTTTGACAATATGATATCACAATATATTTGTTATTGTTACATCCCTAAAAATGATAAAACAAAAATGGTTATTTCTGCCTATATGTACTATTCTATATTTATGCACAAATATAGGTGGTTGTGGTTCTCGGTGAATTGGAGAAACCACTGAGTGTGCAGAACATGCATATGGCTGTGCTGTTTGCCAGCCCTTTGTATGGCCTCTCCAAAGTGTGATATGAGTTTGCATGGAACCAACATGCAAAGAGCAGTGTGCTAATCTGAGCTTTGTTTCCCTGTGTCTGTTTCCCTCCAGAGGTCACACAGAATCTGCCAGGTGAGTTTTGTGCACGTCTTATTCTTAAACTAAACAGAATAAATGCAGGGGAGTCCCGGGTGGTGCAAGGGTTACTGTGGACAGATGGTACTCTGCCTTCACCGGTCTGGTCTGGCCACAGTCGAGAGAACAGGAAGTCAACCTGGACACGTTAACCAAGATACTACTGAAAATGCAATATGCTAAATTTATGGTTTTATATGGATAGAAAAATAGATTCATTGTGTTTGCAAAATTATTGAGAAATTTCAAAATAATTGTATTTGTATTTTAATAATCAGTAATCATTAACCAGACTACAGAATCTAAAACACACACTGAAAGACTTTATGTGGCAAAGACATTGGCATTATTAAACCAAACTGTCAAAAAATGTTTGATATATGTTAATAATACACTTAATTTTAATATTCTCTATCAAGAAGCCTTCAGATCAGTTAACATTTCAAGATTTTTTAGGTTTAAAAATATTTACAGTCTGAATCTACAATGGAAATAATCATTTGGCAAGTAAATTAACAAAAAAATATATATATAATTTGCTGACTTGTCCACTACTAAAATAATCATTAGTTGCAGCCCTATTGTGAAGTCATGAGACAAGATGTGTTGCTCTCTGCAGAGGAAATAATATTACCTAAATGATTTAAAAATAAAGATGTATTTTACTATGAGTCATCTGTATTGAGCAGCAGCTATGATCCGGCTTACCTCCTGTTGTCTAAACAGGGCCACCTACAGACTGGGACCAGGGATCAGCCAGTCTGTCCAGTTCAGCCTAACAAACTTCTCTTAGCTTCTGTCTGTGTGTTCTTTACATTACAATACCACAGTATTGTAAGGCAGTGTTCTGATCCTCTCCTCTCCTTTCCTCTTTAAGGCTTTGCACATATGATGGCAGAACAAGGTATGTTCTCCCACATGTTTAAGATGGGTTATAACATGCTTGATATGGTGTGATTGTGATGTACTTTACTGCCCAACAAAGAAACAGCTCTACTCCCTATCAACAAATACAGAGGACCTTTCAGATCTCGAAATGTGGGAAAGAATAGAATTGCAGGGAATACAGATGTGATTACAAATGTCACAATTATAATAACTTTAGGGAGATTATCATTCGAAATTTTACAGTAGTATTTTCAAAAAATTTTAGCATGACCTTTATTGTTATGCTGAAATAGTTATGATCAGCTCTGAGCTCTTTGTTGGGCTGTAGTACGATGTTTGGACAGTGTCTCTGATACTTGTGACCTTTAGCCCTCAAAACTCAAACAAGAAAGAAGGTTTTTTATCATTCTATTTCCCTCCTTAGTAATTAATATTTTTTATTACCAACAGAAGAATTTTAAAAGTTTACTCACCGTTGAGGCATTTCAAGCATTTTAAAGGTCCTATATTACACAAAATAGACGCTATGACCTTAAAGCCATTTATTATTTACATTATTTACATTTATTTACCTCCTCAGAAGCATACCTGGAGTTGTGCTTTGTTTCATTCACACATGTTTTAGTAATCCTTTGATAATCTGTCCATATCTCCAAAGCTCAAAATGCTCTGTTTAAGCTTTCATTCAACAGCTACATTTCATTTTATCTTTAGCACAGTAGAGATTGGAAATTTCACAGCTGAAATTATCCAAATAATTCTAGTGAAGCTGTATGGTGTTTAAAAACTCAGTGGGGCGGAGCGCTTCCCAGTGTTTTCCATTTGAGAGAAGACCAGAGCCTAAATATGCGGTGATCGTGTTTTAAACATGTATGAATGAAACAAAGCCCAACTCCAGATCTGTTTTTGATGAGGAAATATTATAACATAGATCAGAAAACAGCGTAATCTGGGCCCTTTAATTATGCTTGTTGTTTATTTTTTATATTCTTTCTTATTTATATTGTGTATTATTAAAAAGATAAAAAATAGAAATATTGGATCCAGTGTAGTTAGTTATTCATTTAATTTACAGTTACTTAAAAATGATCTCATATAAAAATCTGATCTTCCCACATAATTTCAAAGACACTGTCCAAACCTCATGCAGTTACTCGTGTGGTGGTCGTTGTAATAGATGCAGTGTGTTGAGTATCTATTGACCCTGATGTCCCTCTGTCCTCTCCTGGTTCTCCTGCTCTGCCTTTGGACCCTGGTGCCTCTGCTGTAGCTAAGAGCAAAGGTACCACTTTCTCTCAATCTTTTCTTTACCGCCTGTATGAACAACAGCGCTTGTTTTGTGAGTGTCTGACCATGTCTCCACCGTGTGCAGTGTCTCCTCCTCTGTGTGCTCTGTGTGTGTTTTTGTTAAAGTCACTGGAGGAGGGTGTGAAGAAGGGATTGTGGAGAGGGGTGGGAGTGGAAGAGAGGTGTTCTTAATCTGACATCAGACTGCTCGACCACTTGGGTTACAACTGTGCACACAACATTTGATGATACACCTGCATATATAGTACTGATTAGGTTTGGGGGATCTGCCAGAAAAAAAATCGTGATTTTGTTGGAGCCAGATCATTTTCAATTATAATTTATTAAGTGTCAGATGAGATACAATTTCCACAGGATGAGACGAGACATGAGACTGGATCTGCAAGAACGAGACAAGATGAGATTTTGATTTTGAGATTATTTATAAAAAAGTACAATACAGTTCCCAACTTTGGCCTCACCATTTTTGATTTACTTAATAAAGCGCTACTAGTGATCAGTTCGTAATAATACTCAGGGCATGGTCTGAAAATGATCAAGTTGACTGTTCAATTTACATGGTTTACAGTCCCAGAGATCGACAAATGTTCAGAGATCCTTAATGACAATATTTTGGACAGAATTGTATTTACCAGGGGTCTCCAACTTGAAGCGTGGGAGTTATCAGTAGTTCTCCACTCTCTTCCAAGTAACTTGCCAAAGGATTTCTGAATACTTATTGCTCTGCATAACTAACATTTGTTTAATTAAATACCTATTACCGTTTTAAATGTGTCATTTTGATGCCCAACTTTGTGCACTAATAAATGGATAATGGTTTCTGTTTTATAGGCGTCTAACTGAACCCTGTCTAAGGCTTGCCGTGACTCTCATATTTACTCAATTTCTCGCAACTGCTAAAATTAGTCGCTCTCTGGCATTTTCATTTTACAAAAGTAGCTCACTGGAGGAAAAAGGTTGGAGACCCCAGGTACAGACTAATTGTTCTCCAGAAATAATAAACCTGTGTAACATACTTTTAAACACTACAAAAGCAAAAGTGTATAGGTTTCTGTTGCAACATAAACAAAAACGATTAATTGATTTTCGGTCACTATATTCATTGTAAATACACACTTTCTTTTTTTAATCATGGCACGCTATTTCTAGATTCAATTCTGTTCTGAACTTAAAATTGATGCATGCATCCATCCTTTTGAAAGTCAGTGTTTTGTGAAGGCAAGGTCTCAGTTACAAAACCAGATAGGTTCTTTCCCCAGTCTGCTTTTACACAGGCTAGTGTCCCTTTTATGGCATTCCCCACTGCCAGCACGGGGCTGGTCACTCCTCCTCTCCGTCTGTCCCAGAGAGAGAAGGGGGCAGGCTGGAGCAGTGCCCAGCGGACACTCTCAGCCACTACCAGCCTCACTGCTCTCAAGTTCATGCCCTCACTTTAATCATACTATCTATAACTCATACATACATACAAACACATTTCATCTAATGCCAGAAATAGCCCCCTCCCCAACCACCAGTCATGGGCATAACTACAGAAACACCAAAATGCTATCACTATTAAAATGTGTTTCAAAAACCCCTATTATTATTATTATTATTATTTCAGTTTTGTTTGTTTTTGTTGAGGAATAACCCATGTATTAAATCATACTTTTCTTGAACAGTAAAACTCAACTCTATTCCATCCCCAGAAAAAACTGATTACTAACTCCAATAATAATAATAATAATGTGTACTTCCAGTGCATTGTAACCTAATTACACAAAAATGTTTGATGGACTAAACTTTTTAAATGGATAACAACTATTCCAGACATTAAAATAATGATTTGACTAAGTTTGGACTAAAAGAAAATTTGAATTTGACCTTGTTCAAAAGCAGATTTCATTTTCTTTTGGTATCTCCCCTGCTATGCCCTGCTTTCTGAAATATCTCTGTGCATATTTAGATTCGAGCATATTACAGGGATGAGGGTCAATCCAGTCTCAAGCTGTTCATGTAGAGTCCCACTGCGCCCTCGTGCTCATGAGCCAAGCACCTACAGAGACACAACAACAACACAACCAGGCAAAACACAAATGTCTGAGGTGCAAGTAGAGAAGTTATTTTTTTTTCTTTGGTGCTAAATCTATGAATGGAGAAGAAATAGATGGAGAGTTTGAGGTGGTTGATGATTCTGCTGCTGAAGTGGAAGAAGAATGCTGTGAAAATCTGACTGGGGAGACAAGTCGCGATCTGTAGTCTCCCTGGCTGAATTTAAGCAACAGCATCAACAAAACATTGCACTTTTTATACTTCTCCTTATCTCAAATGTATACGGCCTTTTGTAGTGACCCATGTGACCCTGTTTTTAAGTTTATCTGATTCTCTGGAGTGAGCGGATAGTCTGACAGCGTGGGAAAGCTAGGCAAAATGTGCAGAAATAAGTTCAGATCTGCTCTAGTCAGTGAAGAGACTTGTCATGTATTTGCACGTCAAATCCAATATACTGAACATTTTAATTTTGTCACTATCAATTTTTTGACACATTCTCCCATACTATGATCTTGAGTGAACTTGTCAGATTGGAACGCTCACTCTATACCCCCCTGCAAAAACTATTACCAGAAGCATTTTTATATGTACCAATAACTAGACTTTCAAAGATTACTGCTGTATTTATGTATAATATGGGGAGGTACTGAAAAATGCAAAATCATCTATTCATATTAAAATATCCTGTCAGGCATTTGGACATGTTTCAAATGTGAAGAAATGTTTAATAACAGTTTTGGCTAATCTCAAATAGTCTGGATGCTAAATTTTAAACACATTTTCAGTACTAAAGTAAAGGCTTGATACTCGATTTGTTGGATTTATTTATTTAAAGGGATAATGCATATTAATGAATGTACAATGTAAATATTAGATTTAGCTCTGTACAGACATTCAATAACAAACACACAGTAAACACAACTGTAAAGTTAAAATGAGCACTTAAGATCAGTGATCACAGACCTGGTTCCTCTTAAAAGAACGTTTCAGGTTCATTTTAAATGTGTTTAACGTGAGCCTGTCTCGGATAGCAGCTGGGGGTCCTATTTCTATACCACAGTGAAAATAAAAAAGAGTAGAATATAAATGTAATGTAATGTAATTTATATTCATATATCCTAGATAAAGAGCATTCTAAAATGATTCAGGAAAAGGTCAAATGTTGTCTTTTCTCTTTATTGTCAGTACTGATACTTGTTCAAATGAGAATTTTATATTTGTAATTGTCTTTTGCAATCCTGCTGCAGCAAAACAATACATTTAAGCCCCGGGAGCTAAAGTAAAGTTAGACTTTTTTTAAGTCCCAACGTCCATTATTGTTACTTGCTGCTTTTTAGGTCAAAGCTGCCTTGCTCACAGAAGGAAATGATCTTTTCCATTTATTTTGTCTGAAGAATTTTAAAACAAAATCTATTTCTATTTACAAAATATGCAGCCGCTGTCATCTACAATTTTTTAAGTTGAGTTTTTCTAGACGATATTTTGTTAAAGGTGTCTGAGGAACCGTCCCCTCAGGCCTGCCTGTGATCTTAGATTTTGGTCTTTTTGCTTGGCTCGCTTAAATGCACTAGAGCGTGCTTCCTCCTCCTCTTCCTCACGTAACCATGGCAACTGTCAGCTGAGAAATGGCAACTGTGGCCCTTCATTAGGTATCAGCACCGCACTGACAGCCCACATAATGGCCAATAAGAGCTCTGTTGTGAGTGTGTTTTCAGTATGTGTGTGTGTGTGTGTGTGTGTGTGTGTGTGTGTATGTGTGTGTGTGTGTGTGTGTGTGTGTGTGTGTGTGTGTGTGTGTGTGTGTGTGTGTGTGTGTGTGTGTGTGTGTGTGGGGAGGGGCCCTTCAGACTCTGTCATTACCAGGGGCCAGTAAATGAACAGCCCCCAGGGACCGGAGCAGACCGGCGTCATGCTTCAGGAGGCACTGGCTTCAGATGGCTGTAATACAACCGCGTGCGCCGTGAAAAGGCTTTGATCCGGACTATAGAGCTGTATTTATTTATTCATTTATCCATTTATTATTTGTGTTTATTTATTTATTTTATGTTGATAGAATTTGTTTAGTAGTTGGTGCTGTACCACATTTTTACTGTGTCTTAAAAGCAGGTTGAGAAAGGTTTGTTGATGCATTCCTCGCATCCTAAGTATATTCAAGTAGATTTTAAGTACTTTTCACAACTAACAGAGGCCAGAGTGGAATATTGTTGTTAGGCTAACCACAACTAGCATGCTAACAGCGCACAAGCTATACTTCCTGGTTCATGGACAATGCAAATGCTTTAAGATTAGATGCAGAGCCCATTTTTACAATATATCTGTACTGTGGCAAAACAGACATTTTAACTTTGAGGACCCCCTCGAAAACGATATGGCAGGGCATCTCAAGGGGCTTATCCTCCAAACAAATAAATTCATATTCAATTCAAACATGAAAAAGCTATTTGAGCAACTAAACTGTGTACATGGCATTTAGTAGCGTTCTTTATTGTTCCATTTTTGTAATATTTAATGGTCCTATTTTAAGCTGAATTAACTCTGCTAAGCTTTTAGCCGTGTTATAACGTTGTTACCTCATCAAAAACATACCTGGAGGGGTGGGTTGTTTTTTTTTTTTTTCATTCACACATTTGAGTTGGCCTAATCCTTTATTAGTAGTCTGTCTACATTTCCAAAGCTTAAAATGTGCTGTTCCACCTTGTGATGTCACACAGTGGTTCTAGGGCTGAAGATATCCAAATGTTTCTGGTGAAGCTGTATAGGGTTTAAAAACGCAGTGGGCATAATATGGACCCTTTAGGTTCAAACTATGTTCATTTTAAATTTGCTGAAAATAATGTCTATGATTTTTTTTTTATTGCATTCTATAATGGCATGAACAAAATGGAAAGCTTTTTATTTCCTTTCAGCTCCACTCTTATACTGTAGACGCTTAATAAATCCTGGCCATAATTTATTACCTGCACCATTTTATGCAGATCTGTAATGCTGTGCTGGTTTCACATGCGCACAGCTCATTGGTCACACTGAGGCACAAATGGAAACGCAGCTCCTCTCTGAAATGACTGATGCTTATCTGCTTGAATTGTGATCCAGCCGCGACCGCTGGCCCTCCCCATCCTCCCTCTCAAACAGCATGTATTTTTTTCTGCTCCAACACAAACTTGAGACTGTATTTCATCACGTACTACCGTGTTAAGCTTGTCTTTTTGATCTACAGTGCGTGCAAATATCCACCTCAATTTTTTGCAATGTACTACAAAAACTGTTATGTACATGAGTTAAAATGACATGGACTAAGAATTGTGTTTTATATTACTTCACTTGTATAAAGTCAAATGTTTTGTTTGTATTGCGCTTTTTTCTCATATATATTATAATGTTGTTTCTTGATCACAAACATATCTAGACAGGCCCACCAATCTTGTATAAATTTAAATCTTTTTGTAATTATTTTATTGACTATTTTGTTCCAATATTGTTGGTTCAATTGAATATTGAAAAGAAAAGAAATGAGCTGCAAATAGGTGACTTATGGATCCTTTCATTGCTGGTTCAGTTACTGTTTTTCATTGTTTAAAACTTGAGTAATAATAATAGTTCAGAGAGACACTATCACTCAGTCAACAATAAAATATCCTCATTAATGTCCAGTAATGGTCAAATACACCTTTATTTTTGTTTTGTGATTTACGAAAAATGTCTATTGACTTGGGTCGCAAATGTTTGTGACTTTTAAAATATGGGAAATACTGATTTAGATCATCTCAACCTTAGAATTGCCGATCTCCACTAAACAAAAGCTAAAAGGAGCTGCTAACTTGAAAATTTCTGCTCTATGACATCACAAGGTGTAACAGAACATTTTGAGTTTATACACGTACTTGTGTGAAAGAAACAAAACACAACTCCAGGTATGTTTTTGATGAGGTTACAGCAAGAGTCAACACTGCGTATTATAGGACCTGAATGAAATTTTCACTTGATTGAAATTAAGAACACAATTTTAAAATAGGACAAAAAGATGCAACAAATCAAACACCCACTCCTTTATTATTCAGTAGAAGTTTGTTATTTTAAATGCAAATCAAAGTTAATATTATGAAAACAACAACTCTGTATAATGTTTTTAAAATGTTGTATTGGTATTTGTCGAGAGTCTTGGGCACAGTTTTGAAAAGTCTGTGTTTGTCACTCAGCAACATGGGACTGAAAGGTACACATTATTCCTAGTGAGAAATCTGCTGTGACTATTATAGCTGAGAGCTGGCTATTCCCAAACGAATCATTTTCTGTTCTATGGTATACGTTTGTGTGTGTGCGTGTGTAGTGCTGCTGCTGCTTTTGCTGCTGCTGCATGCTAAGAACACATGTCTCCTCCTTGTCCTTCATGTGTCTGTCTCTTTAATGTGTATTTGACATTTAAACGCCTGCTGCATTATGATTTAAGCATGTTACTCGCTAGTAGAAGTGCCATATATTTACCATATTCAACTGTTTATATAAAAGGTGCTATTATAAGAAATATTTTGATCTCTTTCCATCTCTATTGGACTACAAAAAAGCAGGAAGTTATATTTATACATTTATTCAATTTGTGCTAAACTGACTTCCACTTTCTCCTACTTCTTTATAGTTTGTTGCTCCGTAAGGTCCTGTGTAAAATGACAAACCTGCAACCAAATAACAATTTAAAGATGCACTGTGTAGCTTTTCTAGTTGAGATTACACCACATGCTTGTCTCCATGGAGGTTTTATTGCTTTGGAATGTTTCACAGTAAGGCATTACTATGGCATTCTCCACAGATCTGACTTTTAACTTTTTTTTTTTTTTTTAACTCTTAGTAGTGTCGCTTTTTTCTTGACTGCTAGATTAGGTTAGCCTGTATTCTCCTTATAGGAAAATGTATCCTCTGCATTTGATCCATCCTGCAATGCCTCTGGGGCTATGGACCCTTTTCCAGCTCTTGAGCTTGGTCAAGACTACCATAGCTGAAGGATTTAACCTATGGTGCACTTTTAAACTATTTTAACTGTATTTTAATGGTGTTGCAACTTACAAGTATCACATGTGGTATTATACCCTTAGTTATTCCATGTACTTTAGCCCATATTTTGTGCTTCCTTTCTGGGTTGATCGTGCCTTCTTTGTCGCTGCTGTCTAACCCTGTATGTTGCTGCCACAGCGAGAGAGGAGAATGTGGCTACGTTCCGGGGAGCAGAGTACTTCTGCTATGACCTGTCCCAGAACCCCATCCAGAGTAGCAGTGACGAGATCACTCTCTCCTTCAAGACGTGGCAGAGGAACGGTCTCATTCTACACACGGGGAAATCCGCAGACTACGTCAACTTGGCCCTGAAGGACGGGGCCGTGTCTCTGGTCATAAACCTGGGTTCCGGGGCGTTCGAGGCCATAGTGGAACCTGTAAACGGCAAATTCAACGACAACACGTGGCATGATGTCAAAGTTACACGCAATCTCCGACAGGTAACTATTTCAAAAATTTTTGTCAACTGCAAAATGTACCACAAGTGATGAAATAATTTAGTTTAAAGGCATTATGTACAATAGACTCATTATAACAGTGTTATTATATAACCATTAGTCTACTCCAAGGTTGATCGATTCTTACGGTTTTGAGTTTGAGTGCTGAACCCTGAACTTGTAATTATTGACTCTGGTTCAAACATGCAGGGATCAAAAATATCCCATAGCAATTTTCCAACAAAAAACTTGCTTTTGTGAAATGCCATAATGTCAAGAGGGGCCAATCAGTTCTGCACTTTTGAACAGGAAGTCAATGGGCCTGTTTCTATTATAAAGCCATTTTAGACAAATTTTGCAGTTTACATTGAACAATGTAAAACCAATCTACATATCACCTTTAATCTCACTATTTCTCTTTCTTACATGTAGGCCTATATTTTTGTATGTTATTCACCCTTATATTAATGAACAATATTAAATAATGGATGTATTTGTATCATTTTTACTCTTTTCTGAAAAGCAATTAGGAAATGGATATGATCTGATAAACACACTTCATTGTCTGGTAAATATGTCTCCATTTGTGTGGGTTTGCGGTGCTGGTTCTCCTCTCTCTTCTCCCTCAAACTTCTTGACCTGCATTGTGGCCTATTTACTCTGGATTTCCTTCTGTCATTTGTGTATTTTTACCTTAGACTGTATATGTATAAATGGACATAGATAAGTGAGTATGGCGGCACTTCCAGCTCCATCAACTCTGGCTTCAACTGACTTTAAAAAATCGTCACCCTTCTCTCTATAACTGCTGAAGTGAACCTTGTCATTTTTGGTCTTAAAATGTTCAGATTCACACTCCATAGTTTTGGTGTTTTTATTTCACTATTTTAAATTAATTAATTAATTAATTAATTCCTAATCATAATAATCACAATAATATAGAACTTTGCTCATAACTGCTCGACTTGTGAGCTTCATTTGATCTGAATGCTCTGGGTGAACACTATAGTTCGATTTCACACTAATCTAAACCAACATTTTTCATTTTAGTATTTAGAAATATTGATAACATTTGCCACTGTTGTGTAGGTGACAATATCTGTGGACGGGATCCTGACAACCACCGGGTACACCCAGGAGGACTACACCATGCTGGGCTCAGATGACTTCTTCTACGTGGGAGGCAGCCCCAGCACAGCGGACCTGCCTGGATCTCCTGTCAGCAATAACTTCATGGGCTGTCTCAAAGAGGTGCGTTACAGAGCCACAGACATTAAGGCCGTGTTTGTCATGATCCTGCTGCCTCCGTGCCATGGCAACCTGTCTGCTGTAAAGTTAAGATAGACCACTTTACCTCTGGAGTTAAAACCTTTTTGCACAGCTATAGAATAAAACTTGACAAGCTGCCTGGAGCATGCTGATATGTAAGGCATGTGCAATCTTAGATCATTAGATTAGATTTGTTATATACTTTGAAAAGTGAGTGTACATCAATGTATCTCATGTAGCCTACTGTATAGTTATTACCAAAAGATTAAAAAAAATGTGAAATAGATTTTGTCTGTTGAAATTTTGTAGACATATCTTATACTGGACCACAAATTTTTAACATTGCTACAGAATCTCCCTGGTAGTTTTATACATTTTGTTCTAACTAAAATGATGACATAAGAAACACTGCAGTTCTAATGAAGCCCATGTAACCCGACTCTGTACTGCTGCACTCTCTTCCATTACGGCTAATTTGCCTGCTCCATGCTCTTGTACTTGCCATCCTCGCTAGATTATGGATAAAAGCTTTGTTTCCATGGCACCAGGTACGGCCACCCCTGGTCGGCCCGCGCCGCCTGGCCTCACACTATTATGCCTTTTCATAAGGCAGCACTTACATCGAAAGCCTACGTTTCAAAGCCTACAAAACACATAATAGCCTACAATAACACATAATTGATGTAATTGTCATTGCCATTACCCGGCGCTGCCTTCTGGATGTCTCTTATAGACTCACCAACAAAGACATACACAAAGGCACTGACTGAGCACGGGTAAAGCCATTTTTAACCAAATATTTACTGCACTTTGCTGCCTGTGCGTATATTTGTAAGAAATGTGTTCATGAGACATTTGAATGAAGTTATTTTTTAGTGTTCTCAAAATATTATAAAAACAGTATTGATATTCTGAATGCAGAATCCCAAGCAGGTGTTTGTCCAGCTCACACCACTGTACACATTCACCACCCACTATCACACAACAACCTAGTTTATTTACACTCTTTTTCTTTTTGCTTGAGAACAGTTTTATGCTTTGACCACTCCTCTCTTTGTATAAAGAATAATTAACATTTCATTTAAAGAGAACAGTTTCTAATATATTTGTATTACCCACTTCAGTTTTTTATCATTATCTACTTTGAACCATACTGAATACTGCTCAACATCAGACTGTCTGTATGTGTGATCAAGAGCTTTACTTTATTTTTTATTGAATTTTTTTGTATTGTTTAGAATCTTTAATGTTACACTTTATAGCAGTACTTGATCAAATCAGTCAGCACTTGCTTGGCATTTCTCATCCCTGTATTACTTTCATTATTTTATTTTTTTCCATAAGCTGCCCTCTGCTGGACATGGACAGGCATTGAATCAGTAGTTCATAAGGAACCAACCAGAGTTATAGATAGTAATATTGTCTAAAACTCGCCAAGCTGAACACAGATAATTTACCTTTTACATGTATTCAGGCAACACTGTACTAACGACACCCTAATTACACTTAAAGGGCACATATTGCACTCTTTACTGATCTCTGTTATAATGTTCTTTCCTTATCAAAAACAGACCTGGAGTTGTGTTTTGTTTCATTCACACATGTTCAAATTCTCAAACTGAAAATCTCCTGTTCCACCTTGTAATGTCATGTATTAATATAGGAAATGCTTTTAAACTCCATACACCTTCACTAAAATCATTTGTATTATTTGAGCCCTCAAATTTCTAATCTCTGCTGAAGTAAAGGTAAAACGTAGCTGTTAACCTGAAAACTACCTCTTCAAGACATCATAAAAAAGAAAGATGTAGACAGCCTAATAATACAGCATAACTGTGAAACAAAACACAAGTCCTGGTATGTTTTTTTTTGATGAGGTAACAAGATTATAACATGACTTAAAGCTCACAAGAATCAATTTTGCGTAATGTAAGACCTTTAATACAGAATGAGGAAAGACTTAATTAATAAAGGGCAAATAATTCATTACAATTGTGTCATAAATATTTCTTCAGGTGGTGTACAAAAACAATGACATCCGCCTGGAGTTATCCCGTCTGGCTCGAATCGTGGACCCAAAGATGAAGATCCAGGGCGAGGTAGCGTACAAGTGTGAGAACGTGGCCACTCTGGACCCCATCTCCTTTGAGACCCCCGAGTCCTACATCAGTCTGCCCAAGTGGAACACCAAGCGCATGGGCTCCATCTCCTTCGATTTCCGCACCACCGAGCCCAACGGCCTTATCCTGTTCACGCACGGCAAGCCCCAGGAACGGAAAGATGCCTCACGCAGCCAGAAAAACACCAAGGTCAGTACCATGGAGTAATATTAGCCTTCTTTGTTCAAAATTTCAGAACTACTGCGATGCGTTTAAAACACATGAGCAGTTTTGGTTAAAGGAGATGTATTATATGGAATCAACTTTTCACAGTGTTCCCTAATCATTGGCTTACCAAGAGTTATGTATATGTTCGGGTAATTCTGTATTGTCCTGAATTTGAGGTTTGAGAGCTTAGAAAATGCATGTTTTCACCTGACCCCTATTCCTGCCCTTAGCTCTGTACTCACTGTGGCGATTATTCAAACAATTCATAGTCCAGGTCATTGTGACATTCATTGTGAAATGTCACAATGACCATTCTGCAGTTTTGAACAAGAAGTTGGACCTGCTTTAAGCCATTTTAGGATATTATTGCAGTTTACATTGAACAAAATGTTAAATAACAATCAATTTTAATTTATAGTTTAAATGTCCTATATAACACAAAATTCACTCTTGTGAGCTTTAGCCATGTTATAATGGTGTTATTTTCCTAAAAACATACTCAAAGTTGTTTTTTATTTCATTCACACATGTTTGAGTAATCATTTACTATTAGTCTGCCTACATCTCCAAAGCTCAAAATGCTCTGTTCCACCTTGTGATCTCATGAAGCGGTAGTTTTCAAGTTAACAGCTATCTTTTACTTTTGGTTGAGTAGAGATCTGCAGTTCCAGGGATGAAATTGTCCACATGATTGAAGTGTGTTTCGAGAGAAGAACAAGAAATTTGCAGGATTTGTGTGCTAAATGTGTGAATGAAACAAAACGCAACTTCAAGTATGTTTTTGATCAGGAAACAACATAATATAGATCAGAAAATAGCATAATTTAGGCCCTTTGGTGCAAAATATCCATGGGAAAAACTCATATGTCTTCATTAATGTTTTGTCTTGTGTAGGTGGACTTTTTTGCTGTGGAGCTGTTGGATGGGAGCCTTTTTCTGCTTCTGGACATGGGCTCAGGCACTATCAAAGTAAAAGCCACTCAGTCCAAAGTGAATGATGGTTCGTGGTACCATGTGGACATCCAGAGAGACGGCCGATCGGGTTAGTCAAATTCAACTCCATTTTATTTATTTATTTAGTTTGTCACTAATGAAGAGGCGCCTCCAGGACAATAGTATTTTTCTAAGGATAAGAACATAGGAGCTTACAAAAGTCATCAAATATGAATGTATTTTTTCTTATAGTTTATACAGAAGAAATAAACATTTTAGGGAGACATATGCAAATTCCACTAATAATTGTATTTATTTTGTATTTCGATTGATTAATGCATTTTGGAGTATACATTTATTGTCCTGCATTTACAGCTTGTGCTACCACCTACCCCCATCCCTGCCCCTATTGTTAAGTAATTTTACAGCAGTTGTGATCTGTGCATGTTATACTTTTATACTAAGTACCAGTTACAAGCAATACATTACAGTACTTGTGTCTGCGACAGGCACCATCTCCGTGAATAGCCGGAGGACGCCGTTCACTGCTAGTGGGGAGAGTGAGATCTTGGATTTGGAAGGAGACATGTACTTAGGGGGTCTACCCACAGACCGCACCAACCTCATCCTGCCCACCGAGCTGTGGACCGCCATGCTCAACTATGGATACGTGGGCTGTGTGCGCGACCTCTTCATCGATGGGCGCAGCAAAGACATTCGGCAAATCGCTGAGGCCCAGAATGGAGCGGGGATCAAACCATCATGTACCAAACAGACAGGGAAGCAGTGTGAGAGCTACCCCTGTAAGAACAGAGGAGTGTGTAAGGAGGGCTGGAACCGTTTCATCTGCGACTGCACTGGGACAGGCTTCTGGTCCAGGACCTGTGAGCGGGGTGAGCGCACACCTCCACACACCAGCTGTTAGGCTGTTCCTTCATTGTATATATAAATGAATAACTGATAAATACAATTTGTATCTATCTGGAAACTTTCAGTCATCATAATTCAATCTTTATTTTATTAAAAATGTGATTCGATTGAACACAGTCATTGCCTGTTGCAGAGGCATCAATCCTGTCCTATGATGGCAGCATGTACATGAAGGTGGTGATGCCCACAGTCATGCACACAGAGGCGGAGGACGTGTCCCTGAGGTTCCGGTCACAGCGGGCCTATGGTCTGCTCATGGCCACCACCTCCAGAGACTCAGCGGACACGCTCCGGATTGAACTGGACGGATCCCGAGTCAAACTCACTGTCAACCTAGGTATCGTATACAGCCACCACCTCAGTTATGATTTCTGTCATCTCATCCATCTCCTTTGACTGTCGAATATTCCCTTTGGAACGTTTGGGCATGATTTTGTATCACAGTACGAAGCTCTCTGGACTACTGTAAACTTCTGTCCCACAGTCACTGTGATTTCTGTTTTCAGGCCATGAGAGTCTCAGCACAAAATTCACTAGGATTGTCTAAATACGACCAAATGTGTGCTTCTACGGAGTATGTCATGAATATTGCACTAATGTGACTTCACATTGTCAAGTAGCTTTGCGTAATTTTTATTTTTTTGTTTTAACCATGTTTATATTTTAACCCCACCTACTATCTCTGATAATTATCAGCTGATTTTTAGTATATTATCTATCACCAAGATAGTATTCTGAATTTGTGATGGAAAAGAGGATACAAACACATTAAGTTCTTGTTGTAAGAGGCCCACACAGGGGACCCCTGCCACTAAACTAATGTACTATGTAATAAGATTGTGCTGAGACTCTTAACTGTATTTTTCAAATCTTCTTCTTTCTTTCTGTGGTCATTTCTCACTGTAAATTCTTTTTTGTTTGTACTTTTGTCTCTGTTGTGTTTCATCCATAACCACTAGTCCATAATGCTTAGTCCAAAGATGGTATTCACCCCTTCAAAGGCCCTAAACCTGCGGCCCGTCAGGCGAACAGCCCGAGAACAGAGCCCAGCCAAACCTACAGCTGGCTGCTACCCCATCGACCCACAATACATTACAATCTTTACTTAATTTACCATACACTAACTATTATAGTAGACATACCACTTCTTCAGACACACTTCTCCATGGCTGACATGAAATTCTCTACACTAGCATTGGTTTAAGACTATCACAACAGGAGGGCAGATGACTGCTAGGGGTTTCCTCGCCTCTGCATGGTGCTGGTGCTGACTGAATCGCGGCTGTTTGCTCCCACTTTTCTGTTGCGGTTGACGACACATGAACTCAGCAGCCACATGATAATTAACCACCTATATATAGTATATATATATATTCCAATCAATAGATATTACATTTACAAATATAAACCTAAATTTGTCTTCAGTGAATTATGTAGCAAAAATATTGAAGTCACTTAACTGTCTATGATAAGAAATAGAAAATAAAAAAATGTAATCAAATGAACCTGACCTTCACTTGGATTTAATGGCTGCACTGTGCATGTGTGCGTCCCCGGAAGGGTGGACCTGTTGTTTTTTGGATGTCTGCAGCAGTAACCTTGAAGGATGCAATTTCATCTGTCATTTATTCTTCCCCATCTAGACTGTATCAGGATAAACTGTAACTCCAGTAAGTTAACACTCAAGTTTCATTTTGATTGTGGATGATGTTGCTGTGTTTTATCTAGTGACCTTTACTTTTGTAATTCAGAGTAATCCTGGGACTTTTAAACAAAATGCTATAAAAAATAATGTAAAGAACAGTGCACAATTAACAAAACAGTCAACATGGATTAGCACACATACAATTACATAGCTGTTTGAAATAGCTAAAATTTCTTTCACATAATAAGAAACACATGTAATATTTGCATGTCATTTAAATTTGTGTGCGAATATAGTTTTCAGTATTTTGTTTTAAACAGGTTTAAACCTTCCTGTGTGGTTCTAGCGTAAATCTCACTATAAGGAGGTTTCCTCTTGATATGATTGTGCCACTTGCTGAAGAATTGTTTGGTGCTTGATTAGTTCTTGAGCTGGATTTAGCAACAATTAAAAATATCAATATCAAGTACACATATCATTTATAATAACAGCACTCACCCTCCACATACAATTGTATATTGTTGTCACAAATGACTCTTTGGCGGCTTGCACAACCTTAGATGCCTGAAGAATTCTCAAGTGTAGAACAAAGGCTAGAACAGGGCACAGAGGCACAAAGAGGTGGGCAAATGCATTATGTTATATGCTATTACCGCACATTCTGTTATTGATACTTATGGTTGAAGGCCCAGTTATGCTTGTGTAACCACACTTACACTTCTAAACAGCATAAACAAGATTCATAAATGTGTCTTGTATTTTAGAGCTTTGGGTATAGAACTGTACAAATACAGTACACTGAAGTGTAGACTTTCAGTAGCAGGTGATGAGGGTCCAAAGCTGTTGACCCAAAATGACTTTAACTGTGTGACTGACCATTCTTCTTAGGCAAAGGACCGGAGACGCTGTATGCTGGGCAAAAGCTCAATGATAATGAATGGCATACAGTGCGCGTGGTGCGTCGTGGCAAAACCTACAAGCTAACTGTTGACGATGATGTAGCCGAAGGTACTTGACTAACTCATGCTTTAAAACTGTCTTGTTTTTGCTATAGAGTTTAGCACATTTAGTCAGCTGGTGGACTTTGCATTTATCTAATGCATTTAAAATACATGTCTCTTCAAATCAGCCCTTTTGTGTTAGTGTCAGACTGTGTTCTCTTTCCTTCGGTTTGTCTTTCTTTTCAAACCCATCCCCTGACCCTCCCCTCTGCAGGGCAAATGGTGGGAGACCACACTCGCCTGGAATTCCACAATATTGAAACGGGCATCATGACCGAGAAGCGCTTTGTGTCCAGCATCCCATCCAGCTTCATTGGACATCTGCAGAGCCTCAGGTGCTCACTCAATCCACATTCACTCACAACTCCAAACCTGTTACCAAGTGCTCAACATGCACCACAACAGAACAGTGCCAGTGTTCACACTTATGCTTAGTTAAAAGCTTTGTCAAAGTTAAAACTATGACATACACTGTACAGAAGTGTCTCTGTTCTCGTTGTAGATTCAACGGAATGCTTTATATTGACTTGTGCAAGAATGGAGACATTGATTATTGTGAACTGAACGCACGCTTCGGAGTTCGTTCTATTATCGCTGACCCGGTCACCTTCAAAACCAAAAGCAGCTACCTGAGCCTGGCCACACTGCAGGCCTACGCCTCCATGCACCTGTTCTTTCAGTTCAAGACCACCTCCCCTGACGGCTTTATCCTCTTCAACTCTGGAGATGGGAATGACTTCATTGCTGTGGAGCTGGTCAAAGGGTGAGTGTGCACGCCACTGACTTTTTATTTCTATGCACAATATCTCAGTGAATAATATTTATAATGCGATTGGCATGTATCAAATTCTGGAATTTACACCACAGTACCCAGAGACTCTGAAATTTTCTTTCCATTTGACCTCCTCATGCTGGTTTCAGTGATGGAGACAAAATAGCACATAGCTAACACAATGTCTCCTGAAGGCTGTGCTTTTGGGCCTGTGGACTTTTCTGCTTAATATTAGTTCATGTCGCACTCCAGGTTTCCCACTACAGGCCTCTTCAAATATACTCAGTTTGTGATTACAACATTCACTGTCACTGTTATTATCTGTTGCAGGTACATTCACTATGTGTTTGACTTGGGGAACGGGCCAAACGTGATCACGGGCAAAAGTGTAAGACCTCTGAATGATAACCAGTGGCACAATGTGGCCATCACGCGAGATAACAGCAACACGCACACGCTCAAAGTGGACGCCACCACCACGAGCCAGAGCATCAATGGAGCCAAGAACCTCGACCTCAAAGGTAGCTCTTTCTCTCTCAGCTACTCCCTTCAGATAAACATGATTTGATGAATTTAAAGGTTTGAAAAGTGAGAGAAGAAAAATCGTGTGAAAGATTTGTGTAATTCCATGTCTTTGTTTAAAAGCAGGAGATAAATATTATAAATGTATATACTCATCCTTATTGCTAATAATACCAGGTGTCCAGGGCTCAAGAATAAGACATTTACATTGATGTTGTTTTAATGCTGAACCATAAATTCAGTTATGAAGACAGCATGTTCCTCCTCACCACAGGTTCTAAATGTATTCTCTCCTGACCCTCTTCTTGCCATTTTTCCCTCTTTCAGCTTTGTCTCATATTGTTTGAATGAAAGTAACCCTCGTCTCTCCTCTCACCAGGTGATCTGTTTATAGCTGGACTGGGTCCGGGCATGTATGGGAACCTGCCTAAGCTGGTGGCTTCTAGAGAGGGCTTCCAGGGTTGCCTGGCCTCGGTGGACCTGAATGGGCGCCTGCCGGACCTCCTCAATGATGCTTTGTTCCGCAGCGGGCAGATCGAGCGTGGATGTGAAGGTACTCAGTCTCTCAGATCAGAGCCAGCTTTAGACTTGGACTTAAGCCGAGACTTTAACTCCAGTTCCCTCCTGCGGAACGCCAACAGCAGCGCCAGCAGCCTGCCTGTGTGCGGAAGGACACTGTTAGTCACACTGGCTGTAGCCTCACTCACACACTGCTGACAAGCCAGCCAAAACACCTCAGACTTTATAAAGATGTGCATCAACTGTCAACAGCTCAAACACAATACTGCCATGTGCAATGTTCTTATTTCGTCCTTCTGTGACCTCAAATGGTTGAGGCAAAGGTATTAGATGTACAGATTTTTTTTCTTTCAAATTTGTACATATATATTTATATTTTGGCTTAATGTGTCCCTAAATTACACTAAAATCAAGTCAGTCAGCTGTGTCGGTCATTGCAGGTGACCTTCTTTGTTAAATGTTTTGTCAGAATGTGTTTTCTGATGCATGTGTATTTTCATTTATCTCTTTATTTATTTTTGATTCGTTTGATTTTCACAGAAATCAAACTAATCTCAAGACGGTCTACATTTGTCTTTTCCACATGTACCCCTTCTGGAATAAAAGCAAGAGGTGCTTTATGGTATTTTGCATAGTACTTACCAGAAATCAAAAGACAGCAGTCAGACTGCAGGAATAAAATTATTCCTACCCTGTCTTTTTACATGAAAAAAATTTTATCTGTTAAAAGTACAGCATTTTATGTGGGGCCATAGGAAAATGAGAGTGAGGGGCATAGACTGATTGCTTTGAGGTTGTGTAGCTGTTTGCTTTCTGCTGGGTGTAAGAATAGTGAGAAAGGAGGATGATATTTCCCCACATCTTACCTGGATGATCTACTCTCCAACAGGATGCTAGTATGTGCAGGGACCTGGGAGTCTGGGATCTTAGCTTCGCCTCAGCCTTAGGAATTAGATTTATATTTCAATGAAATGATTATAGGAGCAGTATGTGCACGTGTTACTAGCTGAAACATGGTGAGATTCTGATAGTTGTTTTCAATAATGTTTCAACATACGACTGGTGAAGAGGAGGCATAGTAAGAGGTTCTCCCTAACATGAACCATCCATAACAGCCAGTACAAGTTTGGACTCAGCCTGGTGATGTGAGCTGTGAGAGCAAAGCTTGCCAAATGTTTGACGTTTTGCTTGTTGTCCATACATTTGTGTTACTGCCTTCATAAAACTGTTGAAACATTTTGCAGAAAAAAGCTGTAAACCAAAATGTTTCCACATGATTAGATCTGCCTTTACCCTATTCCCGTTAACTCGCCATATCATTTGATGCTGTTCCATTTTCTTTTGATTTAAATTCATGCCCTCATGTGTCATGGTAAATGAATGTCATGAAATAAAAGACTGGAAATTTACACATGAACTGAATGGTGTGATGGTGGTGATGCACACTGTAATAAATGTCTAGCATTTTTTCAATAAAAGGTCATCCAACATGAGTTTTCATTTCCATTGTATTCTTTAGTTTTCCTCACTGTGTCATTGTCTGTTGTGACATAGGGACAAAAGGACCAGGTCGGTACACGACTACGCACCCCTCTTCAATACAATACTAGATACAAGAGCCATGTAGATTTTTTTTTTTTATTCCAACGAACAGAATGTGCGGATGTTCATTTCCACAGGTAAGGCTGTTTGGTGCGTGATGTTATTTTTCTCAAGACAGTTTTTTATATAAACGTATGCGCCTCTTTTCAAAGAGAAAGTGTGGTTTGCCTCTATAATACTCCACTGTACAGACTTTTGTTTTTGTGCTTTAAGAGTGTGTTGTGCCAATGCAGGGCCAAGCACCACGTGTCAGGAGGACTCCTGTTCCAACATGGGCATCTGTATCCAGCAGTGGGAGAACTACACCTGTGACTGTTCTATGACCTCATACACAGGAACTCAGTGCAACGACCGTGAGTCTCACATTCACCGCCCATTTAACCAATGATGGCTTCATACACCTTATTCTACACCTTATTATACACCAGCTTATTCTTTTCTACCTGTATCGTGTGTACTTTGAGAGGAGTTTTACTGCACCATTCCTTGTAAATAACTATATTCACTTTACACTATGAATACAGTACATGTGACAAAAGCTTTATTGACAGCATTGATTTGAACGTGGGTGTTTCTTGCACCTTACCTTATATGACTTAGGCATCTTTACATATGTTTATGGTCTATCTATTGTTGGAGATACAAGATTTAGTTTTTACTCTACTCAAACACTAATCATTATTTGAGCAAATGTTTTTTTCTTCTACTGGTTTAATATTGTTCTGCAGTTATATAGCCTTCTTACTTGAGTACAATGAATGGCTACTCACTTCACCTTTGTTCTTATATTTCCTTCTCAGCTGGGACCACCTACATCTTTGGGAAAGGAGGGGGTCTCATCACTTATAACTGGCCCACCAATGAGCGCCCCAGCACCAGAACAGACAGGCTGACAGTCGGCTTCAGCACCTCCTTAAAAGAGGGGATTCTGGTGCGGATCGACAGTGCTCCGGGCCTTGGAGACTATCTCATGTTACACGTGGTAAGTATTCTCTATTTTGAATTAAAATTTATATAACAGGTTAGACTTATTTCAGTAAAACATACTTAACATACTTAAACATAATTATATTTAAGATTTTACTTAAAAATCTTGCCTATTTTTTTCCATCTTTAAAATTTTGGTGAACTTTATGTTTTACTTCTTGGTTGGACATACATAGAGGTAAGCCCATAACTGTTACCAAGCAACCATAATGTTATAAAGGGCCAAAACTGTCTAAATTACACAGAAATTTCTAGAAAAAGTAGTACCAGTAGAAGAAAAATTTTTAGTAGTAGTAGTAGAATTTTCCATGTTGGTGACATAGGTTGGGGTATTCCATATTAAAACTCAGCAATACTTCCTGTATTTTTGTACTTTTTTTTTTTTTTTTTTTTTCTACAAACTAGCACTTAACTGATGTAAAACTATGATAAATATTTCCCTCATATACTATCCTTAGATGAAAAAAAGTGGACTTATGAGTGTGGCGTCACTCATAGTGTTTGGCTTCAGTCAAATGAAAAACGAAACGAAGCTAGCAATTATAGGAACAAATTTGGAGCTGAGGTCCATATTAGGAATTTATATTTATTTATGTATTTATTTGTATTTATTAATGGACAATAGTGAAATAAAACACCAGGATCATGTAGAGTGGGTTTAACATATACATTTTAAGAACAAATGACAAGGCTCACTGCAGCAGTTATAGAGAGAGGGGCGAGAATTTTTCAATGTTCACTCAATGAGAGCCAGAGCTAATGGAGCCAGAAACACACCCATGCTCACCTCTCACTTGGAACACGACGGCTAGTATATATATATATATATATATATATATATATATATATACATTCATTCAACAGAGTAAAAATTTGAAAAAACATGAAAACCTGTGATATTCACTTTAAAAATATGAACTAAACAGTGTGTGTGATGTGTCTTTTATATTTTCAGCAACAAGGTAAAATTGGAGTGACGTTCAACATTGGCACGGTGGACATTACTGTGCAGGAGAGCAGTACTGCAGTGAATGATGGGAAGTATCATGTGGTACGATTCACCAGGAACGGGGGCAATGCCACGCTTCAGGTGGACAACTGGGCCATCAATGAACACTTCCCAACAGGCAGGTCCCATTATGCAGCTCTGAAGTATAGCATATGTTTTTGGATGGAGTTGGAGAATGGGGCTGATTTGATTTTAATGTTTTATTTTTAAAGGAAATAGTGATTTGGAGCGCTACCAAATGGCAAATAAGAAAATTCCTTTTAAATACTCTCGACCAGTAGAAGAGTGGCTCCAAGATAAAGGTAAGTGGTCATCAACTGTATTTTCTGATTAAATAAAGTTATCTTGACACAATTCAATCTTATTGAAATCTTTTTAGTTAGAGGTGACAAATGTTTTGACCTGTAATGCAAATATGATCATTTTAGCACTTATGTTGTCTTCATTACAAAACCTTTACTTTTTAGCTTCATGTTAATAAAATGCTTCAGTCCTGACTGTTGCCAATTGTTCACTGGGGTGGCAAAAGATGACTATCGTGACCTCTAGAGACAAGAGGGAAGGAAAAGCTGTCTCTGTAATGTTTGAATATTTGTGTCTGTACAATGTCCAGGTCGTCAGCTGACCATCTTCAACACTCAGGCCACAGTGTCCATTGGGGGCAATGACCGTGGGCGGCCGTTCCAGGGCCAGCTCTCTGGTCTATACTATAACGGACTGAAGGTGCTGAGTATGGCGGCTGAGGGAAACCCCCACATCCACATCAATGGCAGTGTGCGGCTGGTGGGAGACGTCCCTGGGAGGAGCACGGCCACGCCCCCAGACGGAGCCAGCTCATTCGTTGAGACCACCACCATGATGTCTACTACAACCACACGCAAGCACCGCCTGTCCTCCACTGTCCAGGTGAGGTGTCTGTCTGTACATCTGAGCAAACTGTCTCACACCAAACTAGGCTATGACATCTGTAGTGGTACAGGGGATTAGGGGTGTAACAGTACATGTATTCGTGCTAAACCATTTCGGTACAGGATGTTTGGTTCGGTGCAGCGCTGTACACAAGTGAATTTGCACAATTTGTGTGTGTTTACATTCCACCACTACATGTGCAGCTACATGGAAGGCTCGGCTCTTTAAAATTCATGAGAGAACTTGTCCGTGATTGGGGTGCCAGTGTTTCCCGCAGCGCTTTATAGTTAGGGTGGCCACCTTGACAACAATTGCCCCCCACCTTGACGACGTTCCTTCTCCCCCCATACCCCTGTCTCTAGCGAAAGAGCATTTTCAGCCACTGGGGACTTTGTAACTGGCAGCACATCTGCAGACAATGTGGACAAGTTGGTTTTTCTGTCTAAAAATATGGAGATTGAGTAAAACTTCTTCCTGGAACTGTTAGTGCTGCGCTTTACTTTTGGAAAAGTTTTGCTTACTGTTTACGAGAAATTTATTTTTTATAATATTTCATACATTTGTTGCTTATTTGATAATATTTTATTAGCTTATTAGTATTACCAAGCAGCATTTTGCATTTATTTTATTTTCCTGTTTTGTTGGTTTAATAAACATAAAAATAAACAATTGGTTTTGCATTTTGTTCCCATACTGTACCAAAAATGAACCGAACTGTGACAGCAAAACCGAGGGACTTACCGAACCGTGATTTTTGTGTACTGTTACACCCCTACAGGGCATATACATTACGTCACAGCTATGACACAGGTCAGTTTAGATGAATAAATCAAGTGTGTTTTTGTCTCTGCCCTGTAGCATACGCCAGATGAAATGGTGTCGTCAGCAGAGTGCTCCAGTGATGATGAAGACCTGGAGTGTGAGAGCAGCGTCGCAGGTGGGCAGGCTCCCCTTACTCTGCATGTGTGTGTGTACGTCCATACATTCTCATCAGATACTCACATTTTATACAACCACATGCATTAACTGTGCCAAAGGATCAGCTTATTTCATTATTGTTTATCAGGTATTAAACTAACATGGTTCAAGACATTTTTCATAAAAAAAAGAACTGAAACATAGCTATAATCAATGCAGATGATAGAATTTTCATCATTTTTGCTAGTGTTGTATTCATGCTTCCCCCAGCTTTTGTGAAATCTCCAGTCTAAATACAGAAATTCAGAAATCAAGAGTATAGTGAATTATTACTGAATCTTTTGTCCTGATAGTTGAAGTTGGAGGAAAGCACACACTACATAGAACATATACATAGAATTCAATATGAACGTAAACACCATATGAACCAAAGTAGCATATACATTAGATAATGGTACATTATTTCACAATTATGAGAATATTGAATTTGGCACACAGAGAAAGAGACACCGTTCTTTGTAAAGTTAGTCCTACAAAATCCGTGCCTCTGTACACATTACATTTATAACCATTTTACTATTCAGCAGTGGGCCAAACTTACATATGAAACATATGAAAAATGTTATCATTCAGAATAAGTTTACATCTAGATCAATAACTCCATCTACACCCTTAAACTGTACTCTTTTAGTTAGTTGAACTGAAGATGAAAATAATGAGGCCAAAGCCATTCTGCCATTTGTTTAAAATTACATCATTCTTACTTCATCCTGACATGACAGCAGTGTGCTCTGGTTCTGAATGGTATTTTCTGTTTGCCCAGAGCATTATATGCACATGTGTGTGCGTTCAAAGAAAATCTCCATGCTTTCTTATCAAAGTGCTGTCCACAGTACACAACCCCAAAGACAGATATCTATGTACTGAATGGACCAGATTGGGTGTTCCCTCCCTGTATCCATAAACATATAAACTCTGGTTTACAGCTGATAGCATGGATAGGTTTTCTTCCCCATGTTTCATTTGTGCATGTGCTGTTGATTTCTCAGACTTGGCCCTGGCCTATTGAACTGGACTGCAGTGTGTGTGATGTTCCAAACCACCCACACATGGAGTGCCCACAGTCGGCTGTGATACCGTCAGTGTCACTGGGACATTTAAAGCATAGAGCATACAGACATGTGGTCACACTTTCACACAGCCTCAGTGGTCAAAACTGAAAACAACTGTTATTATCAGGTTGTTTCTAGCTCCAGTCTATATTGTGCATTAGATTTTTAGTTTGTAGCAGAGTAGACTCATCTCTAATAGTGTAAAGTACTTGATGTGTCTCTGCTCTCTGAACATGCTCTCTGTGTTTGTAGTCACAAATAACTCCATATAAACGTCACAGTGGCAGGAGTCCACATAACACATGTGAATGAGATGCCACAGGTCAGCCTGTGTATTGTAGCTGCTGCCTCCAGGGAGATGCTCAGGTTAAAAATGTGGGGGAAGTGACAGAGGAATGTCCTGGTTCTGAAGCAAGGCTCAGAATGAACTGTGCCACTCATGCCACAGTGTAAAGACAAATTAAATATATACTAATGTTGCTTGTGGTTTGGTTTGCCTCGAAGTCAAGTAAACTGTGATGATATGTTTAAGCCACTGGAGGCAGAAGGATTTGAATCCTTAGTTCACAAAGTCCCCAGACTGTGTGTGCTCCACTGGTGGTTTGTGCTTTCATCTTCTCAGTTTAGTCAATGTGTTTTTCATACAATGGCATAAATTAATTCCTCTTTTTTTCTAAATTTGATGCAATACCAATATGCATAAACCACACGTGCTGTGGTTGTGCATGTTAATCTAGTACGCACACATTCATTTAAGTTTAAATTTACTTTATTTTGTGAATGTTTATTTAAAAGACAAAGTTGTTTGTTGTTTATTTCACTCATGATAGTCTGTCCCTTATTTCTCATTCACACATACATGTATAGTGTAAGTCTCAGACTGGAGAACACTACATAGGCCTCGTACACAGTAAAGACAGTGACCAGCCCCATTTTCTCTTCAGTCTCGTGTGGCATACGTTTATTTTCTTCTTATTTTCCCTAAATGCAACTTACTTTAAGCATGCTTCCACCTCTCAGTCTGACTAAACCTGCGCTAACCCTCATATGGGCTCTCTCAGGCCTGTGGTCAGAGAGGTGCTCTACTGTCACTCTTTGTGCGTGCGTATCTGTTTGCAGTGTGTGCAGAATATATATGTTATTTTTATGATTTGTGTTCTTTTTCTTTTTCTGGTTCAATAATGTTCTAGGGGTTATTTATTCAATTAAAATGTCACTCTTGGGATATGGAACTACTTGAAGATTTAGTCTGAGTGTCTGTGTATGTGTGTGTATTAGAGGTGTAACGGTACATGTATTCGTGCCGAACCATTTCGGTACTGGACGTTTGGTTCGGTGCAGGGCTGTGCACGAATGAATTTGCGCAATTTGTGTGTGTTTACATTCCGCCACTACATGTGCATACAGAAGGCTCGGCTCTTTAATGTTCACGAGGGAACTCGTCCGTGATTGGGGTGGCAGTGTTTCCCGCAGTGCTGTATACTTAGGGCAGTCCTCTTGACAACAAATACCCCCCGCCTTGACTATGTCTCTCCGAACCACGTGAATCCTCCCACCTATACCCCTGTCTCTAGCGAAAGAGTATTTTCAGCCGCTGGGGACATTGTAACTGCTGGAGTTCTGCACTTACTGCAGACAATGTGGACAAGTTGTTTTTTCTGGCCAAAAATATGAAGATTGAGTAAAACGTCTTCCTTGAACCGTTAGTGCTGCTCTTTACTTTTGGAAACGTTTTGTTTACAGTTTACAAGGAATTAATTTTTTATAATATTTCTTAAGATTGTTGCTTATTTGAGAATCTTTTATTTAACTTATTAGTATTACCAAGCAGCACTTTGCATTTATTTTATTTTCCTGTTTTGTTGGTTTAATAAACACATAAATAAACAACTGGTTTTGCATTCTGTTCCGATACTGTACCAAAAATGAACCGAAACGTGACCTCAAAACCGAGGTACATACCGAACCGTGATTTTTGTGTACCGTTACACCCCTAGTGTGTATATGTGTGTTCACTAATAACATCCCCTGATAAGCAGTTCCACATCTCCTCACTGTGTTGTATTGAAAGGTGACTGTCCACAGGAGTGCATGTGAAGTAGTTGCAGTTTAGGCTGTGTCAGACTGTTGGATGTTAGACTCTGTTTCTGTAGATGGGCATTCCTATGCTCATTGTTTTGTATATCCCATCCCTTCCTTACAGCCAAAAGCGCTAATGCTGCCCGACCGCTTCGTACTGCCTTTACATGGACATGGCACCTGACTCACTCGTTCACCCTCATATCTCTCATCTCCTCTGTACTCCATTCATAGGCCTCGCCCTTCTCGCATTTTTATGATTTTTACTTAAACAAATATTTTCCATTTTACACAAGTACAAATCACAGTTTAAGCAAAAACCTGTATAGATTTTTGATTCTGCTGAAGACTAGTTATCAGCGAAGAATTGTAGACTTTTGTACACTCAGCATTTAGCAGGCAAACCTCCCTGTTGGTTTTTATGTATGTGGTGTGGATGTTTGTGTTGTTGCTTCACTCTATCATCTCTCTAAGGAGACAACACACTCCTCTGAGCCTTTGAAAAAGGTCAAACGGTTCTAATGTAATAGATAATATTTTACACACAACTTTTCCTTTATGATTTTTTCTTCATGCCTAAAACTGTGGCCCACTGTTGCTGTAAGTTTTCGATAAATGCCCTCTTTTTGTCCGTCTTACCAGATAATGCAGTTTGTGAAAAATGAAAGTAAAAAATATAAATTAAGCCAGCATTTTAGCTGCTATGTAGAATATTGGCTGTATGAGGCACCACAACTATGACATCTTCTGATTGGTCCCCCAGTAACCAATCAGAGGGTTCAAAATTTGAATACTTCACAAAATGCAAAATCTAATCTCGCCTACATGCCTATACTCTTCTGTGATGTATTTTGTTTGAAGTGTTCTCTTTCAAAGTTAAGGCTTAAGTGCATGAATAGAAAACTCGGTCTGTGTGATGTGGTACAATTTGGTGAAATATTGTGTTTTTTGAGCTTGTATTATGGTACCGCTTTGAAAATTAATAACATGCTTTTAAATTAACTAAATGCTTTTAAAGATTTTGGTTACCGTAGATACCTCAAGCCCAAGTATCAAGACTGAATAAGCTGGAAGTGTTCGTCTCTACACAAGACTTCAATGTTGTGTGTATGTTGTAGGTTGCAGTACAGTCTTCCTTCATTCTTTTGTCCCTGAATGGAATTGTAGTAAACACTGATTCATTGAGGACTAGATAAAGAAATGAGTTGGTGGTAGAGCACTGAAATGCAATTCCCGAGCATTCAATCTGCATGTATTCTGCATGAACTAACACAATTTCAGACTGCAAACTTTATTTATCCCGGTTTATGAGCTTGCTTATATGTTTGTACTGCTTTCTGAAGAGGCAAAAGGCTCAGATTGCTATTAAAAATCATATGTTCCCAAACTGCAATATAATGCGCTTTTTAGTGCCATATAAAAATTAGAATGACTTGTCTAATTTAATATCTGCGCCTTTTGACTTCAACTTTTCAACTGTATTTAATTGTGTATTTTAAACAGCTATAGTCGCTTTTACATCCAGGGTCTTCATACAGACATAAGGCCTACATTTTGGCAACAGAGTAAATTATTCAGTGGTCTCGTCAAGACAAGACTACAGTTGTAAATCATTTCTATTGCCATAATGAGAGGGTCGGTAAAAGCGTCTATAAGTTCTTATGTGTTTAAGATCTAACCTCTCTGCCTGTTGTGTTTCCGTCCAGGAGGTGAATTAGCCAACACAATATTTCAGGATCCATTAGCACCCCTGTTGTAGCTCCCTGCACCCTCCACCCCTCACTCAGCCCACCACTCACCCCTCCCATTAATGAGACCACCAAAGAGCCAAGGCCAGTGCGGTGCGGGCCCCGTGCTTGTCGGACCGAGGCAGCGATGATTGTGATGATGATGGCTCCTATGGTTCTGGCAAAGCGTTCAAGTCAGACCTGCTCCCTTCTGACGATAAGAAGATTTTTACACCTCACGTAAGACCTGGTCTACGTCTTTGAAGTTGGCTCCAAAGCTCCCAAGACTTTAGACCTAACTATTCTCCTACTGCCACAAACAGCCGACCAGAGCCGCACCACTACCACCTCTGCCTCCGCCGCAACCTCCTCACAACTCCGGCCAAACGAATAGCCTCCAGCTCAGCCTGACCTATTTTGCTTCCATTGCCCACACCCTTTGTGGTACAGAGCACAAAGCCGAGGGGCGCTTTAATAATCTCCCCCATGTCCCATGATATACCCACAGCACTCCCCACAGAGCCGGGCGTCAGGCGACTCCCGGGGCCCTCAGAGGTGGTTCGAGAATCTAGCAGCACCACAGGGATGGTCATCGGAATAGTAGCCGCTGCAGCCCTGTGCATCCTCATCCTGCTGTACGCCATGTACAAGTACAGGAACAGGGACGAAGGCTCCTACCAGGTGGACGAGAGCCGCCACTACATAACCAACTCCGCTGTCCAGAGCAACGGCAACATCATGAAGGACAAACAACAGAGTGTGAAAGGCAGCCACAAGAAGCAGAAGAACAAGGACAAAGAGTACTATGTGTGAGAATGCAGCATACATACATTCTCTGAATGGACCTATGGTCACACTGAACCAACACTGATGCACTGTAAAAAAGCACACTTACTATTGTAAGCATAACCTGAGCTCAATAGTACCGTAGAGACTTCCTCTGTGATCAGCTCAGACATGGATATAGCAGTCTGTCATGCCCCACCACTCCCTCACTGACTTTTACCACTATATCCTCGCCATCAAAGCACATTTTTGTGAAATTGTTCAAAGGCTCATGTTCTTGATCATTTTTGGCATGTAAGCAGCATATTGTGCTTAACAAGAGTGGGTCAGGACACAGTCATTGTAGTAGTCAGATGTGGTTAATGCATAATACAGGTGTGGTGTCAAAACAATAGAATCGTATCAAAAGAAATATATAAGTAAATGACCTTTGGCATTAATTCACTTTAGTCCCAGTGTCGGACCAAAAGTCTCTTTTTGGAAATGATCTAAAATATTGTACAGTATAGAGTATGAAATATTTATTTTCAATCACTTTTGATTAAATGCATATCAAATTGTTCTTCTTAGATGAGAGCCTTTACTTTGTTTGAACTGCCAAATGTGTAAAAGAGTAAAAAATGCACAGCAAAAGGTGGTTTATCTTTTAGAAAAAATGTATGTTGGATCAATGCCTATAACTCTTTTTCTACAGAAGCACTGTTATCAGATATGTACACACAAATGTAGAGTGTTATTCTATCTGCCGTCACAGTAAACTGTGTCAAACCACACATTTGTTTACACAATTTATTACCTGCCATTGTACTTTCAAAGTAAAAAAATGCTGATCGAAGTGGACCTAAAGCCTACTTCATGGAATATCATATACATTTTATTAAAGATTATTGTTAGCTTAGAGGTATCTTTCTTTTTTAAAGGTGTGTGAATATTAACTACTGAGTTGAGTATACTTCAAAGAAGCTTATTTTGCAGTGGCCAATTTTTCAAAATTAACATCTGGCCTTTTTCTGACTTATTAGTAGCCTCCATCATAAATATTTGTATAATTTAGTTAAATCATCACTTGCATCTGTAGATTTCCCTAACATTATTGTATTTTCAGTTTTTAGACCTACATTTAAAGTATAGCCGTGGTTGATTTCTGTGGTCTGTTTTCAATGCAAACGATATAAAACACCTAACACGTAAGTACATCAGGCGAAAGTTGCTTTTTCATGTCTGAGTGTGCACAAGAAGACTCAACACTCACCTCCTCTGTTCCTGGACCCTGTGTGTTGCAGACCATACATTTTCCATCAGTCCAGTGCTACCCTGCCACCAAAAGGTAAAATTTTTCACCAGTGTTTTTGTTCCTTTTACCTGTTCTGTAGGCCTACAAGTTGTTACCTTTTTCAACTTTAAATTATCATGCACTTACTCTTTATTGGTGTGTGGCTTATAGATTGTAGCATTTAACATGCTGTAATGTTTTAGACATGTCCTTCAATTTATATTGGTCAAGTGATATAAGGAATTAGGCTAATGATGCAGACTTCTAGATACCCCCCATTAACTTCTGTATGAAGTGGTCTGGGGGAAACTCCCAAAGATGTATGGTCACCTTATGGAACTGACACCTCTGACCACCACAAATCACAGGCACAAACAAGAGGGTGGAGAATACCAGTAGACATGTTTGAACATTAATTCAATCAATCAACAAACCAACCAACCACCAGCCTATTAATTAGGCATACATTACTCTTCTGCTTCTCTGCCGGTCTAGTAGAAACTAGGGGTGTAATGGTACACAAAAAATCACGGTTCGGTACGTACCTCGGTTTTGAGGTCCCAGTTTGGTTCATTTTAAATACAGTATGGGAACAAAATGTAAAAAACAGTTGTTTATTTGTTTATTTATTAAAGCAACAATTTGTTTTAACATTATACAAACAGGAAAATTAAATAAATGCGAAGTGCTACTGGGTATTACTAATACGTTAAATAAAATATTCTCAAATAAGGAACAAATGTATGAAATATTATAAAAATTGAATTACTTGTAAACTGTAAATAAAACTTTTTCAAACGTAAAGCGCGGCGCCATGACCGTAGTTTGCGAGGATTCACGTGGTTCGGATGGACGTAGTCAAAGCAGCCGTAAGTATAAAGCGCTGCAGAAAACACTGGCACCCCAATCACGGACGAGTTCCCTTGTGAATATTAAAGAGTCGAGCCTTCAGTGTAGCTGCACATGTAGTGGCAGAATGTAAACACACACAAACTGCGCGAATTCACTCGTGCACAGCTCTACACCGAACCGAACGTCCCGTACCGAAACGGCTCGGGATGAATAGGCTACTTGTGCCGTTACACCCCAAGAAACTAAATATGAAATTATGAAAGGTGCATAGGCGTTCAATATAGAGACAGTGTTTCAAAAACATAAAAAAACTAAACTTCACCAATCACAGGTGACCCACAATAGTGCTTCCAATTAAAATGTGACTTTGAATCAACATTGGTTTGCGAATTCAATGTCTGTCAATAAGATTTCAGCATAGTTTAGTTAAAGCATATTTGTGTGGCCAGCAGGGGCCGCCAAAACTCTGAAGATTAAATGAGACAAGTGACAGTCGCTAAACTTGAAATTAATACTTATCCTCCTTTACATCATTGTGTGTGAATGAAATTATCAACCCTAATGCTGAGATAACAGGGGATTATGTTGAAAGTGGAGAGCTGTCAAATGAACGGGAAAGATAAGAGATGGTGGATATTATCAATGGGGAGCAGAGACACTAGCAGCACCCATGGGGCAGCACCATGCTCTTCCGTGAGTAATAACTCCGCCCAATGGCGTTGACCACTCAACACATATTTAAGCTCCAATTGTTTACTGTCCACAAAGTTCTGGTGTTTTAACGACAGTAAAGTAGTCCTGACGCAGCAGCCCAAGGTGAGTGTCCCGTTTTCCTGAGTGTTCCTGAACGCCTCCTCTGGGTGTGTGCGCTAACACTGACCACACACACAAACACACACACGCACACACACACACATACACACGCACACATACACACACACACACACACACACAGAGAGAGAGAGAGAGAGCTCAGAGCTCACAGCAGCGCAGCGGGACTGTCTCTGTCATCTGTCACCTGCTCCACACCGGGCTGGCTCTGCTCTCCGCCGGTGGATGGACCGAGGATGGGAAACAAGTGCAGTTAGTTTGTGAACATCGCAGAGGTCCAGAAAGCGCCTTAGCAGGTTAGTTAGCCTGTCACCGCCGCTGTGAAGACTGTAGCTCTATTAGCTTTATGACTAAGCGTCCAGTGTTAACGCAGCTTTGGTTTAAATGTGCCGTGGTTTGTGCGTGTGCCGTTGTGCTCATGCTAGTTCAGTTTCTAATCGCAGGCTATGCCTTAGCTGCAGTTTGTGTGTGCCTGCTAGTCTGCTAGCTTTAGCCGCTTAGCTAAAGGCTCCGTGCGGGTAGTCCGCTGATGCTGGAGCCTGGAGCCTGGACTGACCCGGGTCTGTCAGGAGGGGCACCGTGCTAAGCACTGACATGACAGCCATGGAAGCTAGCCCGCTGCAGAAGTCATTTATGAGCAGCCTTGTGCTGTTGGCGGCAGTGTTATGACTACGTACTCTCTGTGTTGTGCAGGTTGATCCTGTAGTCATCTTTAGCAGCACCAAGGGAACCGGGACAAAGTGGAGATGCAGACGTTTCTCAGAGGCCGAAGAGTCGGCTACTGGCTCAGCGAGAAGAAACTCAAGAAACTCAATTTTCAAGCTTTTGCGGATCTATGCAGGTATGTTGTTTCACCATACACAGACAGGTGCGAGGTATCATGTGGGGACAGCAATCTCACTAGTCAGGTCTTATTTTTCTCAATCTGGTTTACACTTACAGAAGGTGTAGTAAAGTCAGGAATGTGGTCCAGAGGAAACTTTTACATCTTAGTGATTTTAGATGAATGCTGATAGAGATCATTTACACTTTATACATATTTCCTCAGTCACTCTATAATTACTCTTGCTTCACAACTGTTTTTTTCTCTGTGTGGCAAAATGCAGTGCTCTTACAAAACACAGCGTAAACCATTAATGGGCAGAATGTTTATGATTAATAAATGTAGATCTTCTACAGGACACATTCAGATTTGGTCAAGAAATGACTGGTACTAGAATGTTATGAACTTAATGTCAAGCATCATAGTTAAATATTGCTTACTTTTATCCTGTTTGGGGGAACATATTCTCCCTTCTCTTGCTTTTTGAGGGAAAATGATTACTGATTTACATTTAAAACAATAAATTTAAAGCAATAGGATTTTATTTCAGTCATATTAAAACAAAATTAAGAACATACCTAAGCACTATATTGTACCAAAAAGTCACATTGTAACTAGTCTAAGTCTAAATGTTAACTCCAAAAGACATGATAACATGCACCCTGATTAGATAACTATGCCTTGCCCGGATCACACTGCTTTCCATTAGAGACTTATCATTTCATTTCATATCATTTTGAAGGATTTATTAGTCTTGCTGTACATTTCTAAGTTCTGTGTAACAATAACAGTTGTTAGTGCAGGATGATTCTAGTAGGATTTCTCTGATATGATTTTGTAACTCACCTTTATGGCAGGGCTAGCTGCTCTCATTGCCTCATAAAAGATTATATTGGCTGAGTTTACAACAGGTTGTGCTTTGGCAAAGCCTCAGTATGTTACTCTAGTTTCCTCTTTTCCAGTAGCCTACAGTGTAGCCTTTAGCCACGCCCACAGCTGTGTGTAGGCCTACATGTGTGGCAGTCTTTGCCTAGAGGATCAGTCGGACAGGCCTAACCTGTGAGCTTCTACAGAACCTGTTTTTGTGGACAACCTGAGGATATGTGTCGCATGCAGTCACAAATGTAACCAAGAACCTGCCCAGCCTGCTCCTAAACTAAAACCTATTTTCTAATAAATGAAGGTGTTTTAGAGAAAAATATTTCACACTTCCACTTGAAATGATAATACAGTAGCTTGGTCTAGTATTGTGCACTCCTGATAGTATAGTGTGTTGTGGTATCCTAAACATAGTCGTTGTGTTTGTTCTTGTCGTGAGCCCGGTCTGGTCTGTGACACTTCATTCTGCTGAGCTTGTGCTGGTTGCTAAGCAACTGATTTGGGCCAAAGACTGGGAAGCCAGTGTTATTTGTGATTTGGTGTATTACCTAGGGGTGTAACGGTACACAAAAATCACGGTTTGGTATGTACCTCGGTTTTGAGGTCACCATTCTGTTCATTTTCGGTACAGTTTGGGAACAAAATGCAAAACCAGTTGTTTATTTGTGTGTTTGTTAAACCAAGAATTTGTTTTAACATTTTACAAATGGGAAAATAAAATAAATGCAAAGTGCTGCTTGGTATTACTAATATGTTCAATAAAATATTCTCAAATAAGCAACAAATGTTTGAACTATTATAAGAAACTAGAAAAGCACTCAGAGAGCGCAGACCTCCGCCAAGGACTACCCCCATTTTTTATATAAATTGCGATAAAATCAGTCTTCTGGATCAGATTCGGATCAGCCTTTGGAATATGAAAGAGGATCCCATTGTCCATCCCTGAGTCAAATTTCATGGGGTTTGGTCAATAATTAACCGGGATATTGAGAAACAAATTTTTTGGCCCTATTTACCACAATGTTAACTAAAATTTCAAAGTGATCCAGAATCCAGGATTTCTTCCGGATCACCCCCAAAATGAAATCAGTTCTTCCTTTTCACATTTCCAACAAATCCTGAAAATTTCATCAAAATCGGTCCGTAACTTTTTGAGTTATGTTGCTAACAGACAAACAAACAAACAAACAGACAAACGCTGGCAAAAACATAACCTCCTTGGCGGAGGTAATAAATTCCTTGTAAACAGTAAACAAAACTGTAGTTTTGTGAGGATTCACGTGGCTTGGAGGGATATAGTCAAGGTGGGGGGCAATTGTTGGCAGCTGCCCTAACTATAAAGCGCTGCGGGAAACACTGCCATCCCAATCACGGACAAGTTCCCTTGTGAATATTGAAGAGCCGAGCCTTCCGTGTGGCTGCACATGTAGTGGCGGAATGTAAACACACACAATTTGCGCAAAGTCACTTGTGCACAGCCCTGCACCGAACCGAACCGTACCAAAACAGTTGTACATTAATAAATGTACCGTTACACCCCTAGTATCACTTCTTCTCAATTACTGCATGAACCGCATCATAAAATCATATGATAGGTTTGTATGTCAAATGCCCTTCCTGCTCCAGCACTACTCACTACTGTGTCTGGTGTGATGAGGGTGATAAGTGTCACAAATCTGTTCTATTGAAGGCTTCAGGCTCTGATAGTTTTCACTGTGGATTTGCTATTTAATCATGGACATGATGTTTCACTAGTTTTCATAACCACATGTTACTGCACTGTTCTGACGTTGTGTTTCATCTCTTCTCCATAGGAAAAGAGGAATCGAAGTTGTGCAGGTAGGCCATACATTCTTTGTCACTCATTTGTTGATTGCACTTACGGAATAGGAGTATTTGAACAATGCAATGATCTCTGTTGTCAACATGGACTAAGCCCAGGCCTCCTTGTCCCTCTGTTGCTGTGGAACAGTTTAGACTCATGTCATGTTATTATGGTGATTACAGTCTGACAGTCCCATAGTGCTAACCCCTCATGACAAACATGAGTCTTTCAGACAATGAGCAATAAGGAGCTACAGAGCACCAGGCATGTGTCTGCCTCTGCTCGGTAATTAGTCTGAGAGGAGGTGCTGCTGGGGCCTTGTTGTGTTCAGGTAAAACAGGTCTCAGCCAACAACACTCAAAATCCACTGTACACACTGTAGTGTAAAGACCCATGTGTGTCGGAGCAGGACACAGATACTCATTCAATTATTTTGAAGTCTTTCTGTTGCCTGTAGAAAACATCCAGTTCAAAAAAAGTCAGAAAATAAATATAAATAGTATTTTTTTCCTGTAGGTTTCCTCACCTTGCACAGATCTTGACATGACAGAAATTTTCAGTCATGATGTATAATAGAGTCCACCACTAAAATCCCCAGACTTTTAGCTTCAATCCTACAGACAAATGGTATGAACGCTGCGTGGTACCAGTGAAACATTTATCTATGTGCTAACCTTGTCTGTCCTGTGAGTGCAAACACAACCTTCAGTGTCCACATTTAAACTGATTGTTTGTCAGTAATAAACATCGAGTGTGAATTAATGACCTCTTCATTTTCTTTTAATAGTGGATATAATATAGATATAAAAATGTGTGCAAATTCTTTAGGCATTGTTAGACAAACAATGACTACATTGACTAGTATCTAGTGTTCCTGAATGTGATTGTAGCGCTAGCCACCTACACTGTTCAGCAGGTTTATCTGAAATATAGATTGCTAATTCCACTCCACTGGCTGATTTAAGCCTACCCTGCTGTTATTGATCTTAATGTATTCCACAGTGTACAGGCATGGTTAGCTGGGTTTCTGTTAAGTCATTATGAGCACCTCATGGAACTGTATTAGCCTGTTTGGACGACACAGTAGACATGTTCTCATCCTGAAGCCTGGCTTTGCTCTCACACACCAATATCAGAGCAAATGGACGTTCCACAAGGCTATCACATTACATTTGGGAAGCGATCTCTGTGAGTGGTTTAGAATGTACAGTTGTACAGTAGATCCTGCTTCCATTGTCCTGTCATTAAATAAAAAGAACAGTCAGAGGAGCACAGACCTGAAGGCTTGTGTAAAATAAGCCCAAACCCATGTTTGTCCTTTGCTTTATCCCATATTTCCCCTGGGTGCAGCAGCTCTCAGCCAGCAGAGCTACATCAAAGTTAAAAATACTTTGACATGGCCCCTCTGTTCAGTCCATCAGCACACAGCTCCACAGGGCCTGTCCAGAGCACATCCCCAGAGCATGGCTCCAGACCATGTCCCCAGAGCAGGACATCAGAGGCAACAGGACATGTGAGCCAGCATAAACCCACCACTCCACGCACAAGGACCAGCTCGGCTCAGTGTGGCTGTGCTTTGGATTTTCTGTCATCATCTTTTAATGATCTAAAGCCGCACTCTTTATTTGCGTGTGCCTGGGTGTGCCAGTATAGCATATGACATGCATCCACATGTCAGTAGAGTGGAGCGAAGTGGACAGCACAGAGGAGCGTGTCAGTGCAAGCACACAGCATACAGCACATAGAGCCTGTAGAGAAGTGAGTGTAAGAAACCTGCACTGTCCTCACTCCTCAGTGTAGTTTGGGCTGGGTCATCGACCACTCCTGTCTCTCAGGCTGCTATCAGTGTGGAATGTATCTGATATGCATTTATTACTATGTGCAATCTCTAAAGGCACTGTTAATCATCAGTTTGTCGCTCCTTTGAGCAATCATTAAACTGTAAAAGTCCAGCACAGAAACTGCCCCGGCCCCCACCGACCCTCAGCAGCATGACGAACAAAGCCCTCGTCTCACAGGGACATTTGCACAGGTGTGTTCATGTCTGCTGATGATCCATGGTCATGATCCACACTCACCCAGCACATGCTGTTTGTGGTATTTCAGTGCTCTTATGAAATCTTGGGACAGTTTGTTCTTTGACGCTTTGACTCACTGTTGAAATAGTGGCTTTATTAACATATGGAATAGGGTTGGCCAATTAAGCAAATTTTAATTGAGTCATGTTCTAACAGCCATGATCAGCTTGGGTGTTTTTAATAGTGAGATTTACAGCTTATCCTTTGTCAGTAAATGCATGTCCCAGAAGCTTAGGGCAGTTCAGACTTTGGAGGAACAGACTGGGTATTCTTCTGTTAAATGGCACAGAGTCTGTATTTGAGTTCATGAAAAAAAATTAATAGAAAATGTAGATCGATCAATATGAAAAAATGCAATTACATAGTTTGCCATATTACCCAGCTCTAATGTGGAATTTTACTCAAAGTGCAGGCCCACGTATAGCTCTGTTTTGGCCTTTCTGTAATTCAGCCTCAGTCAGCCGCTCAGTCTCATGCATGCAGCTCATACCAAAACAAGTGGTCAGTCAAATCCCTTCACAACAACTGAAGTTATAGCAGCGCTAAACTTTGATCTGGAAATGCATAAAGAACCAGTGATTTACTGGAGCTGCTGGCACTGCTACAGAGTCAAATGTGTTTTACTACCACTAATTTCTTGGTTTGAAAACCCTCTTCCTTGCTGAGAAAAACAAGTTTTAAAAAGTCATCCATCTTGTCAGTTATGGTGTTTTGAGTATGCTGTTGTGTTTTCCCTCTTTTGTTCCCTGCTCATTTGAAGTGTATTGAAGCGTGTTTTTTGTTGTTTTGTAGCTGGACTTGAGTCAGCCTCTGGAGGAGCAGGGCCCTCTGGACGTCATCATCCACAAACTGACAGACCTGATCCTGGAGGCCGACCAGAACGATTCCCAGGCCATGCTGCTGGTGCAGCGAGTACAGGTGTCTCATGCTACTACTGCTTCACACATTACTTACCTTGTATGGAAATCACAGTATTAACATGTTACTTCAAGGACATTCATGCAAAAACAACTACTGGTAATTATGCAGAACTAGAAAACAATGTATTTATGAAAATACAATAATAAACTTTAATCTGCCTTTTTACATTATAACAATATACCAATACCAAAAATTACTACATCTTCAGGTACATAACTCACTCACTTTTCACCATTGTCCCAAATAAATCCTTAAACTTTAAATAAAATGATTAGTCGACTAATACAAATGGTGGACGACTAAGTCTCTATCAAGCAATTAATCGACTAAATGACTAAAGAGCACTATTGTTTTTGAATTGTTAATTGCTATGACAACAGTCTTAACTCATGGATGTGATGATGCCATACTCCCTGATGGGGGCAAGAGCCAGATTTCATGTTGATTATGTTGTACTTTGCCGTGAAATATCTGAAAGGAGAATTCACAACTGTTGAACCTGTTGATTTTCATTAGTGACTAGACCCAAGAATTCACAATTACAACAAAAAACTGCATTTTAACAATATTTATTTGGTGTGATAGGCCTATAAAATGTTGTGACATCATCTGAATCCCAGCAATAGGTTTAGATCGCTTGACTTTCTAGAATCCCTATCAATTAAAACTGACTAAAAATTGAGGACAGATCATACAAACAGGCAATTCAAATCTAAATATGATACCCTTTGAATGTGAAATGGTCCTCAAAATTCACAAACTAGGCATTTACAGATAATGATAAGTTTCAGCTTTGTTCAAAAGTTTTTCTTTTTTTTTTTCAAAAAACCCATAGAGTTATACTGAAACTATGATATCCTCAGATCTAGAACAGTTTCACCTATTGTTTGTTTGTAAATAAGGGCTAAAAGAGGATGCCTCGTGCTTTTGGATTGCCTCATCAATACACAAATTTGGTCACTTCGTGTCTGTTTCAAAACAATCTCTTGTGACGGTTCAAAAGAGGAACATTAATGTATTAAGTCACACAGCCAAACACAGCATACACGCAAATGCTTCCATGCACTGGAAAATAAATAAATAACATGGCCTTTTATCGAGTCAGGGTTGCCACAACAAAGTAGTCGTGCAGGCAGAGATTTGGCCGCTTTTTGCAGCAGGCCCTTCCTGATGGATCACTGTTTATGACATCAAGTGAGAAAAGGCCATGTTCCTCTGTGTTTGCTTCTCCTCGTTGCTCAGCTTAGTCATTTATAACGCTGATGGTACATGTGTATTTAACCTTTTTACAGTTACACATGGTTAATTATTTCTGCTTTCATAACAGCAAGCAGTTAACTTAATTTCCTGAATCAGATATAATAATAATAATCTAGTAAAATCATTTTCAAAATCTATTCACCGTAGCTTAAGCATTATAAACACACCCAGAAACATTTGAGTAAAGACTGTATCATTATTGTAACAAGGCTAACTCAAGACTGGTGTTGGTGGACATGTGTAGTGGACTAAACTACAGGCTAAAGGGTTTTGTCCTTAATAAGTGTTGGCTCCTCTTCTGTGTGATAGCTGTCATCTGCTACCTTAAATACCGCCTGTAGAGTGCCACGAGTGCTGCTTCTCCAAAATACACCTTTACTTCAAACTAATCGTGTTACTGAGAGCTGCTGGTTCAGTGTCTGCAGGCGTGCTTGGCTATGTACTGGATTTTATCTCGACTGCATTTTTCACTCAACACTCTTTTCACGACAATTTGAGTTTGTATATGATTCTGAACAATGACTGAAGCTATCCTTAAAGACTGAACTATTTTATCTGGGTCCAATCACACAGACACACACTCTTCAGTGCCTGTGTGTTCACTCACCAGACCCAACATGCACTCCGTTCATCTTTACAAATGTGCTGCTGACCTTCCCCATCAGCAGAGCCTTGTCCTGAGCTGGCAGAGGAGAGGCCGCTTGCATAACTACCAGAGCATTCTCGATAGATCCAAAGTAAATCCTACACATGTCATGGCACAGGCATTTGTTTATGCTCTGTTTGAATATGTCTATTTATACCGCTGGAGACCACAAAAGGACATGTTTGTGAGTGCGCTGTGTGCCTTTCGTCAGCACTGTTCTTGCTCAGTATCCGCCCGAAGGCTGTCACAGGCGCACAACAGGTGTGTGGAATGAGTCAGCGTGACATGCTAACGGCTAAAGATGCAGAGCATCACTTATGTAAGGGCTAGCACTGCTGACCTCACTGTCGAGTATGGACTCGTAGTGTTGATGTAACAGCAACTCACAATTCACCTGTGTATAATGTTGTGCTTGTTTGTGTAGGATTACATTGACGCACACCCCAAGACCATTGTCCTTGACCCACTGCCTGCCATCCGGACCCTGCTGGACCGCTGCAAGTCCTACCAGCTCGTACATCGGATAGAGAGCAGCATGCAAGGTAACACACACACATACAAGGATACTGCACTTTTAAAATGTAATTTTCTGTCCTTAAAATGGTGTGACAGCATTGTATTATTTTTATCTATTATTTATCATTATTAGAGATTGTGAAATATGATTGCCTCTTTTTGGTTATCTCAATGTTTGTAAATGCCTTGCTGATGAAGGCAGAGAACAGAAAAGCAGCCATTTGTTTTATAATGTATATTACACCCACAGTATCACAGTGTAAAATACGTAAGGGCTTGTAGAAAATGAGGGCACACGTACAGTCTATATTTATACATAATGTCAAAATGAGAAGGCCTATCTGTCGTTCACTTGCACAGCCACTTCCTCCTTCTTATCATCTGAGCGTTAGGTTGCTATGGCAACAGTATTGGAGGCTCTAGGCTCTGCGGCACACTGAAGACAAGGAAGCACTTGGGGTGCACTTGAGTTTCTCTGACAGAATAACAGTGCTGTCAGCAGCTTTAAAGCCTCAGCCTCACCACGCGTACGGCCTGCTCTGTGTACATTCTCCACATTGTTAAGGGCGACTAAGAGATACACTCTTAAATACTGTCCAATACTCTGCCACTCTTGATTTGAAGTTACTTGTTAAAGAGGAATTCAGATGAACGTTTGTTAGTACTTAATGAGCCTGCGGAAGATGTGCAATATTCAGACGCAATCTTTAAACTTCCTTAGTCAAAAGTCTTTTTTTTTAATTTTTTGAGATACATGATTTATAAACCCATAATAATATAATAATATATTGTAATCCAATCCCACTGGTTTATTAAATTACAAAACCTGGTGGTGCTGGTTGGTTTAGATGTATCTGATGGAGGTTTCTAAAAAACCTTGCTCAAACATTAACAGTGCTGCTCTCAAGGTCTAATGTAAGCAGCTCCATCTGAGAGGGGAGCCAGATCAGATCTGAGAATGGGTGTAACAACAGTCTTAGCTCTCTGTCACTTCTACATATCAGAAGAACTGCAGGGCACAGGATTCATCCAGGAGGAGCACAAGTGGATAATGATCTTTTTAAAAGAATTCCTACATTGTCCCATAAACGCTGGCTCCATCAGGTCTGCCCGGAGCATTCAGTGTTTAAACTTAGTTGCTCAGAGCTTGCTCACAAAAGCGTGGGCTCATCCGTGCTTCCTGCTGCACTTAGCACACCACTGTCTGTCTCTAGCCTCACGCTGGACATACACTTTTGTCATCTGACAGAGTTTAGGTCTTTGGGAACTCTGTGATGCAATGCAGACATGTCCCTAGAGTGGATTGTTTCCTGAAAGACATTATGTGCTATTCTTGTCCTGTTAGAATAACATAAGTATGACAAATCTGGTTGGAGCCAGTGAGCAATGGGCACTGGAACAGGCCCAGCAGCTGAGCAGGGACCAAGCCAGAATCAGCCAGCTGCAGAGACTCTGTTATGTAACGCATTAGACTCTCCAATTTTTAACAGTTAAATGTAAAGTTTGGGGATTGTTTTGGACTTTACTGTAGCGACTTGAAAACTTTTGTTTGAAGGTGACATACTATTCAACTACATGTTTCCTGGTGCACTATTACTCAACAGAAGTAAGCATGATCCAGTTTGTGTGTGGTTGGTTTTTTGTGAAGACTTTGTTAAGCAAGATGAAGCTAACAAGGAGACGTTTCTTGATAATTGTTTATAGTCAAAACAATTGAGACAACTGAAGGATTCAAAAATAGCTAAGACTAGAGCCTCTATCCCTGCCTTGTTGTAATCCCAGAAGTAAGGACTCTGAGATCAGAGGAAAGGTCTGGTGATGTTTAGAACTTTGTTTTTAGATCAGTTAATGTTCTCTTGGGAGATAGTTAAGATTCAATGCTTTTTTACTGTTTATAATGCAACAAACACACGCAGGCTACTTTTCCACAACGCCTCTTGCTCGTGAGAGTTACAGAAAAATGTTTCAATGTGAGGAAAAATCTAAAGTATTTTAAAATTGTAGTTTGATCCATGTGCACCTGTGTGTTTATACCAGATGACAGGATCTGCTCTCCTCCGTTCATGGTCCTGAACAGTGAGTGCAGCGCAGACGTGCTGGAGCAGATCCGGAAGCAGGGACTCACATTCCCATTCAGTAAGTGTCACCTGTGACCTCCCAAATCATCTACCCTGCTCTATAAGCTCCTTATTAGAAGTGGACTATCTCTTCATAATTATTATTATATCATAATTTCTTAGATTGTGTCTTATTTGTGTTTGTTTAGTTTGTAAGACTCGAGTGGCTCATGGAACCAACTCCCATGAGGTAAGGCTCAAAGGTCACCCACACCTTCTGTTGACAATGTGTAATCATGTCACAAGACACTATCAATCATTGCTTTTGTCATCGATTTAACTCATCAGTCATCTAAAAGCAGATGTCTAGGAATCATTGGTAAAATCCCAAGACGACATGACACATTATAGTGATTCATAGTTTAAGCCATTTTCATCCTAATTGCTGCTTATAATGTGACAAACTGTTGTGTGCTTTCCCTCTCACAGATGGCCATAATCTTCAGTGAGGAGGACCTGAAGGATGTGAAGCCCCCCTGTGTCATTCAGAGCTTCATTAACCACAACGCGGTGCTGTACAAAGTCTTTGTGGTCGGAGACTCGCACACAGTGGTGGAGAGACCCTCCCTGAAGAACTTCCCCTCTGGACCTGCTGGTGAGCAGCTACAGCTAAGACCAAATGACACTCCAAAGGTCCTCATAAATTGCTTTATAGTCCCTTCGATTCAACCTTTTAAGTAAGAGCCGAGCACAATAGGGTTTTTGCTCATGTGCTCAGTTTGTCCAGCGTAGTGACAAAAGAGTCACACTGTCTCCACCTGCATAGTGTAGAGAGTTCCTAATGCTGCTCTGTCTCCACTGTATTTGCATGTGAAACTGTAGATCCTGATGCAAAGTGCATGGTGATCAGAGCAACAGTCTGTTTTGTATAAAGCGTCTGGAATGTAGAGTGCAGCAGCAGAGGAGCTGTGCCCTTGTCAAACACATAAAGCACAGCCCAGTGCCAGGCTGCTCAATGTCCAGTGTGTACACCTCACTCAGCCATGCTCTCACTACTCTTTTTACTATAGACAGGGCAGCCGTGTCTGAACATTCATCATAAATCCACCAGCGTGAATCATGCTAAAAAACACAGAAATAAAAGAGGAATGGGGTCAATAAACTTTTGTGTCATGTACATCATGTCTTCAAAGAAATTCTGCTCTGAACAGACCACTGAAGAAATATTGGTCACTTTGTTTTCAGAAAGAAAAACATGTCAGACCAACACCATCATTCACATTTAAAGCAAAAAACTAAATGTGCCCCCCCCTCCCACTGGCTAATGATAAACATTTGAATATTGCTGCCACCTATTGGCTAGGAAATGGTGTGTCTTTAGTCATCAATGTGTATATTATTATACTGTATTTTCTCTTGGTTTTCAGACAGAAAAGCCATTTTCTTCAACAGCCACAATGTTTCAAAACCAGAGTCGTCCTCAGACCTGACCTCTGTACGTAGCATGTTATTGTGATTACCTGATGAGGAGTGTGTATTATTGGCCCTATTTACCCTGATGATTATGTTCTTAGAGGGACAATGTGGAGGGAGTGTCACAGCCCCCTAACAATGAGGTGATCCGGGAGCTGTGCCGCTCTCTGCGCCAGGCGCTGGGCGTGTCTCTGTTTGGAATTGACGTCATCATCAACAACCAGACAGGACAGCACGCAGTCATCGACATCAACGCCTTCCCAGGTAAAACACAGAAAACACATGAAACTTCCAGTGGTCTCATTATGATCAGAAGGACGGATCTAACTTTTGAAAACATGAAATACTTAAAAACAGGTGTAGTCATTCTACATTTCTTCATGTAGAAATGCTAATAATGCAAACATAATATTGAAATAGTCATAGTGCTTTTCTGAAGTCTGTACAATTTTTCATTTATTCTCAGTGGTGGTAAGCACTTACGCATACACTACATTCACACTAGGCCAGGTGTGGGAACAGTCTTTCCTGAGGACACCAGTTTTTGCATTAGAGCCACTGCTGCCTCAGTGTAGCTCCTGGTATTCTCAGCAGTCTGCCTCTAGTATTGAACAGGCCCAACACTCCTTAGCTTCCGAGAGCAGATGAGATTGGTGATTGAAAAGATGGTACTTGGTATGTGAATCGCATGTTGTGTTTCCAGGTTATGAGGGCGTACCAGAGTTTTTTAATGACCTGCTTAACCACATAAGCAGTGTGCTCCAGAGCCAGAGTGCTGACGCGGCGGCTGTGCCCGTCAGCAGCAGCCCCCCGGCTCAAGGCTGCTGTGGTTTGATGGGCAAAGAGGCCAGCGGCCCCTGGATCGTGGAGGGGGACAGTGGGCTGAAGGGCTCTCTACAGAGACTGGGCTGTAACACAGCCATGTCCCCCAACTTCCAACAACACTGTGTGTCCACTATCGCCACTAAGGCCTCCTCCCAATGACTGCTCCTGAACAAACCTGGTAACAACCATAACCTGTAATAATCATAATAATTATGATGATCCTATATCTAATCCCAACCTTTCCTATAGTTGTTGAAAAGACAATGATTTGGTGTAAGATTTTCTCTGCCTTTTGTATGTTTGATTTGTTGAATGAGATTTAAAGTACTGTAATGTGAACCTTGGAACATTTGCCTAATAATTTCACTTTTCTGATGTGGGAGTTTGGCAAAGACAGATGCTCAGGTAGCAGACGTAACGGCCACTGTTGGACTGACGTGTGCTGAGCTGTCGATACCACTGAACCCACACAGAGCCTCATGGGCATTTTGGCAAGGGGCATGTGAACACCCATAACCTGCAGAGCTGTTAGTGTGCCATAGGACTGTCCATGCAGACTCCCCAGTTATGTGACCAAGTCCTTTTGTGACACAGTATTCTCTGCTGTGTCAGAGGCCTGTAGGTTCATGCACAGGTGGTAGGTGCTCAAACAACAATACACTATTAGTTTTAAGCAGCCAATTAAGGATAACATTCCATTTGTGTTTGCTGATGCTTCCAGAGAATTCCATGATTTCTTTCTAGAATTCCAAAACATGAACCCAAGGACTTAAATGCTCACATTTTGGTTCTATGATGGAGCAAAGAATTCCAGAATAACATCAATTATGCCACTTGGCAGGGTGATATGTTTAAATACCCAAATGTACTGGGTAACTGTTGTGCTTAATGGACAAGATGAAAGGTTAAAAGTGGTTGTATATAGGGCAGGGCAGTCTGTTCTACTTCCAGGTGATTCCATGTCTTCTGTTTGTAGCTGCTGTAGTGGTGTCCTGAGGCGTCACATGGAATTAATGATTTGGAGCAGAATGAGTGAGTTCTTCTGAGTGTTCACTGTGAGATTTTTTACTCCTTTTAATATTTTGTCCTGACATCTAATAAGATTAACTTTATTTTATTGAGATTTTATGGGGAATTACTTTATATGTATAATGTAACTGTGTGAGATTTTGAACAAAGTGGGTTTATGGGTATTGAATGATAAAAAAAGAGATAAGTTGCACAAAAATCAGTGGTGTTGAGGACAGAGGCTTGTGGTTGTCATCTCTAAAATCTATGAATTTGAAAGAGCACTGCCTGTAAACTACTACTGTGCCTGCTTCCATACCTGCATTTCCATATTTAACTATATCCTCCATAAAGTTAAACTGTGTCTCAGTGTGAGGAGAATTGTAAATCGGTTTCATTCACATTTTATAACCTGATTTTATAAGCTCACGTGGAGGGCTAGGGTAGGGCCAGTATTTATTTTATTTTTTTTGAAAGAGCTCTCCTAATAACAAAACATTAAAGAAAATATTGGAATTGGAATATTGGAAATACCTGGAAGTTTTTAATAGGATTGAAGTCTACACACAAACTCAAACTTAATTCAATAATGCAGTTTTTGCCTGCAAGTAAAATCAATTGTACTTTAGTGCATTGTGTTAACTGACACTGGGCTTTGTTCTAGTTTTGTTTCAGATGAATAAGCTCAATTGAAAGATAGTGTATTTATCATAAACCAGGTCTAAACATCTGCATTTTTTTTTACCACTTCTACCATAGAATGCATAGCTGCCTGCCCCTCAACCTCAACTCTCTAATGCAGTGTTGCTGGCAGGCACAGCTGAAGCTCATATTGAGGAGTAAGGTGTTTTTGCTCTTAGCTGTGGGAAGGCTGAGGCGTGTACGTGCACCACTCCACTGTCTCCTCCGTGTACTCTCTGTGCTTGTCAACATGTGGCCCAGAAGTCTCCACCTGAATGTTTACCTGTGTATATATACGCCTATGCTTACATCCGTACAGTATGCTGTTTTGTATCAGTTCTGTAATTGAACAGAAATCAACATTTTGGTGACATTTTCTAATTAAATAACTAAATCAAAAAGGCAAAATAAACAATGTGAAACCTTCTTGACTTCTTGATTTTTTTGCTCTGATATTTCTTAAGTCATAGTAGAGGTGGGACTGTTTTCCATATTATTTGTCAAATCATAACATGGCACTACGCACTTTAATATTTTCAGAAATGTTACGATAAAATAAAAATTAGACAGCAGCTTTTCTCTATTCACAGGAGATATTTATTCCCTCAACAATGTGAAGAAATAAGTTCATGAAAGAAAAGACAAACTCATACAAACGTCCCAATTAAGCATCTATACAAAGTCTTAATAAAAATAAAATCTTTTCATAATCTTAGTCTTCTGTACATGTAAAAAAACAGATATTTACAACAGACAAAGTTTCTACTGCTACAATGAGTGCTATGGAGTTCCTGTCAGTGCTGAGGCTAGCGCTGGTGTAGCTGCTGTGAGGTGGGGTTGGCGAGCAGTCCCAAGATGGTGGACAAACAGTGAAGCTTCTCTTTTACATGTTCAGGCAATTTCTCATTTTCTCTGTACCTTGAGGAAAAAAAAAACATGTTAAAATAAGTACTGCAAATATGAAAGGATGTGTCAGCGTTTAAAAAAGACGTACTTAGTAACTCTGCCCTCTGGAGATGTGTAGCTGATACAGGAAACACCGGCCTGTACCACGAGCTGAGAACCATCGTTGAACTGCACCCACACCTCTCCACTGGTCAACTTCGAGGAAATATAAATAATGCTCTAATTAATATTCTCAAGTAGCCATTTGTTTCACATTACTCAGGCGCTGCTGACGTACTTGTGAGGCCCAGCCAACATTCGGCACAAATATGGACTTGACTACTTTCCCTGCGTTGTGCTGAGGTGGAGAATGTTTCTTGTTCACACTCGTGGTTGTGAAGTCAGAGCCGTCATAAGAGATCATCTGCAGGGAAAAAGAAAATGAAAGGGGGAAAAAGTTAATAGATGCAAAATATTGTTAGAATATAAGGATTTTCCCCAAGATCAACGACAGCTTATTCTATTAAAACATAAATATTTAGCATTCAGTAGTAGAACATTAGACAGTGGAGTGAAAAATAAATGAAACTTACTGATGGGTTTATTTGCGGAGCTTGTGGAGGGGAAGCTGACTCAGGAGTTGGCTGAGAGGGGAGTGCAGGGGAGCTCTGAGAATTGGGGTTGGCTGGTCTTCTGCAGATATAAAAGTATAATGGAGTGTAATTTCAGTACACATCATGACAACATTAGTATTTGGAGCAGCGTTTGTCGTACCTGCCGATGGTGATGGGGAAGAAGGGGACCTTGTGGGTGCCCCTCTGCTCCTCTGCAGTGATGGCCGCCTCCAGAGACAGACACATGCTGTGGCCCTGGTCTGACAGCTCCACGTACCTGCGGCTGTCAGTGCTCAGCCCGCCGAGCCCCACCTCCCCCTTCACTGTGTACGACTTCCCACCTCGCTCCACCACCTGCAGCAGCTCCGAGGACTTGTGGGTCTTTGCTCCTGTATGTCACGCACACAAGTGGATTTCAGAGATGCCCTCATGGTGAAAAGTAAAAATTTTAAATTAAGAATTTTATGTGTGATTTTCCTCACCATCATAAAAGCAAACCTCCACATCTGCGTTCGGGGAGTTCTCCATTAGCATCACTTTGGCGTACTTTGTGTAGAGGGTGACCTTTGGAGTCTTGGATTTCACTAAGTGCACAAACTTGGATGCATACTGATATTTCTTCCAGTATTTTTCTAAGTAGAAATGACAACAGCTAGTGAGATGAAGCTCAAAGTCCTTTTCAGCACGATTTCAGTGTTCATTTACCAGGAAGGTCATCATAGCTGCAGATGAGAATGTTCTCTGGAGGAGCAGGAGGATGGTCGAGGACTGGGAAACCCTTCCCATCATTAGGCTGATAAATAGTTACCTTTCGGTGTAAATATAAAGGGAGTTTAATGCAATGTCTACCAGTGCAATCAAATGAATATGGTTATAATAATAAGCTATATAAAACTCACCATTGACCCATCACTGGAGATTCTGAGCACCTCTTTAACCCTCTCCTGACCGCTGACATGTTTCAACAGTTCCATACACACTTCCCCAGTGTCTAGGATGCTCACCTGCAGCACAAAAGAGCCTCATTTAATGATATTGCATTTTTTTACCACAGAGACCCAAGAGTCCAGAGGCGTCTCTCACAACAGCGTTCTTCGTTTTCTGTCTGATGGGCTTGAGTCTGGTGGCTGACAGTGGAGGCACAATGTCTCGAAGTGTTTTCTTGTCTTTCTCCACAGTGGGCTTTAGCGCGTGGGGCGGGGGTGCTCGGCTATGCAGGGGAAGGAGCTCCAGCCCTGGGTTGTTCTCCCTGTACACATCTGGGTTCTGGTGCTGGGAGAAAGGTGAGGTGTGGTTCCCTCCTCTGCCTGAGGGGGCATCAGTCCAAGAGTTGTGAACTCCTAATGGCCCCCTTCCACTGTGAAAACTGCCTCCACTGCTGTGTGCACTAGTGTCTGTGGCTCTCAGGCCAGAACCTAAAAAAGAAATAGATTTTTTTTTCCAAATATTGTTTACATTATATTATAAGCTGCAAGAATAGTCCTATTCCAAACATGTAGATCCAACTAACCAGTACACATGACTTCTTAATCAGTTACAAGCAAATTAACTAAAACATGCCAGAAAGTAAAACTATAATATGATATGATGATATAGGAAATAATCAGAAAATTTGTACTCTCATCATGTTTTTTTATTGTTTTTGGTTAGCACTGCCATCTAGTGGTTAGTTTTTGCATTCAGTTATATTTTTAAAAAAGAATTTTACCATCTTTGCTGAGCCAGTTTGGGTCTTGAAATTGGATGCTTGGAACAGGAGCACATTCTGTGGGTAGAGAATATGCGGTACTGCATACCACAGGGCAAGGATTAGACTTATGACCACATAACACAAAGCATAGAGTAGCAGAGGAAGACTTACGTGACCGACTGCTTGACTGGTGGAGAGGGGAGTCTTCTGTCCTCTTCTGGATATGGGTGACTGGAGGACATAGGAAACAGAGGTCTTCCATAGTCGCTCAGGTTTTCCTCAGAGTGGCAACGACCCAGATCACAGCGATTGGAGCTTTGGGAGAGGGCAGTAGAGGCAGAGCGCTCTGAAGAGTGAGCCCTCCGCAAGTAATGAGTCTGTGCAGTGTCCCCCTGCCCTCTGCTCCTGCCCTCTCTTTCAAACCTGTCAGGATTCTGCTGCTGCCACGCCTCTGTGCTGGTGAAGGCGGAGGGTTGGCGGAGGAGAATGGGAGCCATGCGGTTGGGCAGAGCAGAGCCAATCACATGTCTGGCTTTCTTGTGCAGGCGACTGTTGCTGCTGGTTGAAGTGGAGGACAGATATGCGGTGGAGATTGTGGCGATGCCACTGTCCAGGGAGCCCTCCTCATCCAGACTGAGTTCTTTAGTGCGGGACAGGAGGCTGTGGGTCATGAAGGGGTGATCCAACACTGCAGACAGACTAGGCCTCTGAGCAGGGTCCCTCTGCAGCAGCTGATGGATCAGGTCCTGAGCCTCCACAGACACATGGGTGGGCATCTCATACTCCCCCAGAACCACCTTAGACAGAGTGTGTTTGACTGTATCAGTATCAAAGGGAGGGCGCCCCATGAGGAAGGCATAGAACATGCACCCAAGGGACCAAACGTCAGACTCCAGTCCGTGGGCACTGCGGGTGGCCACTTCAGGGGAGATGTAATTGGGCGTCCCACACATAGTGAAGTGCTTCTCATTGGGCAGCTTGAGCTGTGTGGCCAGGCCAAAGTCTGCAATCTTAATGTTCATGGTAGAGGTCAGAAGAAGGTTGGACAGCGTAAGATCCCGGTGGAGAATACCATGGGTGTGTAAATACAGCATTCCTCTAACAATCTGATTCATGAAGTGCCTCGCTGAAAAAAAGACATTTAAAAAGGTATGTTACAAATATCTACTAATAAGTAATTACTATGACCACAAAATATACAGGCAATCCCAGCCCAGAAATAGTGGACCGAAACATAACATGTGAATCAAACATTACCTTCATCTTCAGAAAAAGGAGTCTTTCGGTCTTTGAGATACCGGCTCATCTCGCCAAGGTGACACATCTCCAGCACCAAGTACACATAGTTACTGTCTTCAAAGTAGTTGTACAGCTTTGAAGAGAAGAACAAATGATTAAACTTTTATGCCCTGATTTATGTAATAATTGCTACGTAGAGTCATTAAAGGGACTAAAACACAATTTAGGTTTATGAATGAAATGAGGGATACTAATATCTTTCGCCATAGAAAAAAAGCTGTTGACTTTTTATTGAGCACCATTACCTCCAGTACTGACGGATGCTTCAGTCGACAATGAATCTCCACCTCATTTGTGACCCGCTGGACCATGCCAGCTTTGTGCATGGCCTTTTTGTCAATCTGCAGATGGAAACCACACAGATAATTACATGTTCACAGAATCAACAGGTGGATGATCTTTTCTGTATCATAATAGCCAATCTGTTGCCCCAAGAAGGCAGCCCATTTGGGAATTAAATTTGATAAATGAAGACGCACAGGGAGTGTTAATTATAATGTTTCTAATATAACGGTCACAGACAGGGTCACAGGTGCTTGCCAGGGTTAGCATAGGCCATAATTATACAGTAGAATTGACAGTTTAAGTGTTCTTACCGTTTTAATCGCAACCTCCAGACCAGTCTTGGCTGACTTTGCCCGATATACACACGCAAAAGAACCCTTTCCAAGAAGAGTGAGGACTTTAAAATCCTGCAGAGGAAAGAAATCAAGTAAACTACAGCTCCATACAAGAAAACAAGAGTGCGAAAACACTCCTAATACCTCTATGCAGACTTCAGGTGAAATAAACAAACCAGGGTCTACATTTCTGCAGACTTGTAAATCCGGAGAGACATTTTGAAAATAGTATTGTAATATGTTAAAGGGAGTCCCTCCAGGCTGCGACATCCTGGGAGTGCGTTAAACGAAGACACCACAGCCGCTAACGACTTCACTTTGTACAATCATTTATTACCACAACAACCAACAACAATCTACAGCACCTGACGCTGTCATCTGTCCAACTTAAGCCCAGATATCCCGGCTCTTCTCCCGCCGTAGGGACACTTGTGTCTGTCTCTAGGCAGCGGTAACGCAAACTAAAGCACCTATAAGAAGCATCAGTGACAAGGGCCCAGAGACTGAATAAACGGTCTATGCAAGGGCCACACAGAAGAGAGCGGACAGTGCAGCTATAATATAAAGCTAAAATATAAATACTGTCTACTATCATTATTATAGAAAATAAAGCCATTTGTGTTTGAGTCTCTTCTAGACTATTGTGAAACTCAGATACAGTGGTGTAATTAATACTAGCCAAAGCAGCACATCCAGTATGTGGACACGTTTATATTACACAACACAACATTAACTAGCTTAACTTAATGGTTAATTAACCAAGAATGTGTTAATGCAACACAAAACCAGCGTCTGCACATTACGCCTGAGTTGTATAACAACAGGCTGTTTTGTTTTCGACGCGTCTTTCAGGTCAGTATGAAGTATTATAGATCCACGGGTCAGCGGAAAAGGCTAAAAGTTAGCTTTTGGCTAGCGTTAGCTAAACAAAGGAACTCACCTCAATTTTATCGCCAATGGCCACACTCATCTTGGCGAATCAGGTGGGTGCAAACTTCATATTCATCCGCCGCATGTGCTCATTGAAAATCCATGCATGTGTATGAAGAGTGCTTTAAACTAAAGTGTCCGTGTTTTTACCCTCCAAAAGTTTTGTCATTTCTTCCATTTTAAAAATATGCGCCGTTACTCACGCGCCTGCGTGCGTGTTACGTCACATGACAACAACACACGCCCACGCGCCTCCGCCCTTCCCATGGATCTTTTAAAATAACGTATTATGCATGGATCCATAATGGTATTATGGTAGTACATGTACTAGTATACGGTTTACATTTTATTAACCTCTGGTAGCTAAATAAGGTATAAAATCAGACTGCCACGAACAATAGATTTGTCTCTAAATAAAACTTACATTCCACCAGTTAAACAGAGACTCCAATAATGCTGGAAAGTAAATTTCATCTCTGAAGTTCTACCAGTTTGCTAGTTCATGGAGCCCCAATATTCACATCATTTCACTGTTCCCCCCATATATTATGGTTTCCAGAATATACGTATATGATCCATCGGGGCCACTCCCTTCAGACAATTTGGATCTGAAGGGATTTTCCTGGTTACATAATTGTCAAATAAAAATATATGACAGCCTTGAAGTAAAATAAATCAAATGTGTTCCTTCATTATTTGAAACTGGATCTATAATGCATCATTTGCATGCATCTTTTCCTTTACACTTTTGACAAGTGCTTTGCATCATTTACGTCAGTCCTCAGTCACACTACCGTATACTTATTTTCACCTATAGCTGCCCATCTGGCAGAGCATCAAAGGTGTGGCGGGGTTCGATCACAAATCCCACATGTGTCATAAACACGACAGTTGACAGCTTTTAACTGCTAACTTCTAGTTAGAGGGCAAACATTTTTATTACCTGAGCTCTGCTTCCTCATCAGGCCTTTTCCAACAGAAACTATTTTTAAAATTTGTGTTATAGGGGAAAAAGAGAAAACAGGACAGCAGGATGCAACATAGTGACTTCTTATAAAATGGAACCTTTTAAACATGTGCATGTTCTTGTAATGACAAGGAGGTGTATTTGCTCACTCATAGACCGTCTGATGTACCATACTGAAGAAGAACACGCATGCGCACAAGAAACCAGGAAGTGGAATAAACAACACAAGCTACTTTTAGCCATTTAGCTTGACTTGTGGCGAGTAAACAACACTATGGGCCTGTTCGGAAGAACGCCTGACAAAGCTCCAAAGGAGATGGTAAAGACTTTTTGTTGATAGCTAAATCCGATCATGAAATGTCACGTCATGAAGATACAATCACAACATTTCTGGCTTTCCAGCCTTGCTATGGTTAGCCGTCAGTTCAGTTTGTTGACAGTTCCAAGTTAGTCAATAAACTGCCCTGCTGCTGTGATACTAATTCTATAAACAGGATTGTTACCGAATACATGGTTTATAAACGTGATTTTAGTTTTGCGTCTTCGTTTGTAACCTACTTGGGTGGTGGGCTACATGAGAACAGCTGAACCCAGCCCGCATGACATCACAACATAAGTATGGGTGAGATCATAAAGAGCGATTAAGATCCTTTTTATTCCCACACAGGTGAATGAGTGGTCCGGGAAAATTCGAAAGGAAATGCGAGTAATTGACAGACAAATTCGGGGTAAGGCTGCAATGATTAATACATCGTTTACATTTAATATATTAGTACTAACAATTAAACCGGTACTTGTTCTTAAAGCTCAATGTATATTTATGACATTTGTTTATTAAAGAACACTGTATATGACATAATGTTGTAATATTTCCCAGATATTCAAAGAGAGCAAGAAAAGGTTAAAAGATCTATCAAAGAAGCTGCCAAAAAGGGAGAGAAGGATGTGTGTATAATTCTTGCAAAAGAAATTATTCAGTCTAAGCGAGCAGTTACAAAGCTTTATGCATCTAAAGCTCATATGAACTCAGTGCAACTCAGCATGAAGAATCAACTGGGTAAGTAAAATATCTTTGACAGTCTTTATAGTGTTCTTATGCAGATTTTAAGGGTTGCTTCTTTTTCTTTTGTTGCTTCTAGCTTTGGTACGTGTCTCCGGATCCCTTCAGAAGAGCACTGAGGTCATGAAAGCCATGCAGAGTCTGATCAAAGTCCCGGAGATTCAAGCCACAATGAGAGAGCTGTCAAAGGAGATGTTGAAGGTTTGCACATTTCTAAAGATATAATAATAAAATGAATGGTTTGTTGCACTTCCTGAAATAACTAGAGACAAATTGTTTTGGGATTTTTTTGGGTGCCGCAAACCTATAAACACCTATGTTCATGTACTTTGAACTGATCTTAATTAAACATACAGTATGAACCTTTCCAATGTGTTTTGACCTAGGCGGGTATTATTGAAGAAATGCTTGAAGACACATTTGAAAGCATGGAAGATGGGGAAGACATGGAGGAAGCAGCAGAGGAGGAAGTTGACAAGATTCTTTTTGAAATTACAGCCGGTAATAATTGATATCCATTAGGGCGATATATCGATATTTTTAATATATCGATATTTTTTAAAAACTCGATATGAATTCTGACATATCGTATATATCGATATAATGCTTATATTCAATTTAGATTTCACCACTTCACTTGTTTGTCTTCTCTGTCGCCGCCCGCGCGCCCCCGCCTCCCTGATTTTCTTCGCTCGTGTCTCATTCACTCCTCACTATCGCGGTGAACGCCGAAAGTTGCTGCCAGTGAAAAGCTTCTAGCGCCACGAAACTTTTCCACCATTTACAGACAAGGCCACCAGCAGCACATCCTCATATTCCACCGAGTCGTGTCCTTTAGTCCAAAAGAAGTTGAACCACAAGAGCGGCACGTGCGCTGTTTATGCAAATTAGCCATGCGCTTTTTAAGTTTGGTTTCTGTAAAACGTAAACAAGTCTGCGCAAAGATGCAAAAAAATAAAATAAAAATAACATAAAATAATTAACACTATAATCTCAAACGGGCTGATGTGGCTCTTGAGTCGTTATGCTATATATCTTGTAAAGTTTAGTAATGTAAATTCTATTTATGCAGAAGATTTTAATTAATAATCTGTTGCAATGTCACTTGTACAAAAGTTTGGAAACGTTGGGTTTGATCTGCAGTGGATTGTGGGAAACCTCATAGCTCCTTACTGCTGGATAGGAACATGGATCTGTTAAAATAAGGAACATCCTGAGCTTCTTCTGTTAAAAGAGTTCATGGTTCTGGTTCTGGTCTGGATAACAGAGTTAATGCAAAGATGAGCTTGAGTTGAGTTGTTTTATTTATGAATGAAACAAAGGAAATAGGTTTTATTTCTTTTATTTTACAGTTAAATTATTATTTATGTAATTAGGGTTTTTTGTAATCTTAAATGTTCCTATATGAACTGCCTACCTCTTACACTTAAATTTTTAAAAAAAGGACCTTGTGGAATTTGGCATATTTGTTTTTGCATTTTTTCGTTTTAGGGGATTATTTTTTCCTGTACAGATACTGAGATATATATCGTATATCGAGATATAGCAAAATATATCGAGATATATTTTTGATCCATATCGCCCAGCCCTAATATCCATTTATATTTACATTTCTGTAATTTAGTCAAATAGAGTGGCCAGTTCTGACTTTTTTTTGGCCAGAAAGTTCTAATAGTTGAATTTGTGTTCTAGGTGCCCTTGGTAAAGCACCCAGCAAAGTCACAGATGAACTTCCTGAAATGCCTGCTGGAGCTGGAGCTGCCGCAGCCTCAGACGCTGAATCTGAAGAAGACATTGAAGAGATGCAGTCCAGACTGGCAGCTTTGAGGAGCTAAGGTGACTCTAGATTTCACCCCTTGTGCTCACAACATCAAAGACAATTCTGATGCAGGATTAAAACACTTTAATCTTTTCTTCTTTTCTTACAATCATATGGGGGTACAGAACTATCTGCTTTAAAACATGCACTCATGCATTTTGCTTTCTGAGTCATGGTTCTGGTAAAACAGAAGGTAGAAGGTGTGTATAATGTAATATGTATGAAAAACCTGCTGTGCCTAATGTGCTGTATTGTTTTGAGAGGCTTGTCAAGTGTACAATTTACAGTGCTGTGCAGAAGTGCTTACACTCACATTCTGCATTTCTTAGATCTATACTCCTCATACATTACAAAGATATACAAATCAGTGTAATGGGGAAAAAAATACTGCTTACATAAATTATAAATAATCATTAATAGAAGGTTTTAGTATAACAAATATTCCAAAATGTCATAAATCCAGAAGAATGTTAGCTGTTTGCACTGCACTGTAATTATGAAGATGCATAACATAAAAACTAAACAATATGTGCCAAGTCAAACCCTGTTGTTGGACTCACAGAAGTAGGTTTTCACTTCTAATGTAAGTGCACAGAATTGCACGAAGATAATATCCCAATTTAACTGAAATAAGTAATTGGAATATAAAGTGTAGAGTTTTTTGTTTGTCACGCAATTCAAACTCAATTTTTGTTTGTCACACAGTTCTACGCTGCATGTCTCTTATCACTGTCAGTGTGTCCACGTCAGAAATACTGATGTTTACTTGTATTCAGTCTTTTTAATGGTGATGGTTGAGTTAGTTTTACCTTTATATACATGCAGCAACAAAAAAAACTGCTTTATTGCGTCCTTCTGAAAAACGCTGCATTGTGCTTTGTCCATCTAAAACATAACCCATTTAACATTTTTAATTATTATTTTTTGTTTCAGTTTGTACAGAAGGCTTCAAGTAGTGTAGAACCTCCATATTGTGGTTTATAAGTTGTATGTTGATGGTAATAAACATATTGAATATATAAGACATATTTTTCTGAAGCTTTAGTAAAGTGAATCTTTTAAAGTGTATTGTGGTTTTATTTTGTCTGAGCTTCACACATTTTTAAACTGCACACCCTATCTTGTATTCCTTCATTCTAAACCTCAGTCTGTCTTTTGGTGCTTGTTTGCAGTGAAGTGATTCCCTAGGTTCAGTGCTGACTGTAGGATTAGATTACCTGAGGTCACACTCTCTTGCTCCTTTTGTTCTGTTGTAACCATACCGCGCCTGTGTACCTGGTGCTGGGCTCTTGCATGTAGGCCATGGGTCTCAGCAGCACTGAGGGGCAGCTGCTCTCAGATGACCACAGGCACACAAGCGTCTCATAAAGGCTCCTGCAATGAATGCTCCATGATAACATTTGTTATCTGTGTTTTGAGCTTTGAACGTGTAGCAAAAAATCCAATCTGGCAGTATTTATACAAGATAAGAGTTACAATGATCAATCAATTTGATTTTTACAAGTATCAGTGTAAGCCATGGGTTCCAAGGGGGGTTGCCAGGGGTTCAAACCATGATGCAATTTAAATACATGACGGAAATAGGAGTAAAACCTAGCCCCTTAACCAAAAAAAAAAAAAAGAGTCCAAGGGTATTGGGGGAGCACTGTTTGACATTTAACTGCAACCAACCATCTCAAAAAGTAAGTGTTTTAAGTGGACAACCAATTATGCAATAAGGAACAGCCTGCCAAACCTCAAGCAAATAGTAGCCTATAGCTTCACTGTCACCTGTAGGCCTGACCAATATGCTATATTTCACTGAAGGACACTTGGGTTATCAGGTGTTTAATCCTTCTTACTTGGCATCTCCCTCTTTGTGCTACACAACACTGCCATCTATGGACTGTTCTTGGACTTGTCTGTTATCCATCAGGGTCGCGCCTGTGTGCGTCTGGACGCACTGCCTTGGACGCGCCTGTCATTTGGAGGAAACTCCTCCCAACAGACAGCGCGTCCTGTCGCCTTTTCCAGCGCAATGGTCTCCTGGATTATCTCTAGACTTGTGGTGTAAGTCATTTTATGTTCTATTATTTTAAACGGCGGTATTATTATTATTAAAGCATGTAGGGTTTGCAGATCATCGCGGTGTGTTTTGCCGTGCTCGATGTTCTCGCGTTATAGCCCTCTGTAAACCTCCGCAATGAATCTATTTAGTGTGCTACGTGTAACTGAGACCAGTATCTATTAATTTTTGACTAAAGCTCGTTAAGATTCTACAGAAGGTGCTTTGACATAGGAGCCACGGCCACCCTGGTGTAATGGGTACCGTATCAGTGTAGGCTGCCATACCCAGTGACAGGCAGCATTCTTTGTGCTTATCAGGAGGCTTTTTGACAGACAAAGAAGTGACCTGATCGGATAAATATTCTATGAACATGTGCTGGCACATTGTAAAGAAGCCGCTCTTTTTAGTGCCTCCTTTCTCTTTGTAAACGGCGCATAACAGAGCGCAAGATGCTCCCGTAGGCTTCTTGTTTATGTACCATACTTGAAAATACAAAAGGGATGGGTCACACTTCTCAGGTTACAGACAAAGAATTGTTTTGGTTAATAACACGATTTGAGTTCAAGGCCTAAAAAAGTGTATATAAATGTATATATAATAATAGACAACAGCTGTTATCGTAAGTTATGGTTATTTTTACCCTCACAAAGTATGAATCAGCACAACAGATCGTGTGGCCTATGCTCACACCAGCCCAAATCTCAAAATAGTGAGCTTTTACATTTGGATTGGGGTGTACAATTACAGATGGCGTGCTGCTGTTAGCTGTATTGAGTTTTTGGTGGAAAGGAAAGACATAAAATTGTCCCTTTGGTGCTTTGGGGCATTGGTTGTCCAGTCTTGAGTTCTGTACTGTGGAGTGGCCAAGGCAATGCAACACGATGTGGGTCAGTAACTTGAGCAGGTCGCACTCACAGCTGTTGCTTGGCTGAGGTTCTTGTCTCTCTGGTCACTTTAAAGACACAGGTGTCACTCCCAAATAGAAAAGACTCGACAAATGCTCAGGTTTGAATCAAGAGCAACACCAAAATGAGACAACGGCTACTACAAACAAGCTTAACCACATATATGAATATGTCGTTTACTTTTCTTTTGTCCCACAGACTTGTCTTTGGCACACTGTATCCAGCTTATTCATCTTATAAAGCTGTGAAGTCGAAAGATGTCAAAGAATATGTGAGTTTTAACAATTCCTTGTCCATTAATTTACAGAACTTCATAAAAACTGACATTGTTTTCTTGTGTAGGTAAAATGGATGATGTACTGGATAATATACGCTCTATTTACAACTGTAGAAGCCTTCACAGACACTTTTGTATGTTGGTAAGTCACTATAGGGTTTTTGATATTGTTCTAATGTTTTCTGTATTGGTGATATGTTACTTAATATTCCTTATGGGCAAAAAGCAGATAACTAGCTGGTCTGTTTTTCCTTTTTATTCCAGGCTTCCTTTCTACTATGAGCTCAAGATAGCCTTTGTAGTGTGGTTATTGTCGCCATACACAAAAGGCTCCAGCGTATTGTACAGGAAGTTCGTTCATCCCACGCTTTCCTCCAAAGAAAAGGTGAAATGCCATCCTGTGTCTGTCTGTTGACTTCCTGTGATGTGCTTCTAGGGAAGGAAAAAGTGGAGCTAGGTGAAAACACTACTGGACCTAAGTTACTGTGCTGTTGTGACTAATGCAATTTTAGTCCAACATATTTGCACTACAAGGGGGTCTTTGTGCCATGTCCGTTGTCCAGGTATACATTTTCAGCTTTAGTTGAGAAGGATAGAACATGTCATTCCTTATCGTCTACCAATTTGTACAAGTATGCATTATGTAAGTTTTCTGGTGGGAGATCTGCCCACAGTTTGAAACCATTGAGATGTCATTGTTTTGCCTAGAATGTTCCACAGCATTTTGTTAAACTTGTCATAAACATAATTTGAGCGGGGTCACCTCTCTACAGAACTGATCTGGAAGTTGGCCGGGTTGTGTCACCCGCTTGTGTCCATCATGGAAATAGATATGTTTAATGGCATACTCTGGAATATTCTGGGCAAAGCAATTCCAGCTCTATGGAGATGAGCAGCAGCAAACCCTTTATCTAGTGCACTGTTTAAACTGAAGACTTGACAATATTATCATGGCAGTAACCCCCAGGAACTATATTATTACATTATTTGTGCCTGTGGAATCTAATCTCCTAGAAAGTTAGTATTGTCAAAGGTATTTAATAAGTGGTGTCTTTACATGTGAATATTAGACATAAAACCAGTGGATAGAGACTTTTCACAATAATTGTAATCTTATACACATTAAAAAATGTTACACGTCCTTGTATAACCTTTCTGCCTTATTTTTCAGGACATCGATGAGTACATCTGCCAAGCAAAAGACAAAAGCTATGACACACTGGTGCACTTTGGGAGGAAAGGACTCAATGTAGCAGCCACAGCAGCAGTCATGGCTGCCACAAAGGTACTGCTGACTCCCACTTCTGACCTGACTACAGAAAACAGTGAGCACAACGCCAGCATTAGCTTGAACAGGAATTCGGGAACATTAGCTCAGACTGGGCCCACTGAACAGGTCAGCATGTCATTAACATTCAAAGGTGGCCAAAGAGTAGCCTAAAACATTGTTCAAATAGTACCATTACTTCAAAATAAAATGAATTGGGTGAAACAGCAAAAAAGTGGTTCAAGAAACAATCAAGTAAGGGCAAAAGCCTTTAATAGTAATTTTAAGAGTCTGTCTGGCTGTTAATGTATTTAAAGGACAAAATATTCAATAATGCACTGAATGAGATATTTTTTAAAGGAAATACAAAAAATGGGAGGTTAAGAGCTAAACTAATTATAGTGTCTGAATTAAATGTAATTATTTAGTACAAAGCAATCATTCAATATTATGAAAGCATTAACATCATGATTTGTTTGTCAACCATAATTATGACTATATTATCTCATCTGGTTTGACAACATGGAAGATTGTCTGTAAATATTTACCACTATTAAATTGCTTTTTTCAAATTTCATGTATCTACTTTTGCTGTTGACTGCTCCATGTTACAGACTGAACACACAAAGATGTATTTAACTTTGCTGATGACTTCCTTTGGTTTACTGTGCATCTAGGGCCAGGGCGTGCTGTCGGACAGGCTCAGGAGTTTTAGCATGCACGACCTCTCCACCCTCCAGTCAGACCCGGATCCCCCACACTCCAGCCCCACACAGCCCTCATCAGCAGCTCAACACCGGACTAGAAGCATGATGCGCAGCAAATCAGAGAGCCACAAAGGTACCTGCCACTCAACGGGGTATCAATAAAACTAGAGGATACATTGCATTGGAAACCTATAATAACAGAGATCCAGTACCAACATCCTTGTACTGTCTTTAAAGTTACACTCAATTCTACTGAAAACTAATAGGGACATAATTTTTATACCAATTTCTTTTAAAAATTAAAAATAAAAAAAAATTGCCACTGCCACTTGTAGTTGCCCTATTATATTTATATTATTTCCATGTTCAATGTGAAAAGATCTTGAAAAATCAACTTTCCTAACATAAACCTTTTTGATTTTTCTATTTTAGGTAAATAGAACAGTTATCACTGGCTATGTATATTGTATTGACATGCAAACATACTGTAATTCTTATTTTCATTATCAGGATGAATATTCATTTTCATAATTCAATGAAAATAGGTCCTGACAGCTGGAGCTCACTGCACTACAGGCGCTCCAAAACAACCATTATTTGTTCATTTTAAGTCTTAAAATAAATGACATTCTTGGCCCTGTTTGTAGATTATTTACCATTTGAATAGTGCTCTTTCTAATCTATAGTCACAAGATGGCTGCCTCAATTGCCAACAGTGTCCTTGGTTCCTCTAGCTTTATTATGCCTTATTGCCTACAACCCTTTTCCTTTTTACAGACTATTTTTACAGTGTACAGTACTTTTCAGTCTATGGACACAGGAACTAGCCTCTCTGTGCTGTTTGACCTGGGACTCTGTGCTTTGTGAGTTAGGACGCACCTCTGGGTCCACCCTTACTGCTGCCACAACAGTCCTGTGATCAAACTCACATGCAGTCATCAGAACTTCCCCTTCTATATTCAGCATCACTGAAGAATCACTATTTGTTCTTTTCATGTGATTCTATTTTCCTTCAGCGTATCAGCAGATATGTTGTGATTTATAAATACTAGAAAACTTCAAACTGGTCCTCATTAAAATTACATAACACAGCCTCAAACTCAAGCCGTTGCTGTTTCTATTCTCAGTTAGATGAAAAACTGTCTAAACAGATGCACCAGGCAGGGGGGCATGAATTTCAATAATAGGGACAAATTGAAGAATTTCATAAGCATCCATTCGGTGTGTACTGAAAAATCAGATGATCAAGTGCTGAAGACAAATCATTCAATCTATATTTATAGAGTCCTTTACAACCCTCAAGGTGACCAAAGTGCTTTCCAATAAACTCAACATAATATAAAAACATGCAAAACATTAAGCAATGAAATAAAGCAAATTGGGCGAAGTGTCACTGCATTACTGTGTTGAAAGCCAGTAGATGTATTGCGAGTCTGGATTTAAACAGTCCAAAGTCTGTAATGGTGTGCATATCGGGGGCCGATGAATTTTGAAAACAACATTTTCAGGCATGAACATTTACTCTTTCATTTTGTTTTGACCACATTAGTTTACCCCTCTTGCATAATCATCCTGCACAGATGTGAACAGTCAGAAAATAATCAGTAATTATTTACATCAGATGAAACTGTTTACGTGACAAGCGGGTGATAATGATCAGATTTTTGGTGTGCAGGCTATTTGTTTCCAGTATAACTACTGTTTTGTACACAAAATCATGCAATTGAAAAAGAGACAGAAGTAAATATATATCATAAATAATATATTATAACATTACTTCAGTAACAGTGACATCAGTGAGGTCTGACCATGACAGCACATTTCCATAGTTGTGAATAATGTCAGGCTCATAGCCAGTGTTTGTTTTGGAGTCAGCCAGTGTGGTTTTGTGGTTGACGCGTATCTCCTCGGTGCAGGACAGGAGGAGGATATGGCAGATTATGAGCTGGTGGGGCTGGATCCATGGAGGTCCAAGGAGATCCTGTCCCAGCATGCCTTAGACAGAGAACCCCCGAGCGACAGAGCATCCTTTACCTTCTCCCTCACCCCCCAGTCCTCTGCCCCGTCCACACCTTCTCCGCCCCCCTCTCCCCCTGCGGCGCCTGAGCACCCTGAGGAGCTGAGCAGACAGGTCCCCGAAGCATCTAGCTCCCCACAGCTTAGGCTCAGTAGGAGGAAGGCCCCAGAGGTACTGTCAACTGCTGCCCCAATCCTAACCTCCCCCTCCAGAGAGTGTCCTCACCTATTCACTGTGTGTGTGCTGAGCTGATCATCGCGCGTCAGTGCCTTTGCAACTGTGGCGCGTTGAGCTTCTAACGTATTGTTTACTGACAAACTCAAACATGCATCTGCTCTATTATGTAAT